TTTTTCAGTGTTTGGGGGACAGGGAAGGGTGAGAGTGACGGGTCTTCTCAGGGGCTTAGAGGATGGGTGGGTGAGGTAGAGAAACGGACTCGTAGACACCACCGCGTGGTAGGCATCGCTCCTAGTCTTGACGGCAGCTAGAAGAACAGCATCTACTGGCTGGATCTGAGGCAGTTTATACAATTATATAATTGTTATTTAAGCAGCACTTTGGACAATGTGTGATATGAAAATGGTTTTATCCAAGAAAGGCTTGATCTGAAATGTACTCCCAAACATCCCACAATACATAACAAATCAGTGAAATAAACCAATGCTTGATGTTATGATACGCTATTGTTAAAAGTAATGTTACCTCCTTACCATGGTTTGTGCTATAACTGGAGCAGTGAAGGCTCCTGGGAGGTAGTTCAGGCAAATCCGGGGGTCCATGGGTAGCTTTAGTGACAAACCTTTTGTGGTAACTGTGTAATTTTCTCTTTTTAGACAGGAAACCACTGCAAACAGGCCAAGGGAATACACCCTCACATCTGCAAATGAGCCCTGTCAAACGGGTACAAAGAAAATAAATTGAATAATCTTTTTTTATCGGTAGTTGAATAATTTATTAACAGAAAACAATATTACCCGTGATGTCCAGTCTGGCTTAAGGCAAGGACAATTATAACAATGTAAGTTATGATTGCTTCCACCAACATTGTGGAGCTGTATTTCCCTTGGGGTCTGTTAAAGTCATGTTATTTTTACAGCTGGAAAAGTGAAATGGTTTCAGCAAAGATGCAAAAGGATGGTTCAGAACATTTTCAGACAGAACACAAAGGGTTTTGGTTGATCATTCTAAATTCAAAGTACTATCATATTAGGTGGACCACAAGGCTCTATAATAGCACCCCTTATGTTTGACATTGTATTTAAAGAAATTAAAGAAAGGCACGTCCAATTCTTTCTGAAGTTGACCACTCAAAAGTGCCTTTTATAAACTGTAGTTATCATTTTATAATTTAAATCAACCCTAATTAGTAACAAAAGCAAATGTACCGCTCATAAATACTGTAACATAGTTAAAAAGGGATTATAACTTTTTAGTTCACAGCATCTCTTTTAGTTACCCTGTGACCTCCATACGTGCCCTCTGTGGTTACAGGAGTGACGTAGCTTGCCCTCCTCTCCCTGTCAACTATCTTCACTGCAACATCCCTGTAGTTGCCGCGGTAACGTGCGCAGAAAGGCACAACCACAGTCACGGGGAAGTGTACGTTAGCTCCCTCCTGAACCTTGAGCCTGATCACTCTGCTGACCAGCTCCTCTGAACCCGTCACCATCAGGCAGCTCAGGGTGTCGGCCACCTCACATCTCAGGACCTCAGCCACACCCATAGGTGCTCTGATGAAGCATGTGTCCGGTACATCTGATTGGCTGTCTCCCTGTTGGCCGCTGAGCCTGGAAATCAGTTTAGAATAGACATATTTACACAAATACAATGCTGATGATGTACAGGTGATATTTTGAAGTAAACATTGAAAAATGATGCGCTGAAGAACAAGAATTGCATATTTGTCTCCCTGCATATATCTCTTTGATGTGACTCAAAGTATAAAGTATATTTCTAGAAAAAAGTGCAACCATCTTAAATATTTCTGAAATGCTGTAGCATGCACATTCTCATATCAGCTTCTCCCAGACTCGGCCTCTCCCTCTGATCTGTATTTCTGTATTTGTTTGGCTTTTGGACGGATCCGGGCATTGACCTGACAATGACCTGAAATAGCCTGCTATAAGGATGCCATGTGGTCAATGTGTGTGAACCTGGTGTTGAGCCACTGCAGAGTGTTTACTTCTGTATCAGTGGGGGAAATGAGGGGAAAGAATGGAATCATGTTCAGAATCACATTCCTGTTTGCTCCCTTAGTTGATGGGGGAAATATGATGATTATTATGTCAACTTACCCTACTGTGATCCATTCATTTGTTTCCTCTTTTGCCTTTTCTGTCCCCTCCAGGAAATCTGTCTTTCTTTCTTGAGAATGACAGTCCTCAGTATCACTCCCTTGATCACCTTTGACCACTAATTCTTGCCCCGTCTCTTTCACATCATTGCAGTCAGAGCTGCAGAGTCTGTTGTCTGATGTTTGCTCAGTGTCCTGTGATGGCATTGTATTTTGATCATTTCTATCCTCCTGTTTATGCCCAGAGTTAGCTTCAAGGGGATCACAGGAGTTTAGGTGATTTTGATCATCTTCAGGAGGCTCTTGTTCTTTTATATTTCTGGTCTCCTGAACTTCTGCATCCACAGTTGAGGCCTTCTCTGCACATAATTTGAGGATTTCTCCATCCAGTTTAGCTATAATTGTGTTCAGTGTGTCCATAATGACATCTATGTCCTCCCAAACACTCAGAAACATATCTGTGAAGGAGTCTGAACAAGGTTTGACTTTCCAATGTGTATCTGAAACAAAACAAACGGATAGAACAGAGGAAATGTGTTGTATATCACATCAACAAAGTGAAACTTTTACAGTTTTCTGCATTTTCGAGAGTCAATTCTAGATACTTTAACTATGATTTTTGTGGACAGCAAAAAGACTACAGTCTTTCAAAACATTTTCATACTTGTATTTTAACTGACATTTTCACTTCAACTTATTCTCATACTTACATTTTTACGTCAACTGAAACAGTTTCAACTTCAACATACACTTCAACTCCTTGTCATCCTTACAATTAAACTTCCTCTGACATTTCAGCTTTTTCTTATACGTTTAAACTTCCACTGACCTCCACTTCCACTACTTCCTTTTGTTCTTCAATCAAAGTAAGCCTTTTCTAGAGACACGCACCAGTCAGATCAACTCACGTACCTGTTGTGGACGCTTCCTGCTGATCACTGTCCCCTGGCGGAGACTTGTTGGCACAATCTCTGAGAACTCCTCTCCACGCTGTCACTCTCTCAGAATGAAAAACACTGAGCTCCCTCATTACTCCCAGAACTCTCTGCTTGCACAGTCTCTCCTCTTCATCATCCTCCTTATCCTCACTGCCTCTCTGTATTTCCTCTCCTTCGCCTCTACCTGTTTCTTCTCCTATGGATTTTCTTCCACCCACCGTGCCATCATTATGCTTTCTTCTGCTTCTGACAGCTTCAAGCCCCCCACAAGTTTCTGTCAACATGTTGAGGAGACTGTTCTTTCTCCTCCTGCCATGACGGGACTCTTCTTCATCCATCAGTTTATCCACATGCAGATTTGCATCCATGCTGAGAAGAAAAAACAACGGATCATGGGTCAGATGTGCTAATCCAGCTTGTTTTGTGCCCTTTTTTTAGTCCAATTGCACACGGCAAAAACAATTCTCTTGTCCAACACAATGATGGTGAATAATATATAAAAATCTCTAAAACTACAGGGCATTATTCCCTCCTTTTTACATTTGAAGCAGAAAACTCCTTGGTCACTCCGTCCCCGGCATTTTGTGTGTTACTGTGTACAGCTTTCCTAGTTTTCAGGAGCCAATGTCGTATTTATATGGCTGCCAGTAAAACATGTTGCCAAGACGACTCCTGGAGGCGTGGCAGGGAGGGACAAAAGAGCAGCCACAGAGCAAAAGATTTGCAGGAAGACTGAGTGCTGTCCTCCAGACATCTCATCCCTCTCCTTTATTCTTCTGTCACTCATTTTACTGCTTGAACGTCCAGACAGATAAAGACGTCAGCTCTTTAAATTCAGCCCCAAAACTGTTGCCCAATGGCAGAAATGTCACTTGTTTTGAAAGCATGTTGACGATGAGGTTGTAGAGTCACATGGCTAAAATATTTAGTAGTTAGTAGAAAGCTAATACATATATTAAATCTTTGGTGAAATATCTTTTTTTTGTTTGATGAAAAATGTGTTTTACAAACTGAAGCAGCTAGTTGAAATAAAGCCATCATTGATTTTTATTGTTTACTCCTGTGCTTTTACTTCTGTAATATGTTTGAGTGAGAAAGGCCTGTTCTGCTTTGAAGCTGCTGCTCTCTGTCACCATCATGTGGCTGGTGCTGCAAACTGTATCTTTATAACCTATTTTATCCCTTCTGATTTTAAGTTATTGGGACAATCGAGGGACAGGAAATACACGAGAAGGTGTTTTATATAAAAATGTGTTCATAAATTCCTATTAAATTAATGATAGTGGGGTCGAACTGTTCAATACACCTGCTATTGGTCTTGATGCTTTAACATTGGCCTAGGCATTTTCTCAATTTGTCCTTTTATTGGTATAATCTTTCAGCATTATTAATATTCACTGTTGTTGGTATAGACTACCTTTTTTAAAATATTTTCCATATTCATTGTTTTACACTGTAGTAAAATGCACATATTTGTACATAATTATTTCTTATAACTATTGTTCTTATCGTTTCTCAATTTTCAAATATATTTATTTTCAAGGGGATCGAGCAACGATATCAAAAAATGTACATACTTTATTCTGGAGAAATGGTATGACTGGAAGTACAAATGAACTTGAAACTTAGGTTGTAATTTGTTTTTTAAATAAATGAATTACTATGCCTAGTAAGATTAGGGATACTTTATAATAAAAAACAAAGGCTACCTAATGTTTATTTGCCAAAAATGTTTAAACAATCAATTCACTGCTGTGTTACGTATAATCTAAACTAAAGTATAATTGTTTTTGGTTCAATTAAATGCCATGTATGAAATACACATTTCCATGTCATACAGTATACAGTAGCCTCAATACTATATTAATTCTACTACCGTCATCAGAATAATATCATGCATTAACAGTGATTGATGAAAACAATGAAACTACATGTGTTGTTTTTTTCCAGGACTCACTTCATTAACTGAGCCAGGCATCCTGCTGCATTCCTGCCTGTGCTGAATACATAGCCCGAGGCCTTCAGGATCAAGCTGGGACATGCGTGTGTTCCCAGGAAACATCCGAAGTGCTGAACACTTTGCTGTTCTCAGGTGACACAATAGCACACTTGTTTTGTTTTACAAACAGACTCACGTAAAACAAAGGAGACCACAATATTAACAATTTAAAGCTTAATACTATTTTAGAGTTTTAGTAGCAGGTACTTCTGCAACTGGTCCTGCACTGAGATGGGCGTGGTGTTACCGAACACACCGCGGAAACAGACGAGCACGTTCTGAGGGCTCGCGACAGTCAACAGTGTGAAACAAACTGGACATGGCGAGTGCGCAAAGGTGTGCGGATGATGCCTGAGGTTTCCACCTGTTTTAACCTGCAGGTAAGCTCTTCTCACACTCGGACGCACAGCAACGTGTTGGGTAAACACGCTGACTTCAATTGTTGTGATAAAATTCGGCTAAAGTGGTCAAGTATCTGACGTGAATGGTCTTACATTTAATTCGCCTTTTAAATTCGTGTAGCCAGAAGCGTGTATCACTTATTTGCCGGTAAGCTAATATGAACTGCGTCACTCCCACTTGTACTTTTCACAACGTTTTAATACCTTTCTTTTCATTAGTGTAAACACAGGCTAAAGAAACACAGACACACATGTGACCACTAGTGTTGTGCTGCACTACTTTGTTATTTCAATGTAAACACACTCCTGCAAAGCTTGTAGAATGGCAGCTTTTGAAAGTGTCTTTTCTACTTAATTTAATATAATAACATTCTTTCATTATCTTTTGTGTGACTGTCTCCTCAAAACACCACTTAATATTTAAGTAGATAACATTTCAGCAGGGAACCAAGGTATGTTTTCCCAAACCAGGAAGGGGACACCAATTGGACTTTGTTCAAAGTTAGTTCGCTGTGAGATGTGCAGAAATATGAGGTAGGTGTGTATGCTATGACTCAGCCCGTCCCCTTGTACTGTCTAACCATACCCAAGGGTGTGCCTAGTGGGTGTAACTCCACCTACCCAGGTAGCCATGCATTCAGACAGTTTGTTGTTGAGGAACAGCTTCAATTCAGATCATTTCAATTATTTATTCACCAAAGTAAAACATACTAGTACAAATCAAGAGAAAAATTGACATATGTGAAAATATGCCCCCCTAATTATCTATCCAAAGCTTTAGAATAGGCGCCTGTACACTAAACAGAGTTTTTACAATACATATTACTAACATATCTAAAATTGGAGGGAGTTTTTGTATCACACAGACATTTTTATACTACTATCAATCTAATTCCATATCTGTTGGCGTCTGCAAGCCACACTAAAGCTGGTAAATCTTAGTTTTCTTTACCCTTTATAAGATGCTTTGTCTTAGTCAATATCTAGCCACATATGTTCCATCCTGGTGCATTTCAGTGAGTTGTGTTAATGCATTTGTGTGTGTTGTAGTATCTTTATGAGTGCACACACACTGCTTCATATGTTCCCACGCCCATGTGGGAAGTGCAAGCAGTTTCATCTTGTTAAGTTCTCTTTTTGCTCTTTTGCTATTGATCTAAACACCCTGTGGAGTGAGACACCAGGCAATAGCTGTGGATCAAAACTCCCATATCCAGCCCTTAATGGTGTTTGCTGTGTTTGGTGGGTAGCTCTGTGGTTGTGTGCAGCTGTGTGAGTGGGGGTACTGTAGAAGCGCTAAAAGACAGAGATGAGGAGCAGTCCAGGTCAAATGTGCTAGCAGGCTTTGGCGTGTGCCTGGGCTGGCTGTTAGCCAATACAGGTCCCTGCATGTTAACACTGCAATACACAGCAGTTATTGTTATTTTGATATTATTACACTATCAAATGCAATACAAGTAAATACAAGTCAAAAGAAACATCAGAACTTAAGTGAGTTACATACAGTAAGATAATAGAACAATGTAACCTTGCATGAGAAGATAACTAGATATTTTGATGCCTTTCATCAAGCAAATTCATGCAGTAGTCTTAAGACCAATGATGAAACACATGACCGCATACCACAGTTTAAAAAAGCAATACTGCACTAATATACACCGTATTTGGTACACCCACACTATTTTTAAACACATGGGTTAACCTACTTTATAAAGAAAGAACAAATGAATCAAAGAAACACAACATGCTCATTTTACAGTGCAGTATAGTATATGGATTAAGAGCAACCACATCTTTAACCAATCAGTTGTTCACCTACTGAACTTCCAAAAAGATGAAAACCAAAGCAAATACTGCCTTTAATACAGGCCTTAGGATTCCATATTCAATGATATGCCATTTAAAACCTTCAGCGGTAATCTGATAATAACCTTTTTTTATGTGACTGTAAGGGAATACAGTTACTTTTTTTTGTATTCTGATTACGTAATGCCTTCACATGTATTCTGTTACTGGTGCTAAGTACTAAGAATGCAAAGCAGCAACTTTTAAAAAGCTCTTTTAAAAGGAATCTGATCATACAAAAAACCCGGCTAAATGTCCTCCTAACATTCTGAGCAAAATTATGTTGTCTTTGTGCATGCATACTTAAAAACGTTTTGGTGATCATATCAGATTTCTATGCAAATAGATGATTTAATCTCAAGTGCATTTATAAGATATGTAAAGTTTAGTTCCTGTTCATGTTCTCTTGGTGAATTACTTGCACAGTGAAGTATGCAAATGAATACACATGCTGCAAGATTGTGTTTATTAGAAAGCAGAAGTAACACTTCATATACCTTTCTCACTGTAGGTTTACAACCCAAAGGAGAAGTAGACATGGCAAGATGTTGATTAACCTTCCTGTGGCTGTGGGTGTGGGTGTGTGTGTGGGTGTGTTTGTGTGTGTGTGAGGTAGAGAGAGAGAGAGCAGTTCTGCCTCACAATTCATCAGTGCTCAATTTTGAAAAGATGAAGACAGGAAACGGACATTTATCAATAGCTTGCCATTTCAAAGGGTTATTATGATGCTGGCAGTGAGCTGTGATGTAAAGCTGGGATTTTCAAACTCTACCTTTGAGACAAATATGTCAGTTGGCCTTTTTGCTGAAATGCAGTTTGTGTTATTTGAAATCAGACCTTAAGGTAAGTGTATTCCCTAAACCTGACAGTAGAGCCACACTTGAATGTTAGCATGCTATGTCCTCATAGCTATTGCTGTTTCCTGCTGTTTCATCCAGGAGTGTTGCACCTTTTAGATTTGCTTATGTGTTTCCGCTCTTGTTGAATTGACAGTACATGTGTTTGATCTTTATAGAGTGAGTTTAAAAGGAGTAGATATTATAAGAAGTAGGCTTGTTTGCTTTTTTAAATGAGATTACATGGCAGTATCAGTGTTAATCTCATGTCTGCAAGGTAAATGTAAAGCTACAAACGGTTGTTTTAGCACAGCATAAATGCTTAAAGCAGGGGCAAAGAATACAAACATCTGCATACCAGCAGCTGTTTTTAAAGCTCAGCTATTATGATCTATTTTATTAATAAAAACAACCAACAAGGGGTTTTCTTCTTGACTATCTTGTTGGCATGTTGTGGTGACTTCCTGCAGTCTAAAACCACAACCACCCTTCACACATTGCTTTTTGTAAACTGCAGAGCCAGACTTTAATCCCTGCTTCCTTTCTGGAAGCCAAGCTAAATATGCTATCTCCATGCTTTGATTCCATATACACAATACAGACATGGGTGGTATTGATCCTTTTATCTAACTCTAGGCAAGAAAGTGAATACGAGTATTTTCCAAAACGTTGAACATTGCTTTCTGATTAGGTATCATTGAAGTGGAAAGATGGTTTAATTTTACCCTGATTACATTTTCACCTGCGAAGTGAACCTCTTATACCTCATCAACTTTGAATACGTTTACCTTGTGTAGAATTTATATTATAAGAGCCTTTCAGACAGTTCAAAGAAGAAAAAAAAATTAATTAACGATTCATAGGTGCAGAGTAGCATCATGCAAAAATTCAGTTCAGTTCGATGGCACTAAAAGCCTCTTAAGTCTACGCATGTTGTTCAAAATCTTTCTTTGTGTATCTACAGTTTAAAGCTGACTACTACCTTCCAGAGGCCCTCCTAATGCAGCAGAGGTGAGACCAGAGCATCATGTTGGAGCCTCCGGATTCCAGCCAGGAGATCGTGGAGTGGCTGTCCACCCTCCGCCTGTCCCAGTACACCTCATATTTCCATCAAGGAGGCTATCAATCTCTTGAAGACTGCAGTGACCTCACAGATGAGTGTCTCCAGGAGCTGAACGTGATTCCAACAGGCCATCGGAGGCGCATCCTTCGCAGTTTGGAAGCACTAGGCGTGAAGCAGCCGAGCGGTGGAGAGGAAGATGAAGAGGACGAGAACAGGAGGCGTGGAAGGAGGCCTGTGCCACACCCGAGACGTATATTCCTGAAGGATAAAAAGAGGGGGTCTTCATGTCACAACCAACAGCCAAAGGAGAGGATGGAGTTCGAGGAGAGTCAGACTTTGCCTCCTGGAGCCGGACTCGGAACAGAATTTGAGGACGTCACGGAGAGAAGTGTTCGTCCGCCTGTACCGGCTCCTCGAGATCCCCAAAATATTCAAACATCCCCTCCCGAACCTCCTTGTGTCCCCACCTCCGTGTCCTCCAGAAGCAGCAGTAGCAGCAGCGAGTTCCTCTCCATATCTGAGATGCCCTCAGACTGGGAGGTTTCCTCAGAGAACCCGTCTCTATCCAGCACCGACTCCTTCCCCTGTCTGGCTGACGGCCCTCACCCATCGCTCACTGAAGACAATTGGGTTTTTCAAGGGAATATGGTGGAAAACTCCATCTACGAGGCTCAGCCCAGTTTTAAGGTTCCTGTTGGTCCACGGCTCACTCGCTCCTACCGGCTGAGGCACCGTCCCGTCCCTCAGATCCCCAATCAGCCCACACTGCCACCTCAGGACAGGTAACTGTTATCTTAAAGTAACAGTCCAACACTTTAGGAAATAGTTAGAATAATTACTCAAATCTTTTGCTTTAAGAAAATAGCAGGACCACAGTGTACAAATATTCTGTCACAATATAAAGTCAATAGTCAAGGGAAAGTACAACAAGTTTATAGCATAAAAAACAGGACCAAAAGTAAAGTAGTACATTTCATCATCATATATGCAGTATATTGAATGAATGTCTTTCATCTGTTAAATATGGGGGTTAATTTGAATGTATTGATATACTACTGCAGTAACTTAACCTAGACCTGTATGTATTATGCTGTAAAACACTCAATTGAAGTAGAAGTTACACAGATTTGTACTGTAAATATACTAAGTTATCTCCACTCCTGGGACTGTGGGCATTTACTTTGATGCAGAGAAATGAATTACATGCTCTCAACGTTAGAATCAAAATCACAAATACTTCATTTTTCCCGGGGGAAAATTTGTGTCTTGTGAGAGTTGTATAAATAAATATTTAGGATGTAAGAATATGCAATAAAAAGATAACATTTTATAAAAACTAAGTTATATGAAGGTTAGAATTTAAACAAAAAATGTCCAAGAAAAAAGAAGAATGTGTATATATAAATGTAAAGATAATTGCAAGTCGGATACATAGAGTGCGAGTTGTATCAATTTCTCTGACTTAACCCTCAACATTCAAGAAGTATTTCCAAACTATTCCTTTGAGCATAAAGTTTGACTTGATGGAAGTTTATGAGCAGTTGAGAACTAATCAAACAAGTTAGAGGAGCACAGCGAGAAGCACCTGGAGACATACATTTGCTCGCTTCCATTGCATGAATGAATATGAAAACAGGAGTGTCCCTCTCTGCATTCAGATTTACACTAATGGAGAACCTTAAGGCCCTTCATATTCAACTCTGCATTCCACGTACATTACCCTTTCTCGTGCTATATACATTCTTCTACTTTTGACCTGGGGAAACTAACTTCCAGAGTTCTCTCTTCCGAAGGCCTTTACGAGTAAACCTGCTTTTCCCACGTCGGGGTCGGTGGTTGTAATCCGCTGATTTCTCTTCCTCCTCAGGAGCGCAGCACCGGCGCAAACAACCAGCCTCGAACACCTCACCGGCTCCGAGGGTCCCACCGGTGCAAACGGCATACAGAAAGGTACGGCGTCTCTCCGCTGCTTCATCTTCGCCATGAATATTTAATTCCACAGTAGAGTCAGCGGCGCTCTTGTTTGCCCGGATGAAAGAAGGTAGAGGAGACAAGTTTGTGTGTGTGTGTGTGTGTGTGTGTGTGTGTGTGTGTGAGTTGGCTGTGTTATGGGAAAGGGCCCCTCCCTAATTTCAAGCGCACATCTCACAGGGAATATACTCTCTTACATCTCGTCCCTCAGCGAGACCCCGGTGTGTATTCCTGTCGCCCGGCTCTCCAAAGTTTTGTAGAAGTTGTTTAACTTTGCTAACAACACACAGGCTTGTAGAACAAATATGTTTTGAATTTTGTTCTCTTCTCGTTGTATTTTCTGGGCTTCCTCGACCCTCATCTGACGAGATAATACGTGAGCTGATTTTGTGCTTAGGTAAAATGTTTCACCCGGGATTATAAAATTAAAATACATATTACACAAATAGATACACATAAAAATACTTAAAAAATAAATAATAATAACGATATTTTCCAGAGGGCTTTTTAAGTAACTCACTCACTTTTGACATAACCCTAACCCTTATTAAACATAATTAAAAACATATCATTAATTTGTGTTTAAAATAAAATATTGGTGCTGTGTTTTTTAACAGTCTGTATGACTATGTGTAAAACATGAGAACATGTCAGTTTTATTGGTGGAATATTTGTCTGCATTGTGACATCTTCTCCTGCGGCATCATCAACAGTTTGCTGTCCGTTTTCTTCACTTAAACTCCCCTCACGTTTTTTCCCCGCTTCCCCTTCGCTGCTCGTTCCGCTGTACCTTTACCGCAGCAGTCTCTTGGCAGGCCTTGTTTTTTCCAACTTTTTCTCTGTACGGAACAAGACAGGGAGTGAGACTTGAGAGAGCATCAAGACAGTGAAGTGTGTTGGGAGGAAGGAAGAGGAGACGGATGCAAAACAGTCTGCGAGACTGGAGGAAGAGAGGGAGCCAAGATGGTCCCCGAGCAGGGAGATGGGGAGCTCCACTAGCAAGCTAAAGCTCCCTTCACAGCGAGGTCTAGCAAGGCAATATTTGACATATCATTTTAACCGAGCATATTTGAAGTTCATCCAAAAATGAAATCCAAACCTTGAGAAAAAAAGAGCAGTGTAGTCTCACAGTATTCAATGAGAACTTAACGTCAGATGCTCACAGAATTGTAATTAAGAGCATATCTGTCTACTTCTTTACAGCAGCTACTTCGCACTCTAAGTATATCACTAGCTTTACCAGTCAATGGCATTTGATCATACAATGGCATTTACACAAAGTTCATTGTGCTTCCCTATTTAACCTGTGTGTAGGCTGGTGTGTGTGACATTGTGGGGTGTTGACAGATATCACCTTGGTGCACAAATATCACACTGACAGCACGACTTCACTTTTAGTGCTAAGTCACACCTCAGAACGAACAAAGACAATATGACTCATGCTGAAAAGAGAAATAAATTCACTTTTAATTAACAGTTTTTGTTTATTATAATTTGTTGTGTTGAGAAATGTCACCTTCCTGCATATAAGGCAGATCTAAAAGCTAGATTAAAGCTTTTCTCACTACTCGGCCGTAAAGCTAGGCAAGCTTTTACTGAAATAATAAACACTCATTTGATTAATTTAAATTCAGGTTGTGGTAGCTGTATTTCCTCAATGCACAGACAGTGTGAGTGTGACACAGGAGTGATAATAACAAACCGACCTTTCCTTCCCGCACATTAAAGAAACAGAGGCTTCATTCACAATCAAATCAATCCCCTCACAAACTCCAAACTCATGGCGGCACCTTCCAAGATGGCGACTTGAGAGAGGGTCTGGTCAGGAGCAGATAAAGAAACAAAGGCAGCAACTGAAGACTAAAGAATAGAGGGAATCCGACAGGAATTGAGTACAGTAGCGTCCGGCAGGCTGTCGGAGAGAATTGCGAGTGGCCTGAAGGTCGGCTGATAGATGATGACTGATGGTTTGCTATCTGCCCAACAAGCCTGTCCGCAGAGAGGCCAAGCCCAGTTATAAAGAAGATGGGGTCTCCAAGTTGGCTCACGATATGAATGTGTCCCAATTTAAAGAAAATACTTATACAGCTATGGTGATTTATTTAGGCTGTGGTCCTTATGCATTTACGCACAGCCAACAGAGATAATTGAGATGAACGGTTAAGAGAAAAACACTGTTCTCTTAATGTTCACAAACAAACTGAAAGTACACATCGAAGGCTGGCTCGCAGACAGATGATGTCATTTATAAAGCAATAAACAAGCAAACTTATTACGCTAACGTGTTGGCTTTCTTACACCACAACATGCCGTTTGTGCCCTTCTGTAATGGCCTGCATTGTCTCAAAAAGCAGCACATTCACATCAGTACTGGAGTATTTGCCACTACTTATTTGACTGTCCATCCTTTTTGTGTCTGCGTTTGTCTCGAGGCATTTTTATGTGTCTTTCGATCTCCGCCCGCGCAGCTATCTGCCTCTCCGCCAGTGTCTATGTGTGTCTAGCCCCGTGGCGGTGTCTTTTTGGCCTCTTCGCAATCCTCAGGAGAGGGCGGTGTCATTTTTCACAGTGACAGGCATTGGCAAGGGTGGCCTGGGGTCTCCAGACTAATAGTGTCTGGCCACAGTCTCTCCGCTTTTCTTCTTCTCCTTCTCTTCCAACGACCACCGCACACGATCCCTGCAGGAAGCGAGACAGAGAAATGGCCTTGGCAGAGCCTCCGTCTGTTTGAGGCAGACTGAGGAGGATCCTACTCCCAGTTGGGGAAAAAGCAAAAGGCCGAAGCAGAGAGATGGGCAAAACAACATTTAATTGGTTTACATGGATCAAGGGGTTGGCACGATTTTATTCAGATCAATGCGTTGGTTTAATCAAAAGCCACTATAACATTTGAGTGATTTTAAATTGAACTGGAACAATCCTATTACTTACTTTCATGTTTAGGCCGTCATACTGCAAGTTCAAATGCTATGACAAAACTACTATTTTATTCCTGTGTCCTTTTTAGCTCCACTTCAAAGAACCTTGACGCCCATCGCTCCCTATGGAGAAATGTTCCTGTACAACAACCCCGAAAGCACTGCGGTAAGACAACGCACCCCCCCCCTCCCCGCTAGCGTCAGTGAGTAGCAGCTCGCCAAAGAGGAACAGACATTTCTCAGATCTATCAGTGGCGTTTCAACCGCAGAGCAAACTTCCTCACTCTGTGTTAATGTTGTCACCGTGGACACACAGCCGAGTGGAAATGTGCTTGTTTCAGTTTGTCCCCCTGAGGTTAATGGAAATGTCACCTAGCCACTAAAGTTAACATAGCTTAGCGCAGCAGCATGATAACGGTGTAAGACGGACACTTTGTTCTCATCTGATGTTAATCTCCTCTGTGCTCTGCAGGACCTCGGCCCTAAAGAAGGCTTACAGAAGGGTTTTAAAGACAAGATAAAACAGAAGAAACACAGGTACGGTATGCTGATGTAACACCGCTGTCCCACACTGTAGATGTATAAATTGTCATTTAGATGTTCAAAAAGGGAAGTGCTCACCACAAGATTTTGCGCTAACCAGTCACGGTGTACACATTGCAAACATTCATTTGATTTGATCATGTATCGCAGTCATTTATGATGGGCTACATTTAGAAAACAACCATGTTATTTAGAAAACATGATAAAGTTGCATGATAGAGTTGCATCATAAGTCATTTTTGGTCAATAATTATACATTTAAATTGAAACCAATGATTTTTAAAGGGATAGTATGACCTTTTAGGAAACACGCTTATTCGCTCTAATGCTGAGACTTAAATGAGATTTTCTAGCTCTTTTTTTAATTTTATTAACACTTTGTAGCTTCGTGGCTGTGTAGCTAACCAGAGATCTAAAAATAAACTGTGGTTTTACAGGGTGGTAAAACTCTATGTCTTGGCCGGATGCAATTACTGCCTGTTGTTCAGCAAAAATAGTCCCAGCACCCATCTCCTTTTGAAACTTAAGATACAAAGTGTTGTAAGACCTACATTAGCATAGACTAAGCTAATAGGACAGTGTTCTCAACGGACTGATAAGTAATCCCTAAAATGTCCAACAGCTCCTCTAACAACACCTATGCTCCAACAGAAAAAAGCCACCTAAAAGGAAGAAATCCAAGGACCAGGACATTCCCCCTGCTCCAACTATCCCAGACCATTACCAAGATGAATACTCCACTGTGGATGAGTGTGCTAGCATGGTCAGTTTGGACCAAAGTTTCCCCGTCACCCCTGACGCTCCTGCTGTGGGATCCGCAGCCTCTGGCCCTGAGGATGGACCTTTAATCATGGTGGAGTGTGACCTCTACGCCGATCCTGCAGACGCTGTGGGAAATGCACTTCCTGATATTTCTCCGTACGCATGCTTCTATGGAGCCCCCAAACACCAGGTGCTCAAAGTGGGATGGCTGGACAAGCTGTCGCCTCAAGGGTAGGTAACAGCACTCCTAAAAAAGGTGACTGTGGTTAGAGAAATTCATTTGTATCCATTAGGGATGGGAATTTGAAAGCAAATGTATATTCGAATATTCGACCCCCAAAAAAACGGTTAACCGAAATGTACATATCCTATTAAAAAAAAAATAAATAAAAAATTGGGAAAAATGTTGAATGAAGCTATTCAATACTCATTCTTGTTTAAGAATATGAGCATGTCTACTCAGGGGAGAGGCGGGTGCGGAGACGATTCACAATCACGCCAGCTGTAGAGAAGACCCTCTCAGCTGGAATTTGGGCATAAGATGAGGTTTGAGTCTGCGTGATCTGCGTGTAGGGAGGGGCAGCAGCCATATCGTTAGCTAGAACTAGCTAGATCTGATGGATTTGGACATAAACGCGAGTGAAGTATAACCAGACGCGAGAGAGAGATCAGCACCTGCAGCTCTGCCCGCTGTGAGGGACCGGTGAGCGGAGCAAAACACACCTTTAGACCTAACACACTTAACTATGGCACTGTCGTATACATTTAATTATTCCATTTGATATTTAATCAACTTAGGAACCCCTCCCAAAAAGAAAAAAGAAAATTCATAACTCATATTCTCATACCTGAATAATTTCGAATATTCGATTAATCGTTCCCATCCCTAGTATCCATGTCATATTAGTTGGATGTACATAAAACCTTTTACTGCAGCTCCTTCTTGAATGTTCTCACTCTATTTATCAACCTTTCACCCAAACAACTCGAGCGTGAAGTCACCGCCACAGGAAGTCAACCACTGCTTCCTGTTATCTTTGCAGACCCTTTTTTATGTATTTTGCATATTTCCCTGCTTCCCCTATGTGTCTTCTATCATTGATGACCATTTAAAACTAATAAATTGCATTAGATACGGAAGCCTGAAGCCGATCTATCCATAATACATGGCAACATTGAAAGGGGAAGGACAGAAAAAAGAAGACAGGAAATAACCTTGTAGGATTGAAATTCATGTCGGCTCTCATTTAGTTTGGCTTTTTCTGGCAGCACTACCTCTTTGCGAGTCTTTCAGTACCACACGGGCTCACTCAAAACCGGAGCTATCAATCATTTACTCCCATTTCATATTCTCCTTCACCACCTGATTTGCATAGGTTTGGCAAACTGCCCCCGGCTGTTGAATATTCAAATTGAAAGTGCCCATTTGTTTTGATTATGCTAATTGACAGCTGTTGATACAACTCCTGACATTAATGAATCAATGGCACTCCTGATGAAATATGAGTTCCCGTTCAGGGCAGATTTTGTAACCTGCTTACTGTCCTGGCGGTTTTAGAATTGTTTCACTTATTTCTCATGGAACTGGTTTAGTTGGGTCGAAGGCGCCACCTGAATTGAATTTGCCTCTACCTTCTCTTTGCAGGAAATGTGTTTTCCAGAGGCGGTGGGTGAGATTCGACGGCGAGAGCCTGGCCTACTACAACAACGACAAGGTAAGCGAGAGAAAAACACACGTGCATGTTCACACTTCCTCTGCTGACACACCCACATCCTCATCAGCAAATTCATTCCCCCGTGACAGAAATCTATACCATGAGCCGCTTAGCCAACTTCTAAGTGTTCTCCTCCTCCTCCTCGTTTTCATCCTCATCATCATCATTAGCTTGGCAGGCTAAAGAATGAGGGCAAGGACAGAGCGACATTAAGCCACGCATGGCAGGCCAGCAACTCTCTGTGCCCGCCCAGCCGTACAGTAAAGTACATTGATGTTGGCACCTGACCAGTTCCCCCAGAAAGAAAAAAGGAGAGAGAGAGAGGGAAGAATCTCCTCACTTTTTGCCTCCCTCAGCATTTCTTTCTCCCTCTGTACCGCTCTCTATTCTCCTCCTGTCTGACAGTTGAGTTCGAGCACTGCCTGCCTTATCATCACAGGGAGGGAGGGCATGCGGGAGAAAGAGTCAGGGTTAGGTGAGGGTATGGGAGTTGAACAAGCAGAAAATAGGGAGGAGGGGGAGGATGGCAGTTCTAACTCCACATGTTTAGCCTGGAAACTTTTTGTTTTTAGCCAACTAACTCTTTTTGGCTGCCAATTTGAATTAAGACAATATAGTACAGTATAAGAAATGACTGCTGTGGATCAATTGCCTTAAATCCTTAGAATATAACACAATAGAAACATAACCCTAACCCTATTGAAGGTAAAGAAACTATAAGTTCTGCTCACTGGTCCTAATGCATGCTGAGGCCTATTCGCACGGCTGCAAATGTTTGACACACACTGCTGGAATTGATCTCCCGAGCAGGGCTACTCCTGGGATTAGATTGTATAATTCGTAATAAGCCGAAACAGTCAATGATACCCAGGTTGACTACTGACGACGTGTAATTTTTAATGTGAGTGACACTATAAACACTACCATGTTAAGTGTCACTTCAACATCATTTTTAGATTTTACACAGTTTACACGAGGGGCTTGAATGAGAGATAAGCATGCCTAGATGTGTGACAATGATGGCAAGACGTCTTGAAAGCATATTCTTTCACCTCTTGAGTGACACTGCTTCACATAAAGGTGCCTACATGCAGTTTGCACAAGATACTGGGAAGAGTTACATTTGCTTTTATTATTCACGGCAACAGGATTCAAAACCCTGTACTCCTAACCCTATTGAAGGTAAAGAAACTATAAGAGACATCATATTTGTATCATGTCAGCCAAAAGTATGTGTCTGAATACTTGGAGGATATTCCAGGTTTTTATACTATCTGTCACACAAGATAACCTTTCTCATGACGATGAGCTACTGAATCCTTTAGCATTCTTCAGCACACAATAGAAAAACAGACGGTCAGAAGACTTTATATCACAGATATCCATTGTAATTATTTGTTATTTTGCAGCCTCCATTACCTTCATTAATTATTTAGAATGATGTATTTTAAAATGGTAATCAGGAGATGATTTATTCTTTAAATGTCTTCTTCGAATATTATACTCTTAGATTGAAAAAGGGTTTAGGAAACATCTGATCAAAGAGCATTTCGGCAACAATCACAACCGAGCTCTTAATACCAAATTTAGATTCTTAATTATGTACAGACATGTTTCAGTCAGTACTAATTACATATCGAGCGTAATGCCTTTGTAAATCAATCTGCCCTCAAACTGCATCATCACGTAACAATGACACAACATCTGACAACAATGAATGTAGATAAGGTTGTATAAGTGTATACATATTGTATATATGTTTAATGGCAGTAATTCAACATAGAAAGCACTTTAAACTACTTTTCAAACTACGCTTACAGAATTGATAATGAACAGGAATGAAAAGAAGCTTTCTCAAACTGTTGAGTATTCATTATTTGTATCCAGAAGCTTTCATAAACCTTGGCTTTATCCTTTGCAAAAAATACTTTGAATGTATGAATTCTGTGTTCTCCAGTGAGTCTCAAGCGGCCATAACCTCGCTGACATAATGTGCTTTACCTTCATGTCTTTGCTAATGACCATTGGATGTATTTTGCACCAAGAACAAACACATTTCTGTGTGTGTGTGAGCGGTGATCTCAGCGCCCCTTCTCAGGGCCAGCTCGTTTTCGCTGCAGCAGCAACGCACAACATCACAATCAATGATGTGGGACCTGTCTGATGCCCGCTCGTTAATCACCTACTAATTATAGCCCTCCACGCTCTCTCGCTCCCAGGCTTCTATCTCTTTTCCTTTGGTTTCTCTATCCTTTGAATTTGATGCTTTATTTGTCAGGACACACTCCATCGCCAGAGCGGCGGGAATCAGCAGGGAGGCCGGCGAGTCAGCACTTTATACTCCGTGTCACTGTCGGCGAAGGCGCTGCACTTTTTTTTAGAACGATGAAAGTTTGCCTTTGTGTGTGAGAGAGATTGTTGTTAGACTTTTTAAAGTCACCCTGCCAATGTGACTCTCCTCTGAGGAGGCAGAGGGCTTCATCATGTTTCGGGTGAGCGGAGAGGTCGAGTACAATCTCTCTGTCATCCTCGCGTTATGCAGCCAGCTGAGGCCCCGCAACGCCCCGCGTGCCACCCAGTGCCACCTCCAGAGCCAGCGCGGGGGTACAAGGAAATTGCATGGACAGACAGGAAGTCTCTCAGCACCGCTTTATGTCAGGAATTGAAATATGAGTTGCTGGCTTTCTTTGCCTCCCAGTGCAGAGACATGCATGTGCTGCTACACAGAGTGCAGACTACAAGTCATATTTCATCCCGTGTTGTTGTCATTATGTTGAAGGGTTACAAAACCTTCACATTTGATCTCACATCAGGGGTATTGATTATCGGATCATTACATTTCCAAGTGGATGAGCTACTATGCATTTTTCATATTGAAGTGCTTCAACTAGAAGCAGGTTTGCCAGCTAATTTGAAGTGTAATGCCCGTTTTTAAATATTTCAAAGGGTTTATTTGTCATACGCTCGATAACTATGGCAGAGTTTTGGCAATAAAACTCTTAGGTCTCTGCCAACAAAGCATCAGACAGTATACTTCTCAAAAACAAGACTTAAAACTGAGCAATATTGCAAGTGAGTTCTAGGAGAAAGAACAATAAATAATTTGAAATTAAATAATGTAAAGTAGAACTAATACTGTATAGTGTAATAATCAATACATACTGTAATCATATAATACTTCTATATACTAACATATATGTTTTTTTGTATATAAAAATAACACATTATAACATGGTATTTTGGGTTAACATATGTCAAGATGAAACCTGAGTAATTCTGACTCACTTTGTCTGCATCTATTATATCTATTATTACTCAAGATGCTATAATCTCAGCTACATGCTAACGTCCCAATGCTATTGCAGCATGTCCACAGTGGCAAAGATGACATGCTGCTCTCATTTAAGTTTAGCATGTTAGCATTAATAACACTTAAGTACAGTCGCAGATAATATTAATTTCGGCTTTTCAGATATCTCAGAAATTATGTAACAACAAAACATTTCTCAAAAAAATACAAATTTGAATACATTAGCAATAAAACATATCCAATTTTGCTGCTATAACCCCACTTAGTCTGTTATGGCCAGTAGCATGTTGCATCTAATGTTAGCTAACTTGTATAGATAGGATCCAGACTTTTTATCTCTTATATTAAAAACCAGCTAAGATATTGTTTTTTATGTTTTCAATCTTTACTATGCAAACACCAAAAAGCCACACACCTCCACTCTTTTCATATTCCCATGCTTGTTCTCTTTCTCGAACTTTAAACTACCCCAGAAAACTCTTTCCGTAGTTAAAAATCCTCTGGGATCTGTCAACCTCAGACAGAACTAATCACACTTAATCGCAGTCCCAGCTTGAAGGTCTCTGGCCGCCATGATGTCATCATCGGGGGTAGCTGAGGTGGCGTGGGAGAGTAGCGAGATCCTCGGTCTCACTTCTTCTTGCAGCGCTGTATCCAATCCGCCACATCAATCACTCCTTTCGCCTGATTTCGTCAACACCCGGATTGACTTGGGAGAACGCTTTGGGCCTGAGAGGTAGTCTTTAGGGTACCGACATGGTGTCGTGTGTGTGTGTGTGTGTGTGTGTTTGTGAAGAAACAGTCCAAAGCCTGGCTTCAGGGTAGCAAAGGGAGGAAGTGAGGAGGATGGCTGGGAGGGATGAAGGGATGAGAAGATGGGGGAGGGAGGTGGAAGCTGAATAGCAGGCCATAGGGGAGCTGAGGTTTTAGGATCGGGGATCAGTCTTTGAGTGTATCAGTCTCCATGATTGTCTGTCTGCAAAGCTCTCTCTTTCCAAGCCTGAAAGCTCCTCTGCTTACTCCCTCCTGTGTCTTCCCAAGTTGCCCTTGCTGACACTTAGTGTAACACTTGTGACACTCCAAATGTTTACTTTTTATTATTTCTGTGTGAAAAGTATGCAACACATGTAGCAGTTGCAAAGAATCTTAAATGATGTCAATGTTCTTACCATTTGAATCCATATTAGTGCTACTCTTGATGTAGATTTTACCGCATTGAGTTGTGAATGATCTTGAAAGAGCTTTGAAAACATACCGTTGTTATTGCCAGGGGCTTATTAGCTGACATGGTTAGCCACAAGCTCACATAGCATTTACCTGCGAAAGAGGCAGACTTCATTCTCATAAGTTGGTCAAACTGAGTGAATATTGGACTTGGACTCATCAGGTGAACAAAAACAGGACTTCAAACAATTGAATTCTTTGCATATATAAGCAATTTCTTGCTATAATTCTAACAATATCAACATTACAGTATAAGGTGAAATGTAAATGTTTGCAGCAATGCCCCCAGGTGGCTAAAAATCAAATGCATGTTTAAGCATAACCCTAAATCTTTGTTTTTGCCCATATAAACTCATGAAATGTAAAAAAAAAAATGAAAGATGCCCACAGGCTTTACTATTTAAATATTTAATCTGAATTATTTGGTTATACTGTATGTTCAAAAACCCTTTTGACCCATTGCAGCGTTCAGGGACCCAAAAGTCCTCTCAATCGCACTATGAAGACTTAAGGTAGACTAATTCACGAGGAACACAGCTCTGCCTGGAAGCAACCTCTTTAAACTCCTTGAGGCACCCTACTTGGTGAAACACTGAGTAAGGACGCATTGCTTTCCACAGGCAATATCTCTAAGGTGCAGTTCTCCGCTCCAACCAGTTGGTGTCCTCATGCCTCCATTGAAAACCCTCTGCTTTGAGATGCCAGAACCTGAACTCCGTGCTGGTGGTGAAAACTCTTTCCAGCCTCTTCAGCCTCCTCCCTGCTTTCTCCACACGCTGCCTTCATTATTAAAGGTCTTAGCTCAATTGCTCTGCTTTAATTGTTTCCTGAAGTTTACCAGGTTGTTTCTTTGAGAAGAAAAGAGACATAGTTATCCACGTAAAATAGTCTGTTCGACGAAGAAGTGACATGACGTACGTTGGGAGGTTTTGATAGGGAACGGCTAGAATAAGAGAGTGGGAGAGAGGTCAGAGGGAGGGGGAAAGGAGATGTTTGGCAGAAGGAGGCGAGACAGGTGAGTCTGTTGGAGAAAGAGAGATAGTTAGGCCTCATTGCTTCTTTGGCAGTCCGTTCTCTAGGGATTAGTCTATAAACACTGTGTGTGTGTGGGGGGGGGGGGTCGGACGAGTTGTCTGACCGCTCCTCTTTTCCCCATCTCTCGTCGCCTATCGAGGTATTTACAGATGCACAACTCGCAATTAAACAACTCTCTCCTCCATGACCCTCAAAAGTAGAATTAAAACAATGAATTACCGTTAACCCGTACCGAGGTATAATTATCAGCCGCGTGCTTCCTCTTTTCCTCACCTTCCTTTAACTTCTATCTAAAATTAGAGAGCGAAAGAGGCGGGGAGACATTAGTGTGAAACTCCTGAGGAGATAAACGCACAATGCTGAATGTCGGTAATTAGGTTGAGCCACTTCTTGCCATTGTTAACATCCTGTCTTATTATGAGAAGGACCCCACACTGACCCCTTTTTAGCCTCCTTATTCCGACATGATGTCTCTCTTCTATCCGTAACCCTTTCTTTTTCGGATTATGTAATACTTTTGATCTTTTCTCTATTGTGTCTCTTTTCCTCAGTCCTCTCCTTGGCCTTTCACACAAACCTAATTCTCTTCTTTTTCAAATTTCACGCCCCCCCTCCCTCCCTCCCTCCCTCCCACCATCCATCCCTGCCTCCGCCCCCGCTCTCCCTAACTGACTGCACTTGCTGGTGTATATTTTTGGCTCTACTGTCTCTAGAAATAGGCTTTTGTGGCTGGCAAGGTCACCGGCTTAATTAAGAATGGCAAGAGGGAGTCAAAAGTTCACTTCCTTTTCCTTCCAAGATTCATCCTTTTGTCTTCCCTTCCTTTCACACTCTACAGTAGAGTAAATATACAGTACTGTGCATGGCAATCCCCGCAATCCATTACAAGAATCAGAAATTCAGGTCAAGCTTGTTGAAAAGCGTCAGCGAGAAAAAAGGGAGGTTTTTTTTCATACCTTGCAATGATAATGACATTATCGACATGAATAATGCAATGTCTGCGACGACCCTTTTCTTTTTTATAACCCGGTGATTTTCACGCCGCTACAGAAGCGTAATGTACTCTCCCCCAGTTCACTCCATTGCAGGAACATTACAATCTGACATGTTCTCAGCTCATTTCCAACTACTTTAAGGGCATTTCTCTGTTACTCTAACCACATTACGGTTTGAATACTGATTCCATGGCAGTACTCTTCTGTCCTTGCTTCCTCAGAAGTGATAATACTGACGTTTGATTCCTTGTTTATACGCCCCTTCTGTCTCCTCTTTATATTGACAATGACCTCGTACTTTAATTGCTTTGTCAAGGGAGGTTGTAAAGAGGGTCATGAAGCCTCCAGTGTAACATCCTCCTTGTTTAGATGCCTCCTCTAGAGCTGCTCAGGGAAAACATGTGGGTAATGAAACAATATACACACACACACGCTCACACACACACACACACACACACACACACACACACACACACACACAGATCCAATCCCAGTTTACCCAACAAGCGCTTCCTGTGCTGCACCCAAATCCCCACACCAGCGTACCCGTCTCTTTTTAAATATTTGCGAAGTTTGTTTTCGGCTTGTGGATTTGTTTTATGATGATGTCTCCTAACACCCAAACGACGTGTTATTCTTGGCTTCTTCGGTGCATTGTAATTCACTTTTTGGGGCTGTTTCCTCCTGCTCCATTTCAAATCCCACACATTTCAAGTCTATAATTCAAATGATTTGTGTTAATGTCAAAGACCACATCAAAACATATTTGTCCTTGCTCATATGAACGCATTTTCTATATGGTTCCTGTTTGCATTCCTGCAGCAGCTTTTTTTTAAATTGAAATACCCAAGAGCTCTGAGCCATTCGTCAAAGTTATTGCTTGAAAAGGAACAGGGAAGCCATTTCTGTAAATACATTTGAAGCTGGATTGATGGGTAATGGTTCTAGATGGATGAGGATGTTTGACAGTGGTGTACAACTCAGAATTACACATCAACTGATGCAAGCAATGCGGTAATTGTGGGTCTTGAGATCTAGATAATGGGAATAAGAACTGATGCGTGAAGCTGTGTGTGTCTGCTTGGGTTTTTATCAGCGCTCTTATCTGTCTGTTTATGCGTCTTTTTGTTTAGGAGATGTACTCTAAAGGTACGATCCTGGCCAGTGCTATCAAACAGCTGCGAGGACTTGGCGACAACAAGTTCGAAGTGCTTACCTCGCTTCGGACTTTCGTTTTCCGGGCTGAAAGAGAAGGTAGGACGAATGCTTCATATTCTTCTTCTGCTTTTCGCAGTCCTCTTTCTGCTGCTCATTCTGTACTCCTCTTTCAAAGGATATTTTCAATGTTATTATATATTTTACATTACTCAAAATTCATTTTGCAAGGTACCCATATATTAAGAAATGGGTTACTCTACATTCTAGGAAATGTGTCTTCTTTTAGAGCGTGATACAAGACAATCAATTTCATGTCTGTTGTTGCTTGTAGCCTAGCAAAGCATAACAATTGCAGTTGAGCTAAAACAGCTTGCCTGGATTTGTAAGAATAACAAAAATATATTGTCTTCCAAGAACTTGCAAGATCCCTAATATGTTGTGTTTTGAAAGTTTGTGCTTTTAGGGAAAGTTGCACGCTAACATATTAGCTATAGTAATAACAGTAGCCATTGTTCAGAAAGTAAAAATGGCAACACACAACTTACCCTGTCCTATCTGTTGCGACTACTCAACACACAGTGTGTATGACTTTGTGTATGTCTAAGTTAGTAGGTCTGTTTTCCCCATGGATGTATAATAAGAACTAGATACAGCGTGGGAGGCGGGGCCTCGTTCATTCCTATGAGAGTTGCTCATTGGCGCATGAAGACAAAATGGCCCAACTTTAGAGAGAGCGAAACGTCACGAAAGTATTCATATAATCATATAATCCGTTCTTATTGTGCATCCATGGGTAAAGGTAAAACTCATGTAGTACTGAACACGTCACATGAACGTGCCGGGCGGTGCTGTCCCGTGGGTTAGATCCGCGTTCATAATGCAGAGGAAAATAACTCTGAGAATAACGTTATTAGCACATTTTACAACTTGAGGACCGAATGTTTTTAATAAGGGCTATACAAATGTTCATACTGGGTAGTTTATTTAGTTTCAAAAAAATTATCCAACGATTTACAGACGTCTCTTTCCCAATGTTAGTCAATGGGAAAAAGTCTTTCCGGGCCGAGCGACTGATACGGAAGTGTAGTACCGCCGTTTGGCCACAACGAATATTTTCCTCAGAGTCCGGCGCACTTCCTGGGGGCTTTTGCTTCCAGTTTTTATGCTAAGCTAGGCTAAACAGGTATTGACCTTACCTCAAATACACATTCATCTTAATGAAAAGTAAACAAATAGGCGTATAGAATAAATAGTTCCTTGAATATAATTCTATGTAAATGAACCAATTCACAAATCTCCCAGGAGCTGTCCTTTTAATAGTCCCACTCCTTCTTCCTCTCTTCATCCTTCTGTCAGACAAAACGATGAAAGAGTAGTCTCTGCTTCTCGTCTTTTAGCTGGATTCTTTGTGTCGGCGTTAATGAGAGGGGAAAGGAGCACTTCCCTCTCTTCACCTCCTGTTTGATGGCAGTCTATTACGCAGCTCAGGTCAAATTGCTCATCCACTAATCGACGGTCCATCTCTGGGATCAGATGCTGGCCGCCCTTTGGTTCCCGCGGATGAGTCACATCGGAGAGTTTTGCATGATTATGGACCTTTGACTCATTCTGCGGTACAGTTTGAAAGATGTGAGGGCATAGAAGGATCTTTGCAACCTTTTTGCAAGTTATTGACGTCGAGGAATATAATTATCAATACTTGACATATACATCATTGATATTGAGCATCTGCTTATTGCTCTGGATAAGTTCAACTGGTGGTTTATTGCTCTTTGTTAAGCCGAACTCATATAATATGAGTTTCTCAAAATCCTCTGGGTTAAACTGAGGCAAGTTTGCACATAATTGTTCTTGGAAGGCAACTAATCAACAGCTAAAAATCTTGTTTTTATTAATCCTTTTTCTTTTTCTGGCTAGCTGGTGAACGTCATGAAATACCCATGAACTTTCTCTCAGTAGTTGAGAGACCAAAATGTATTCGAAAGTGAATGATGTCGGATTTGTGAATGGGCTTGGTAACAAAGAAGCCATAGAACAAAATGTGTTTTGTTTTTATAACTTTTATCGCTGCATCAAGTCTACCAAAAATCAGTTCTGACTTTACAAAGACTCAAATTTAGTTTCAAAGTTTTGAAAGTCTGTTTACTTCGACTTCAGTCAAAGCCATTTCACGCAGAAGTGGATATATTTGACATCTCAAAAACATGGACTCCAGTGAAACATTGCACATTAGTTCAACAGAATTAGGATGTATTTATTCATGGAGCTGATAAAGGGATATGCAATAGTAAAATATCCTTGCCAACTAACTAGAACACTAAATGGAGGCAGCCTATATTCTCTTATAAACATGCATCTTCATAATAATGTATCATCTCACCCATACACTGAATCAAGGCCTGATTTTATGTTTGTGTTTTGGTCTTAAACCACCTTTGTTATGGTACTTCTTAAGACCTAGTTTTCTTGATGGAAGAATGGTATTTGCTTTTTTACGATTGGATCTCCTTCCAAACAGTTGTGCATCCACTCAGATATAGATGTAGTCAACATCTTGCCCTTTCTAAACCTTCTTAAACTTCCTAAAATGAATTCTCACCAAACTGAGCCCCAGTGATTCTTCGCCCTCACTCTTTCCATTCAGTGCATCATCATATCAATATCTGCCAGACTTTTTTGTCTGTTTAAGAGTCGCGGGTCCTCAGCGGCATCATTCATCACACTGTCTGCGAGCTGATCGTCATACGTCACACTCAGCCGTGCTGACAAGCGGGATCAGCGAGAAGCCCCCCTCACAGAGGTGGCTGCTGCCGTCAGAAGAAAGAGTTGGGGAGAGAAGAGAGAGGGAGAGAGAAGGAGGAGAAAACTTGGCCTCATCACCTCATGCATCTTTAAACAGGCCCACTCGCCTTGTGGCGGAGAGTCATCAATCTTTGGGGAAACACATGAGAAAGAGGAAGACATGAGGAGACAGAGGGAGAGAGAAGGAGTAGGTTAGTGAAGTGGGCTGATGCAGTAGGGGTGAGAGGGGGGAGAAAATGATGGTGTGATGGTCAGAGGAGTGTGTAGGAAACGGAAAAGGCATCCACAAGGGACATTAGGAGAAGGGGGGATAGTGGAAACAAGGAAGGGAGCGATTAAATGAGGGAATAACGGGGATGGATGGAGCGAGAGAGGTAGACACGCAATCTCGGCGCGAGGAAGCAACAGAGAGGTAAAGGCAGGCACGACAGGGGGAGATGAAAAGGGCAGAGTGAAGATGGAGAGAGGGGAGAGGAGGAGGGAGAAGCGAGTGAATAATTGAAGGCCACCGGAGAGAGTGTGCACACAGCTGTCGGCTGACTCTCCACTTGGTCCGCAGGTGGCCTCTTCCCTCAGGTACTGTCAGCTTGAGAGAGGAGAGATGGAAGGAGGAAGGAAGGAGGGAAGAGGAAAGGGTGGGGGAGAAGAAAGCAAGAGGGAAGGGAGAGTTTGGCAAGAAGAGACACGAGCGGAGAGTGATGGAAAACGGACGGGACAACAAGCGAGTGTTGGGGTGCAGACAAATGCGCTACAAGAGGGAAGATGGGATTTATGTGGTAACGGAATGTTGATGATTTGTATTCTGATGCTTTGGCAATTGCCTTTCCACAAAGCCTGCTCCGAACACATGTTAGTGTTGTCTGAGATGACAGGGAGGCAGATAAGAGAGAGATGTAGACAATAAGTAGGGATAACAACAAACGGGCCAGGGAGAGGAAGGCGGTAGAAATATAAACTCCGGAGGACGAGTCGGAGTACATTTGTATTAACTGTAGTAAATATTTCACTTTCTTATTTTAACACTCGGTGCCTGGTTTAATCATTTCAAACAACAATCAATCAAATGCATTAAAAGGTAGTTTGAAGCTAATGTTTAGTGGTATTAACAAGCATTAGAACAACTATGCCAAGTAAGAAAAGTTCTCCTTGACATAAGGCAACAAAAATAACAGGTATATATTTTAAATTAGATCCTGACTTAAAATACTGGATTTTGAAGTACATAACATGCCGGCTTCTAAGATCTCTGCTGAGCGCTAAGTGCACCTGGTTCTCATCTCATCCACTTTCAATGAGGATTATCTGCCTCTCTGCTCGTCTCTGGCCATGTAGAGTGGAAGAGTGTTTCAATACATGGCTATACATACATCCCTTAACAAGCTGGATGTGGCTTCTGTTGGGCCAGCTGTGCACTTTTTTTATAGAGATAAGGGCATGTTTGCACACAGAGTGAACTTTGGCAATCACGCTCATATACGAGAGTTTGCGCAAACAAACAAAAACATATACTCCATCATATGCAAGACGAGCCAGAAGCACACATGCTAACCCGCAGGCATGCCACCATCTCCTCAGTTTCGCTCAAGTTTTCTCCTCAATCCTCCCACTTCCTTTCCTTGCCTTCCCTCCCACTCTTAGATTGACAGCATGCGCGAAGAGGAGAGAAAGAGGAAGTGCCTGAATAAATGAACAGACAAATAAGTGAGCGCAGGACAGGTAATGGAACTCAGAAAGCAAGGGTGGGAACGGACCAGTAAAGCCCAGTGATGTACAGAGCGGTCAATAATTGAGTAGGCCATTCATTATTGATAGCGGCTCTTTGTAAATTCATAAGAATCTGGGGGGTAGCCAGACCCGAGCTGAGTTCAGGGCCAGGCAGCGGATACAGTCAGGAGGGGAGTGTTTGGGAGTGGGAGAAACTTTTCCTCAGATGTTGGTGGAAATGTCCACATGTGAGAGCACGCAGAGGTCAGAAGGTCACGCAAACGCTCACCCTGAATTACCTGTTTAAAACCTGGCCAACCATTGGCATCAATTAATATTGAAATAATCATACCTGTGTAAAGTTAGACCTGTGGATACAAAGACCATATCCATTATGCAGTCAACCCAAAAATACCTCAATGGATACAGAACAGTAAGCAACGCTAGAAGAAACAAAATCTATTACCATTCTTTTTTTAACTTTTTATGATTTGAACCCTGGTAAACTCTTGATTTTTCCCTGTTCACCACTAACTATTAACAAATAAACAACACTGTCTGTGGCTCTAAATTGCTGTCGGGTCACATTATTGTCCTTGATATATTTCCGTGGTTGCAGGATATGCATTAGGAGTACCACAATAATCTGCTGCTGATATTTTAACACTAAATTATACTCATTGACCAAAGCAGTAATCGGCGCAAACGGCTATACTTCCCCTTTTTTGTTTTCAATGTTTGAATCTGAAAAGCATGGCCAAGGCCAAGGTCTTTGAGTTTCCTGCAGACATAGATGATTTCTCCTTGTTATGAAGCTGACTTCCAACAGGTTGCATGCACATTAACTCAATCCGGATCCTGCTGTGGTGGCAGATATGATTGATGCTGACTTAAAAGGCTACAAGGAAGCAGGGGAAAGATGTTGCGTATACTACCAGTTACATCCGCAGACCAAGATTTACACAGGCCATCAGATATCACTGAAGATAGTGTGCAAAGTACGACTTATACTAACTGCTAACAGATTTAAGTTAAGTAAGTGTGGATTTATCTTCATTTCTTTATTGAAATGTCCAATGGATTTTTTCTTCTTCAAAGATTCAGGACGTGGAATTTTAGTAGAATCTCTAACTTTGATGTGATTTGAGCACCCACCCAGCTGTGGGTGAAAAGTGTAGATCAATAAAACACACTTTCTCTATTCTTAAATGTTCATGCTTTAACAGTATAACATTGGACAAACGTTTGCTCATGCTTACTTAGCCTATATAGCTAATAAAACAATTGATTTTGGGCAACATGATTTATGTGTCTATGGTTTTACGTCTTTTGGCAAAGAACCGGCCCATAATAATCATAATAATGGATGATAGAATGAAGCAGAGAAGTGATTACACCTAGTAAGGGCTCTTGTCTCTTTTTTTTTTTATACCTTGAACAAGAGAACCATTTGGAAATACAGACCTCAAGTCCTCTGTTTGAAAGAAATCGGTATAATGTACCGCAGGTCTCCCTTGAAAAAGAGATCGTTGATCTCAATGGGATTTTTCACCTGGTTAAATAAAGGCTACAAACAAACATGCGATTCCCCATCCTGTTATTTGCTAAAATTCATGGGTATCCAAAAATACATTTCGTGAAAAAAGGGGTGTATGACCACACAAGTGCTAACTTTGTCACTTTGTGTATTTTAGGAAAGTGTCAATTGTCAGTGTTGTTTTTGGATAGCGAGTTGAGAGCCACATACGTTTGAATTGGACTGCATATACTTTCTAAAAAACTTTAGGAAAAAGGCTGTCTTTTTCTCAAATGTTAAGGTCCATCCCAACAGCTTGGTCTCATATCGGTTTACAGATGTTCTTCAGATTTCCTTTTCTCCCATCTTGTTTTGAACAGTCACCACAGTGGGTGCTGCTTAGGACCTGTGATGTGTGAGCGTGGGGGGTTGTGTGTTTACAATCCTTTGGTATCTCTTGTGTTTCCACTCTGCTGGCTTTGATAGCACAATGTCTTGGGCGGTAGGGGAATGAGCTTTACAGCGCCGGTTTCATGTCTTCTTTTATGTCCGTTTGTAAAGTAAGACGAGGAAGACATCTGAGAGGCCTTTAGAGTGTAAACCCTGGATAAAACACCACGCATTGCGTTACACTTGAGCCATTTAGTTGTGAGGTAATCCTGGGTGATTTATACAAGTGAGAGATTCAAGTGTCGTGTTCAAGGACAAATCGTTTTTGAAGTCACAGAGTATAAGAAGTGGCTGTTATAGGACGGAAATTAGCCAATCGTATTCAGTCAGCTCTTACTAGGCACCTCAGGTCTTAAAAGCTTTGGATTTTGGCATGTAATCGCTGTAGAATCAACACTCAGTATATACACATTTTTCGTGGTATCTACATTAGACTAAAACGCATCGATTGGACTCCTTTGTTTACTTCCTTACAAACTGACATCACTATGTAACATCACTTGTGCTTCTATTGGCTAGCACTCCAACACATTGATATGCTGAGGAGCGGGACATTTCTGACACATCGCTACTGTAAGTGGTTGTCCAATCACAACAGAGCTGGCCAGCTAACCAATCAGAGCAAACTGGGCTCTGGTTTCAGACAGAACTACATGCCAATTTCAAACAAATGTTGAACAGGTTAAGATAATGAAGGGATGACTTTACAGCCATGGGTGTAAACTGAATCTTGACTTGGTTGGCGGAGGCATACAACCTCGAGGCAGTAATCTAGTTTAACTATATATTTTAATTAGGTGGTATGTTTGACACACATTTGTCTTAAATTACCCCGGCCACATCTTGCCTAAGGCTTGTAAATCTCAGAGTAGCAGCTATCTATCTCAAGTGCTAGACTTTGCACTTTTCAGCTTTGCAGGATATTCTTTTTCTGGGGGCTAAGTTCACTTCCACCAATGGCAGCTCATCCTCTGTTTCAATTACTTTTCCTTCAGACTGGAATTTTCTGTATCAGTATGCAACGGGGCTTTTAGCAGCCAACAAGCCACTGAAGGGATGTAAAAATGATGAATTCACACTATGATTCAAAGACTTGAAGATGCCCCTTATCTGTCTTTGTCTTGTTCTCTTTCTGGCCTTTCTTGATTTCTTCCTCTCATCTCTTCCTCTCACTTGTATCCACACGCACCTCTCATTGTCTCTGTTTCCGTCTCTCACTCATGCACGTGTGCACAGGGGAGCGCCAGGAGTGGATGGAAATTCTTCAGACGGCCACGCGCCCCCCCGCCTGCGGCTCCCAGAAGCGCTCAGACAGCCTCCCCCACCCGCCCTCCACAAACAAGCAAGGCTTGCTGGATCTCCGCGGTTACAAAGGCAGAGTGCTGGTGTCCCTGGCGGGGAGTAAAGTCAGGCTCTGCAAAACAGAACAGGTACTTCCAACACCGCCGGGACTTCCTCTCCACAGGATGACAGCTTCCTGTTTGAAAAGGGATGATAATAATCACAGCCTATTTGAAGCAGATGAGGTAGAGATGGAGATATTCATGAAATATATGGAACTGTTCATGAATATCTAATGAGAAAAGTAAATATATATGTGTAAAAGGCTTCAGGGTCCTGAGATATATTGTGCTCTATTTTTGTGGGTAAAAGACGGGGTAGCCAAATTACAAGCAACAACTTTTACCAGCTACATTTAAAAGATGGGGGGAAAAGGATGTTAAGTGTATATATGTATTGAAAACTAGACATTATTAGCAGATTGGGGTTCTGCCAATAATGGGGGTTCATCAGTATAAAACAAATTGGCTTTTTTCCATTGGCCGATTTGGAATTTTGGAAAATTAGCCATTAGACGCCAATGGCCACCACAAAGCAATGTATGTATCATGTGAATTATAAAATATAGTACTCCTCTTGAAACCTGTTTTTTTTTAGGCATAAACCCTTACAGTAGCTTAAGAGTTTAATTTCTGAGAGTCTGGCTAATGCCACGCAATTCTATGAACATGAGCATGTAAACGTGTCACATTAGATGCACAAATTACAAATATCACCCTGACAATGAGCATAATGGCCCCTATGATCTAACTATAAAAACACTTGTCAGTAAGGCCACATTTTTGCACAGCTTTTAGTTTTTGAACAGTCAATAAAAACAGCACGGCTTGAGAAACTATGACTTATTAGTTCGTAGTATGAGTCATCTTCAAAAACCCTGAATCCTCATCATAACTCAAATCTGTGGGGTTCCCCTTTGACATGCTGCTTCAGTATCAGCGTGCTTATTTAAAGGGCTTTGCATCTGTTTCAGAGATCATTTTGAAGATTCCCAAGGCTTTCATAGTCAGTATTGGAGTATTTTCTGACTTATTCACTCTTTTTTTTAAAACTTACATATCCTCTTAACTGCAGAATTTAAAGACGAGATAAGTTTTCACTTACTCATACTTTCCCTATTTGAAGTAAGTCCAATTATCCCGGATAGTCCCCCCGCTCACGTACTGAGACTGTGTTCTCCTCCTACTCCTGTCCCGGCAGCAAGATATCCTATCTGAGATGGAAAGATATCTCAAACGCAGTGACACTATTACTTAAAGTGCCTCACACGTCTTTGTGTGCATATCTGATAATGCCACACTCGTTCGACACGTCTCAATTTCTCTGTGGTTCTCATTTCATTTCGCCCTATCTTTTACTTTTGTTGTTTGCCTTTCATTATTTTCTTCATTAGCGTGAACAAACATCTTTGTTAGAATTCTCTTTTGGGTATCGCTCCACGTCAGCACATTTCCACATCCTTGATCTGAGACAGCAGGAGGAACGGAGGGAAAGAGAGAATCGGAGAGAGGACAAATTAATTGTATTATTTCAGCTTACGAGCTAAATCCCCGGCATAAATGCAGCAGCAGCGGCGGCGTTTTTTATTTTGCAGAGACGGGAAGGGAGGCGGCGAATAAAAGGCAAGAGAATAAGAGACTGAAACAAAGAGTTGGAAGTAGAAAGCAGAAGTGGAAAGGGTGGGGGTGCAGAGGTCATATGAGCGTTGGTGGTTTGTAAGAGAAAGGAGAGAGGTAGACCGTCGCCCCGTTCAAGTTCAGCGAAGTGGAGTATTTAATCTAACATGATGAACGAGCTATTGGATACATCATCCTCCCAGCTCCTCCTTCACCGCCCCTACTCCACTCCTCACGGGCCGTAAGCCCTGTGATGAAGCTGTGTTTAAGGTCATTTAACCACCAAGGTAAAGAAAGTCAGACGGTGCGCAAAGTGTGACACACGCATTACCTCCGAGAGTGATTTGCCTGCCATGGGCTGCATAGGCAGATCGCTGTCATGTATTACCAAGTCATACATCACACCTGGTAGATAAAGGATTGATTGATAGTTGGATCATATTTCTTGCCGTCATCTAGTATGTAATTTAGCTGCCTACTATCTTAGGTGAACCTAGTTTCTCAGTCGTTTTTTCTCTCGCTTTCATACCTACTTTGCAAAAGTTCCACATACAGAAGAGCCTTCTCCGGTGGGAAAGGTATTCCGAGTATACAATAACAGCGATGACTGAGGATTTTAATTAATCTCTACTTTAATTAGATCTCTTTCTCATTTGCTCCTCAAGATGTTCTTTGTTACAATTAACGTCATCCCAAGACTGCAAGGCCGTTTTGCTAAGAGTTGTAACACAAGTGAGTATCGTTTTACCAAGGCCCTCCTGTTGTAATGTTAACCTCTTTAAGTTTACTATGAGTGCATTCATAGCTTGCCTCTAGCGGTTTCTGTATAATCCACCGAATAACTTCCTTTATCCTGGCCCATTGATTTCAGTTTCCTTGACCGGTGCCTCACTGTCAGATGTTCAAAATAATCACGTGTTTTGTCTCCATTGAGAGTTTTCTCTTTTAATTTCACCTTCTGCTCTGAGACACTTTTCGCCTACATTCTTTTAGAGTGGTTAGAAGTCAAGGCCGCCTTTTCTACCTCGACACTGTAGAGTAACCAACTCGCACAATCAGTGGTTAAAAAGCTTTGAAAGAAATTCAAATTGCATGTATGACAGGAATGTTCAGAGGGGACCTTTGCTCAGCACATATCAGGTTAAGGCTACTCAATTATTTGAGCACGGATTTGGTGCGTTTCCTGATTATAATTGATTTATTTACCTTTTGAGTCGATGGATTCATTCTTTCTTCTTGTTAAAGTCTTTTAAAAAGCTTAATGTATTATGACACGTGGACAAAAAGTCCCTAAAAACCCGCATGCGTACGAACATTTCCCCTTAGGGTCCTTCCCTTCCCTAAAGCGCCATTATAGCCACCTACCTCTTGGCTGTTGTAATTGGCAGAGTTATTTTTACCTCTAATGCCTTTCCTTCCTCTCCTCATCCCTCCTTCCCTCCATCCTCGGTGAATTAATTGGAGAGGGCAGGAGGCCACGGCACATATTGGGTAGGTAACGAGTGGCGAGGGCTGGACGGCCGCTAACACCCAGCGCTCTAATTGGCTGCCTGAGAGGGATGAGGGTCATTAGGTATAGGTGACTGCTTTGCCCTCTCAGCACAGCCTCACACTCTCATGCACATACATTCAGCACATACAGTGTAGGCGCCTTCCAGTGTGAAGCAGAACAATTATACAATGATACATGGGAACCATTCGTCCTTCTGTGTTTTAAATCATAGCCTTGTGTTGCATTTAAGATACTCCCCTTAACTGAGAAGCGATAATGCGCTTTGAATGGAGCAACCCTCATTATCCCGTCATGCTTCTTCAACCTACGGAACATACCGGATCTTAAAGAGCAATGACTGTAGCTATAATTGATGGAATAAAAAAGGCAAGTTTCTTCTATTTCTGAGGAAAATCTCAACTTTGAGCTCAATTAGGACTTGGCCATCGAGTGAATTCACTTGTCTCGCGCCCTTGCCTCTGTCCTTTTATCTTTTGCCGTCTTCTTCTGAGCTCACAGTGCCTTTATTACCCATAATGCTTCACGGATCTTCATGCTAGCATGTCACCATATTTCCATTCCTCTCATTCGGTCTCAATATCATTGTCCAGAAGTGTTAGGAAAGTAGAATAATTGCTTTTTTTACACAGTCATCTAAATGTGTTCAACGTAGTCTAATTGGGGCTAATGATGAACACATTACAACATTAGCCCCAATTGAACCGACCCACACAATTGGTTGAAAAACCTGCAGCACGCAAGTATTCAAGTGACTTCCTCCATGTGTTTCGTAAAATGTAGCCGTGCTGAGAAGTTTGTCGCTAATTAGATGTAGAATTTGGCAACGCGCTACACATTTGTCTCTCTTCTGTCTTCCCAAAAACCACCCTAATCAACAAAGATGGTGTCATTCATTTTCTTCTCTTTGTTTAGTCTAATTAGTGCAAATTGTTTTCTTGGTGGGGAACAGTTAGCAGAGAAAACACACATGCTTTTATGGCTGGCACAGCATGGCAGCATTTAGCTCTCCTCGCTTAGGCGTTGTTCTGTAAGTCGCTGTAGAGGAGTGTTGGCGCAGCTCCTGATTTATTCTGGCTTTCCACACACACACACACGCAAGCTTTCATTCTGTCAATCGCTCAGCTGACCCCTCACTCATCTCACCCACTCTCAGCAGGGATTACCAAGGCCTTCTTTCTCTTATACTTCCCATCCCATTGTGTTCTCGCTGTCTTTCTCTCCCTCGTCTTTTGACTCACGTTTTTTGGCTTCGCCCGTGCATTCTTTCTCTATTGAAATCTTGGATGCCTGTGTTTTTTTTCCTCTATTTTGATGTTGTGCCTATACTTGTGTGGGTGTAGTTGTACTTCTTCCTGTCTGTTTTTCTGTCTCCGCTCGGAGCTCTAGGCTATGGAAAATGGTCTAAACTGCAGTGAGTGTTGAGGGTGAAGCGGAGAGGGGCGGTGTGCGCTGTGAAGCTTAGAAAAACTCTGCTTCTGCTTATAACCCCTATTTCTGAAATGGGTCTTAAGAGGCTGAGAGCTTGGGTTGCTTTGGATTCCCCTGAGACACCTTTTACCTTTCTATAGCTACGCCGTTTTTTCCAGGTATACGCACTCACCAGCCTCTCTTACTGTCTGTCACACACGCATCCAAACGCCATGCACAGACTTGGCTTGTGCATCATTGGTGCGAAGGAGAAAAAGCTGATGACTGTTCTTGGTCTGTCACAGACTATTTTCTCTCACACTTAAAACAACGTCCAGTGCCATTTACCAAAATAAAAACGTTACTGCAGGAAAAAGAGTAGCCGAGACTGAGGATGTATTTACTTTGAGTGTATGTCTTCTTTTGTGTTTGCTACTTTTCATTAGACCAAGTGACATTCAAGTCCTATGCGAGAGAAACACTTTAATGAGGCCACCTTGTGGATCCCACCTTATTAGAAAGGGTGTCTAATTTGGCCAAAAACGGCCCCTGGGTGGTGTCTGGGGAACGACCCTTATATTTCCAGGTCCCTTTGGGAATACATTTTCTCTTATGTGGGTGTCTTAAAAAGTTTCTGGATTTATTTTGAACATTTGACTGTGTACTTTTTAGCTTCATTAAAATGGGAAAGTCATCAAAGACAAAGAAGATACTTCTTTGCAGTCACAGTGGTAGCTGGGAAAGTATTCTCCCTATATGCTTTTCAGTACATCAGTATAGAATATAGGAAGCATCATTTAGGTTAGCTTAGCATAAAGACAAGAAAATAGCTACCTCGGCCAAAAATCAATCAACAAATACCTAAAATACTCAAAACATATTGGTTTAGTCTGTGAAAACAATTAACTTTTCTGATGAGTGACACTTAGACATCCCCCCCACCATAAAATGCTAAGCGAAGCTACATAGTTGTAAGCGGCAGCTTCATATTTATAATAAAGAGAAGTCAGCGGTATTGATCTTCTAATCTAAATCTCAGCTAACTTTTCCCAATTGATTATTTACATATATTTTGTATTTAACATTTTCTAAACTGTGATGTTCTATAACCCAAAAAGGCATTAGCTCACTATGTGTTCAATTGCACATATTTCAAGGACAGAAAACTGAACGTCAGACAAAGCAAGGTTCAACATGTTTATTCCATTTTGTTGGCATATTAAATTCAATGGGTTTTCATGTAGATTTGTTGATATCTCTATTTTATCACTTCATAAATAAGGAAAATCCTGTCAGCAGCCATAAAATAAATCTGTTTTCCCCAAGTTTTTAGGACTCAAATGTTATATAAATCAGGCTATGAATGATGTATGAAATAAACTCCTGTAAGAACCTTCGGAATATAGATGGGGATGAAACTTGAAAGATGTCGTGCTGCTGAAGTAGAGATCTCTGGCTCAGAATATGAGAAAACTCATCGGCAAAGAGAAAATAAAACAAAGATTTTTTTCAAGGATAAACAAAAAAAGTATTAGAAATCACTTCTCAAATTGCTAAAACTAACATTTAGACAATTATCCTTTTTTTCAAGTTTTCTCTTAAATATGTGTTTAAATTAGGCATTTTATGATGCTAACTATTGGTGAATTCAGCAGAGATCTACAGACACAAACGGAACAGAAGCTAGTAAAAGAAAACACTTGTGTATTATTATTGTTTTCTTTCCATTCGTCTGAAAGCAGAATCGTTATGGAAGCAAACAAGCCCAAAATCTCAATGTTGACCAGTGCTTGAACAACAGTTTTTTCCTGTGGTACCAATACATGTTGACGATGCACTGTAATGTAACGACTTGACAAAATATTCCTATTAAATCTACAGATCCCCATCTCTCCTTTTTTGTTAATCCAGGACTATAAATCGGGCTTGGCTATAGCTGAAGTGGAACTGGCTGCTGCCAACATTAGAGACGTGGACCGCAGGGGCTTTGAAATCAACACGCCCTTCAAGAACTTCTGGTACGTCTACAATGTGTGTGCTGTGTCTTTTTAGGTGTGTGTGTGTAGGCTAGGGAGAGACGTTTCTTCCCTAAGCTTGATCTTTCCTCAACACACCCTTTCATATTGCTTATTTCATCATCCTAAAGGGAATGTTAGGTGAAGGAATATCTCCTGAAATGTACCCCCATCAGTGATGTACTCAACAGGTTGACACTACTAAATCTCCATTTGTATAACATTCTCTTTTATAGTACTTCCTTGAACAAATCTCCCTCCAATATCTCATATACACGTAGTATAGGAAATGCCCTTCACATACACTAAGCCTCTTGCTTTACTCTATTTTAATCTCAATAATCATATCTCACAAATCATCCGTATTCACAGATAAAAGGGCAATCTTGTTTTGGTTAATCTTCTCTTATACATGTAAGGTATTAAGAGTTTCATAATGCGATATGTTAAGAGGACTTGTGGTGAAGGATGCTTGCATAGACTTATACATTGGCCTTTAAAATATACATTGTTATTAGATAAGCTTTGTTTTCTTACCTGTAGAGTTGGAGGATTAATTCAAACCAGAATCCTTCAAGGCTTCATAAGAACTTAAACTTGTCTGCCTAACCTAACCCTAACCCTCTCTTTATCCTTCCTCATAGGGCAAATATAAAATAATGATGTGTTTTTTAAAGTTAAAATCAACTAAATTTTCTGCTTGTGAACCCAGCGACAATATTGGAAGAAGATACAGTCCTGTTTCCAGGTCACACTTTGAAAACATGACCCAAGAGCTGGAGGCATGAAGTTATACACTGCCATCCTGCCCAACAAAAGAAATACTCATTGCTTATGTTATGATGACAGACATCACGGTGTGGTCGCGAGGTCTCACTGACCTTATAAAGGGAAACTGCTAAAGTACACAGCGTACGCCGCAGGCACAACACCTCCAACTCATTTTCATTTCTGATTGATCAGGGAATTACGTGTCATTGATTCATGATATACAGATGGATTTTAAAAGTAGCTTCTCACAGTAGAAATCTTGTGGTTGGTCCACTTTGATTTCACACAACTTTACCTCGGGAATTGTTTTCATGCAGCACCCTAACAGTAACTTCACACCTAACCTGCTTTTTTTGGATTTGCAAAAAAAAAAAGGGTGAAAAAGCTTCCTGTTAACAGCCAGACCGAGCTGTTATGTCTCCCTATTTGTGGCATATTAGGTTGCTTGCAGTCTTGAAGGGCCTTTCCAAACCTCTAGTTTACTGCGTGGAAGAGTTGGCAAACCTCCCCACCAGAATCCAAATGCATCACTAAAAGCCTGAGCATGAGATTCAGTTTGCTCTGCTCATCGGTTAGTGCCTCAGGCTGAAAAGTAAACACAGGTCTCAATACCTTTTTGATCCACACTATGATTGCTGCCTTCAGAGCTGCCCAAACAAATTGTACCAAGGAGGAAAACCAACCAGGGTTCAATTTAAAAGGACTAAAGGACGCAGGTTTGAAAACGCCATAAAAAAGTCATCCTCCTCTATTTCTTTCTTAGGTTTAACACCAGACACGATAAAAACACTGCACTTAAAGGTGGGGTAGGTAAGTTTGAGAAACCGGCTCGAGATACACTTTTTGTTATATTCCATGGAATGCTCTTAACATCCCGATAGCAATGAATATTTTAAGTGCTTTGACAAAAAATCCATAAAAAAATGTCATCTGTGGAAGCCGTAATACTGTAAAAAGTACGACCAATCATTTTAGCCGGCCCGGCTAAAATAACTGGATGGCCTACCTGCCTGTCAGCCTTCCATCTGTGCACAAACTTATCTCGTGCCCTCGTTGGTCATGTGCGCATTCGTGTGTGTTGGAGGAGGGGCTCTGTAAGGAAGTGGCAGATTTTTTCCGGCTGTGTATTTTCAAATTCTAGCGATCTCGAGCTGGTTTCTCCAAAATGACCTACCCCACCTTTTAAGTGCAGCATCATTTTCAGATAATTAGATTTACGTACGTTTGCATTTGCAAAACTGTTCAATCAGTGAGTTAAAAAAAATAGCAGTCCACGTGACTTCATGTTAACAGCTCTGGATTTGTTGTTAAAATGATGCAAAGAAGGCGTGCACATAAGAAAATAAGAACTACAAGTCATCTCCGTCACTACAGGTGTAAAACAATACTCCATGAGATTCACTTTGATTGACCATCACCTATAAACCAATCCACACACTTTTACGTAGTATGAATGTCACACGAGTTAGAACTCATCTCTAATGACACAAAAATAATCTTCTCATTTGTTTTTATTTGCTTGTAATGATTGGATTTTAAAACGCTCCCCGTCACAAACCGTCTTGCGGACCATCGGTCATAGCTGTAAACACACTACATGAAAACAGGGACCTATACAAAAATCACTAATTATCGATCAGGATTAAAAAACAAAAACAAATCTCCCCTGGGATCTTAAAGCAGGAATCTCCACCTCTGCATGGACCAAAGCCTTTCAGGTGACTCCAGTCACTGAGGGCCAACAATCAATACGTCTACTGCCTGTTTGTGCTATAATGGCCCATTTAGAACACAACCGTCACAGCTGCCTGGACAAAGCATGTTTGTTTGTGTGCACTATTCTTTTTGTATCCACTTTTGCCCAATGCCTTCTTTAAAGATTCCCCCCCCCCCTCATTCCTCCACGTGGCCGTTGTATGTCCGATCGATCTGTTTGTCTCGGATCTCTTAATGGTTCCATCGCTGGGCGGCTTCGTTAATACGCTGGACGTAATTGCCATTTTGTGTGGAACAAAAAAAGAAAGAAGGTGGAATTAAAATGAGCCCAGGTCCCCTGAATTGTTTTGATGAGGTGATTGTGAAAGGCTTTTATTGTGTGTGTGTGTGTGTGTGTGTGTGTGTGTGTGTGTATCAAATCGATTGGTAGCCCTGGGAGCGTTCTCCTACCTGCTCAAGGTGGGGATTAGTGAGAAACTCATCTAATCACTTTAAGCTGTGGAGACTCACTTTGGCTTTCCCATTGTTTTGCCATCGTTAAATGGACAGTCTTCAGCCCACTGTGGTAGAAAGGCAGACTTTTATGAGTAGAGAGAATGACAACGAGGCAGTGCACAGACAAAGACACTCAACTTTGAAGACAATAAAAACTTTTTTTCTTGATCAGAAAGCACCTCTACGAAAGGTAAATCTGCAGACAAATGCCTAGCTCAAGGGCATATTGGAAAAACATCCATGTTTGTCTGGTTTGTTTTTGGGGTTATGTATTGAAAGCTCACACAATTATCTTTTTGCCTTAGACAGAAAATGTTTCCTGATGAAAACTCTCCACAGCGGGGTCTTTGGATTATCCTGAGCGTGCAGGGCATTGTTTTTTGAAGGACTTGTTGTTGTTGTTGAGTTTTTTAAATAACATTTTCCAAAGCTTTGAGCAGCACAGACATTTTGCTTTTCTTTAACTCAACTGTGCCAAGGTGGCTGCAGAAAATTCCCCAAATGTCTTTATTGCATTTGCAGACATCAAAAGGGCAATTCTTTTTGTCGTTTTGATTAAATGACCCCTTGAGGAATAGGGTTGTGTTGAAGACCATCTGTTGGCGTATAACTTGGTCTCTGTTGATATCAGCCTTAGATGTCAGTATTGAATCAAATATTATATTTCCTGCAAATATTAGCATCATGTGAATCTTGTGTATTTTTATTGATTTTCTCCATACAACATCAAATTGGTAAAAGAACATCCTGATCCTGAAGGATGCACTTCAGCAGTTAAGTATTGCACTTTAATCTAGGTGGAACACTATGAAGAGGCAGGTAATGAAAATAAATGGCCACGCATCAGAGGCCGAGATGCACAGACTATTACATGCCTTTTCATAGTTTGAGCAGTGTACAAGCAATTCTTGTTGTATGATGTACAGACAGAGAGATCGAAATAACGTTTCCAACAATCCCGAATACAAAAATACAATAATACAAATATACAAAATAATATATATAAAAAAAGGTTGCATGCTTGATTGATGTAACATCTACCAAATCAGCCACTTTTTTCTAAATCTTGTAAATGTTGGAAACATAATGATAGATGTGACCTACGTTTGACATTGTATTGGAAGAACTATAAATATATTTAGAGGTGTAAGTGGGATTTCAATTTATAGTCCAATTTTCAGCTATATTTGACCCGGCAAAACAAACTGTACATAGTTGTATTTTTGAAAAGAGTTCGGATCACCATAGAGATGTAATCAAATCCACAAATCAAAGCACATCATTGTGAATAAATACTTTTCAGGGTTAGACACATGCATTTTCAAAGATGAATGCACCTCAATTTATACTTGAGGATTATATTTAAGCATTACACGGAGCAAAACCTTCTATTTGATAATATGAACCACTTTATATTCAACTCTCCTAACATTATGTACATAATGCATGCACGCTAAAGGAGCCGTATGCCGGTTCATCATTCATAAGGAAGAATTAGATTTTCTCACTTACATGTAGAATAGGGAGCATAAATGCTTTCAACAGCAAAAAGATAGACATTGGTGGAATAATGTCAAGCGACAGCACACCAAAATTAGATTTTCAAATGTAATTGAAAATAACTTTTTATATAAAATACATTTTCATGAGTTGGGACCAATACCAGGTCCTTTGGTGAAAAGTGAACCCTGAAGTCGACTGAACAGAGCAGTGTTTCAGACAATGAAGGTCACGTTAGATTTAGTTTTAATTTAATAGTTTTACATTTTTTTAAATATGATTATTGCTGGGATGGTTTATCATTCTGTTTTTCCATAATGTAGGAAAAGCTGCAGCTAGGTTAGAATTGTCTCAGCAAGAACATCAAAAAATCCACTTATCCATTTTAAAAATACAAGGTTTTATGTGTCGGCCTAATTCTTGTCTTGGAGCCAAGCTACTAGTTTTAGTCTTTATGCTATACTAAACTGATGTAACCATCTCCTGGCTTATATTGAAGTATTCTTCATATGTGTGGAGCACTCTGAGCCTATAGCTTTAATAACCAGATCATTACAAGGGAGCAGCGTGTATTAACATGAGAGCTCTATGACAGGTAAGAGTATAATGGTGGCCTGTAGCCTGTTGTTGTGACCGTGATAGATATATTACAACAATACATGAATGCTTGAAATATTATATTTTAGTTTTTTTAAATAGCCTCTCACATGGGCGCTGTAGTCTTTGCGGTGTGTTCAAATGCAACCTTTTGGCCAAGACGCAGGCAACGTAGGGCCACGCAACATCCCTGTCACCACTGGTCCTTTGCTGTCCGTTCAGTGTGTCTAAGCTTTAAACATTAACTACACTTATAGCCGGAGAAAAGGCAACAATGTCAGTTGTTACTTTACTCCACCGCTAAAATTCCCAAATAATTCTTCACTCTGTATTCCTCACCACCTGATGACCTTGTAAACTGTAGTTTAGTTTGCCCCGTCACCTGAGACCAGCCTTCACTTCATATCTAAAACTCTGCGGCTCGGGGAACCTCCACATACTCTCGCCTCCCTTTGCTCCTCTGTGGTTTTGGAGGCCGTGCTGTAGTTCATCTGTGGATGTGAGCAGTCCTCTCTTTAGACGGGGCCCGGGGCCGAGAGCGATGGGCTCCCAACGTCTGAACCCAATCAACCTATCGATCTTTGCCGGGGTACTTGGGCGAGGCGGTGCACATCCTCTGCTTCGGGCACAAGCTTCCCCCTCCTCATCGTCTCCTTTCCCTTCCTTATCCTCAGTCTTACTTTAAACCAGTCGCCCGGTTGCCATGGAGACCAGTGGTCCCATTTCTCCTTCCTAAGTGCTTCTTTCAGTCAAGCTAAAACTCTCTCTCTCCTATTTCCTCTCAGTTTTATATGCCTGTTCATCTTGCTGTCTGTCTTCGTCTCTTATCCCCACACACATACGCACAGATCGCTTGTTACTTACGCTTATCATATCCTTATCTAATTCTGAGTTAATCGCTACAACTTTTCCAACTTCTACTCATTACTTTCTCCATCAGAAACCCGTGCTTTCTGTCCCTGCCAGCTATCTTTATAAGTGCTTGTTAGACAGAATATGACATCATTAATCTGTGTATGTGTGTGTGTGTGGATGGATTGAGAGACAAGTGAGTGTTCTGAAAGACGGCCAATTTGGGAGCTATGACAGTTAAGCCATTAACTGTATGTGTGGGTTGTGTGCATATTTATTACACATCATATAAAATGAAATATGGATGGATTGACCCTCCTGGTTGCATCAGTTTAATGAAAATATAAGATTGAGCCAATTTGACTTAAACTTGCTCTTGCAAAAGACACTTTATGGCAGAAAGTATTTGGAAACCAGACTGCCTCTACTTTCTTTGGAAGGCTTATTGAATACTTGGCAGGACTGATTTTTCTTCCATTCAGCCACATTAGTGCAGTAAGGAAATGATACTTAGGGTTAGGGTTAGGTAGACCCGGCTCGCTGTCAAAGTTCTTCTTCATTCCTAAAAGTGTTGAATGGGGTTTAGATCAGGGCTGAGGTCCAGATTATCCTAAAGTTTGTGTACACGCATTGGAGTTTACTTTCTGCAGAAAATTCGTTTTTTTAATCGAGGTAAAGAATTAGAAAAACCTGGTTTCCAGTCAAAATTCTCCCAGATAAAATACATTTCTTAGATATGCATAGTATAAGTATTTCTCATTTTATATGAAAACATATGCATTACAAAGACTTATTACATGGCTTAGTTGAATGCTCAATTCTGATTGGCCAATTCAGAACACGTGACACGTTGTTAATACAGAAGTACAGACCGCTGTCAAGGACTTATTGACCGTTGCTAAGGAGGATCAAGAAAGAGAAAGTAAAAGAGGGTAAAAGACGGAGCGCTGGACGTCAGATAAACCACCAGAATAAGGCAGAGAGGAAGTAAACACTAACAGGAACACGGTATGGTCTCTGCAGTGTTTAAGGACTTGTTAGTGGATCAGAAACTGTGAACAGAGTTGGACAGTGCTGCCGTAAAGTTGTTGTCGCAGTTCCAGCCGTTGGTGCGTCGTGGAACGGAGTTTCTTTTTTCTTAGAGGAAGAAATACGATCATTTTTAAGTCAATAAAAATAATTTCAATTAATATTGGGAATCAATTCCTTAGTTTGTTTAGTATATGGCCGTGTAATAAGCGGGATAATGTGCAGCGACTTGGTCATTATGGGGAAAAGAACACCCGACAGTCTGATCAGAGAGCCCGACGCGAAGCGGAGGGATCTTGATGAGCCCCTTACTTAACACACTATACTTATGACAGCGTAGAAAGAAAACCTGTAACATACATTTACAATGATTTCCTAACCTGGAAAGTTTGATATTAGTATATCAGTTAAGGCTGGCGCCGTTAAGGATACAGCTTTAAGAAAACAGGTGTTGAAAATAAAAATGTAAAATAAAAGAATTTTAGGATATTTTAAACTATAATGAGATGTAATGATTGTGTTTTCCCTGACTATAATTTCAGTTACTACTAAGCTGTTTGCAACTTCAATCACTTTTTTTTAACAAAAATCAAAATATTTCAATCGCACGTATTGTTTAAAAATGTCAATCATTCTCAAAACCACAGGCTTCAGGCGTCCATCATCCGCTTCACTGTCAAACACTACAATCTTAGAGCTCTCATGTTATTCCACCGGCTCCCATGTAATTATGTGGAAAGTTCTCAATGCATTTCCTAAAGGAAGAACAGTTGTAAACTCTGTATATCCACGCTGTACATGTCTTTTTCCATCACCATTTCTTAACTTTCCTAATATAGAAATAATTTCCTGAAAACGCATCGAGCATTAACACTTTATAGATTTTTGGGGCAAGGTGAGACAAATTGATTTACCTGCCCTGCCCACTCCCCTATCAATTTCACCAAATCTATTGCAATCACACATCGGCATACACACTCAGCAGACCCCCAAAAACTACTCCAAATACTACACACCCTCTAACACTGCCAAGTGATACTTTGCTGTTTAATTGCTCTCTCAAATCAAATCAATAACACTGAGGCATGTGTTGGGGTGGTGGGGCTAAAAAATCAATCGTTGCAGCTTCACGGCCGAGTCAGAACAGGAGAAGGAGGAGTGGATTGAAGCGGTCCAGGAATCGATCGCCGAGACACTCTCTGACTATGAAGTGGCGGAGAAGATCTGGTTCAACGAGGCCAACAAGAGCTGCGCCGACTGTCGCGCCCCGCAGCCGGAGTGGGCCTCGGTCAACCTGGGCGTGGTCATCTGCAAGAAGTGTGCAGGTGAGGGATATGTATGCTAATCTACTATTGCCTTCCTTCAACTCTCTGATGCAGAGTCCAATGCTAGAAGCAGGCATACATTGGTCAAAAAGAACATACTGTACTTACAACCCCCCCCATAAGTAAACATGAAGCACTTTGAATGTAAGCCAACAGGCTGTAAAAACAACTTCACTTGATCATTCTTAAATAATTAGCAAGACCAGTATATAGGGTTTGTAATGTAACTCTTAACTTTTTTGGGTCAATAGTTTCCCTTTAATTATTTAGAAAGTTTTCCTGGAGAAATATGTTATTTAATACAAATATTTGAAAAACAGAGAAAAAGTTCTGAGACTGGGGAGAACTTTTTTTAATATATATATTTATTGGCATTTTGTTTATCCAACACAAGACATGCAATATAAAAGACCTTCTTTCCTTCAAACATTTTGGTCCGAATTGAATTAATAGTGAACGTTTTTTTATTCAGTTATTATTTTCAAAATAAATCTATTAAGTTAAGGTAGAGGAACAACATTGCGACCCTAAGCTGTATTTGAAAATGTTCTAACATGATTCAAAAACCTGCTTGGAGTAGAAAAAGCATGTTTAGCACTCAATCTTAATTGTTACAAATGGTCTGGTGTTTGTTATGTGTCTGTGTGAAAGTGTGCTCTGATCCAGAGGGTCTTTTGGAAGAAGTTCTCAGGTGATAAGCCACTTATGGGAGTTGGCGCCTGGCCTCTAGACTCTCTAATCTATTTGCCAATCCTGGATGGCTCAGATGAAATGACAACAAAGATGTAGACACGGGCAAGACCCTGAGGGATCCCAAACTGCCTCTTGACCCGATAAACATGATTAGAGAAGGAGCAGCCATGCCTGATGTAGAGGGATATCTCTGTCGTTTTTTCACTCTTCTATCCACTCCTCCCTCCCCTTCCATATCTACCCTGGGCCACAGATTTCTCCCAGTTTCATAAGTTTGAATGCGATTCCTCACCTCACCTCCGCAAAGCCCATGTAATTGGTACGCATTAGATATCCAACATCCCTTTTCAAACGCTCTTAAATGATTTCATTTGCTGGACTGTTTAATATTACATTTTGTCGACATGCTGGGTGAGAGAGGGGGAATATCTGCAACAAGGAAGCTGTCCTCAGACTCTGCTCTCCTGAAATTAGGTGGCGGCCCATTTGGAATACCAATGACTGCTCATGCTTTTAATTAGCGCTCCCATGTCATTGACAATAAAGAGAAAATCTGAAAGAGGGGAGAAGTAATGAGAGGGCTAATGGTAAAAATGATCCTAGATTGGCTTTCCTCTTTTTATGCCAAGATGGAATTAATTTTAATAGTTTCTAGCTTCACCCTCTGATTCATTTTTCTTTGTATGCTTGGACTTGAAAGACTGTTAGCTTTTTTTCAATTGCATGAAAAACGATAATTTGTGAATATTTGAAAAAGAATCTCAACAACAACACAACCAAACAAAAACCTGGGTGAAAGTGTTGTTTCAAAACATTATTTGTAGCCAAGGCTAACTTGTGTCTTTTTTTAAATTACATCAGAAGATAAACACATTTCTAATCCGCTGCTGATTTGTGTTTTATCCAGTTTTCTTATTCTTATAAATGTTTACTGATTAAAAAAACAAGTCTATGAAAAAAGGACCCTACTTCTCACTTGATTAATCATCCAAGTAAACATTTTCCGCTACGTGTTCATTGTCTCTATAATATTCTTAAATAACGCATAATAGGCTACACATTTTGTACATTATGATGCCATTTACATTAAAATAGATGATAAAGCAGGATATACTTTAGGACTTGGCTACCCTATGATTAGCTTGTGTTTCCTCTCTTTTCCACCTTTTCACACAATCCAATCATACAAACCAGCGGATAGTGCTTTAAACCAAGACTCGGAGGCCTTTCTCCACACATGTAATTGCAACAAACTCAGGATGCAACTTGTAGACACGTCTGCTGGCAACAGTTGCCATGGTAACAGACAAATGCAGTGCTCATTGCTTCGCCTTGTTTCCTTTGACTCGTCATTGAGTGAGGGGAAAATGCCACACAAGTACACAGGGTTAGAAAAGCACTCCATGAACTGTCGCGGGGAAAGTTTTTAATTGGGGGTGACATCCTGAGTGTGTTTCTTTAGTGATAGCTGCTGTGATGGGAATGCCCTTTTCTTTGTCTTGTTTTTTTTGGTTCAATCAGAATGATGAATACATTTGCAACAGGCTATTTATATGTAAAGATCTCACCATGTGCCCAGTGCAACGTGCGCATGAACACGTTTTTTTTCAGCTTCATTACCCTTACACAAGTGAAAATGGTCCTGTGGAGCTGTAAGGCTCAGCGGATAGAGCGTGGCTGTGGAAATGCAGCAGGCGCCCAGAGTGAACCATTTTCAGGCAAAAGTGACAGAATCTTGCTGTTTTTGGCCTTTTTTTCTCAAGCTGGACTCATGTGGTTCCAAAGACAGTTATCATTCCTCTCCTTTCAATGTAACTTTTGGGATTGACAAACCGTTTCAAACTCACGTCTGAACACACTAATGCATCCCCACTTGACACTTTATCATTAACTTTTCCAACAAGATATTTGATAATAACCATAATGGAAGGAAATGTCTTCTATTTATATTCATAGGGACGATTCAATTGCTACTTTTATTAGAAAGTGAACATATTTATTCTGGCAAAACATCCAGTATTATAGTGTTTCTCTCTCTCTCTTTTTTTTACCAAACCAGATAATTCCCTTTTTAAACAATCAGGTTGCAAATCCAACATTACTTATGTTAGACTGTGATTGTTAAAGTGTATAACTACCCCAGAAAATGCTGATGTAAGGGATAACTGCTCAATTTAAGTATAATATGTTATACAATTGAAAGAACAGGGCTTATACATTACACATTCAAACATGTGGTTGGTATTTTTAGAAAAGCGCTCCTATACCTAATCATTAAAAACGGGACTGTTCTTTTGTAAATATTGCTAAGCATTTTTCTGATTACCATAACATCTCATGTGGCGTTCCACAGGGTGTAATACTTGGTCCGCTCATGTTTCTTTTCTAGATACATGCTTACACTGAGCTAAATGATATATCCACACAACTGTTCATTGTCATAGCTCTGCAGGAAATCTTCTACTGTCTTTTTGTCCTAATGTATTCACTATTTGATCACATCAAGTCTGACCACAATGGGATTTAGTTTGGCATATTGGATAAAAAATCCAATCTGGGAGAAATTAGACCAGTCCATTAATTTTATGATTTGTTCTACTGAGCATAGACATGATGAAGTATCAGTATTTCTAAAGTAGGTAGAGTCAATCATAATCACTAGTTATCAAAGAAGATTTCCAAGACTCTCTTTTAATAACTCAGATGACAAATAATTCCAAAATGTTCAGCATCTGTGTCAAGATGGCCTCCGACAGCTCAAGGCCCTACATTTCCATTCACAACTGCTCTACTTGAGCATAGAAGACTGTAATGAGATCATGCCAAAACTAAATCTAAAATTATATGACTTTACACACAGGACAATAATTCACATTCACACATACAGCGTATTTCTGCTTAATGTATTATGCATGTCTACTCTGTCTTTGGCTATAAGCAACGCTAGAAGCCTCTCGTTCACCCAAATAAACAGGCCGACCCACAAACACAATGAATTACTCATGATTCATTAGCAATTAATGGCCCTCATTCTGTGCTTTCATTTCCAATTAGGAGTGCTGAGGGGACTAAATATGTCTGTTGTGAGTGAGCGAATGAGCTTCCAGTCATGCTCGGTTTCCCCGTCTTGTAACTGCCTGTTTATTGTTTATTCCACCACTGACATGTGGTCTATGTTTGTACGAACACTATGGAGATTTCTCTGCATACTTGTACATGTTGATTTTTTGTTTTTCCGTGTGCACTTTTCAGGAACTAAAAGCGTAGCCTCACAGCCATGCATTTTGGAATATATCTAATTGAGGTTTTATACACCCAAAGGTTATTTGCTTTTCTGAGCTTATGTTTATTTTTTTGTATCTGTGAACTCACAAAGGGTGTTTCTTTCTGTGTATCAGGGCAGCACCGCTCCCTTGGACCCAGTATATCCAAAGTACGGAGCTTGAAGTTGGACAGCAGCATCTGGAGCAATGAGCTGGTGGAGGTACTTATCAGCAAAAGCAATATTCATCCTCTCAACCCTTTTAACAACATAATCCAATTGCCTTTCAATTAGATTTGTGGTGTTTCAAAATAACCTACTTTTTCAAACCTTCAAAGGGCACATAAGTTAAAGTCAAATACAAATTAAAACATTTTGTTGCCAAGACAAACGTGTCTCGTTAGGGCTTGGCAAATGTTTATTTTAAACCCTTATTCTCACCTGCATTTGTCCTCTCACCCTTTTTCTTAAGCTCTTCCTTGAGGTGGGGAACAAGAATGCTAACAGTTTCTGGGCTGCTAATCTTCCCCTGGAGGAGGAACTCTACAGCGGGGCCTCGGCCGAGCAGCGCGCCACGTTCATCCGCAGGAAGTACAGGGAGAGGAAGTACCGGAGGGTCCTGGAGGGCTTTAATGATCTGGAGCAGCTCACCCAGGTACACACTTCATAAACACACTTCAAATGAAAACCGAAACTAGCCATTTTTCTGATAATACGTTGAGGTATATACATTTATTTAACCCGAAAAAAACCACCTAGTAGATAATCCTGTTTTTTTTTTACTGTCTATTAGCTTTTAGTTTTTACCAGAAGTTGACTAGGGAGCAGGAAAACTACTTTGCCTTTGAGCTAAGCTTGTTTTCTCCTCCACTACACCAGCACAGTGTTGCACCTGTGCGTGTCTTTTCTGTCTTTCTCTGTGAACACGCAGAGCAAGTACAGTAGATCCACAACTTCCCAACTCCCATCACTGCCGTGACAAGTGATACTTAACATTGAAGTTGGGGTTAGTGTTGCATTGACTGTGTTTTTAAGTGTTGCCTCAGACACACTGACTTCATCACTGTGCCAGAAAGACTTTATTTTTGAGTGCTGCACTCTCTACCTGGAAATTGTACTGCATTATATATCAAGAAGAAATTGGATCCATTCAATGTTTGTTTCCCATGGGAAAAGGATAAGGATTTTAAGGTTTGTATTCATTGTTCCTTTTTGTTTGAGCTAATCACTTTTTACTAGGGCTGTCAGTCGATTAAAATATTTAATCGCGATTAATCGCAAATTAATCGCACATTTTTTATCTGTTCTAAATGTACCTTAGAGGGATATCTTTCAAGTTTTTAATACTCTTATCAACATATGAGTGGACAACTATGCTTTATATGTTTGTTTATTATCATTTGAACAATGACAAATATTCTCATGAATATTAAACACAACAACCTCTGAACATTACAAATATTCGCCTCAATTCAACCTGGAACCTCTCTCATACTGTGTGTGTGTGTGTGTGTGTGTGTGTGTGTGTGTGTGTGTGTGTGTGTGTGTGTGTGTGTGTGTGTGTGTGTGTGTGTGTGTGTGTGTGTGTGTGTGTGTGTGTGTGTGTGTGTGTGTGTGTGTGTGTGGTGTGTGTGTGTGTGTGTGTGTGTGTGTGTGTGTGTGTGTGTGTGTGTGTGTGTGTGTGTGTGTGTGTGTGTGTGTGTGTGTGGTGTGTGTGTGTGTGTGTGTGTGTGTGTGTGTGTGTGTGTGTGTGTGTGTGTGTGTGTGTGTGTGTGTGTGTGTGTGTGTGTGTGTGTGTGTGTGTGTGTGTGTGTGTGTGTGTGTGTGTGTGTGTGTGTGTGTGTGTGTGTGTGTGTGTGTGTGTGTGTGTGTGTGTGTGTGTGTGTGTGTGTGTGTGTGTGTGTGTGTGTGTGTGTGTGTGTGTGTGTGTGTGTGTGTGTGTGTGTGTTGCATATATATGCTCGAATGGGAGCTGCCTGGACGCTGCAATCGTGTTGCGCGCACTATCCGTGCTGAGTGTGCTGACTTTTCGTACAATGTCCCACTGTCTGGCTACCTGCATAAAGTCAAGTGCTCGGCGCAGTTGTCGGCGAAATGTCATTGAAACAGCTCCTTATATCCGTTAGCGCAGCTAGCTAGCACCAGATGCTAACAACAACAACAACACGTAAGGTGTGCCTCGCTCGCGCGAGTCGCGCCACACATACACACTCCCTCCCGGTCCTCCCGATGGCCAGTCCGGGCCTGCCGGTGAGCGTGGAAGTGTGGTCTGCCACAAGCGGGCGACAGGAGCGGGGCTGTCAGCATCAGCTTGTCGATGGTATTTTACACTCGATGCGCTCTGAAACTACGGCGGCCGAGGACAAAAAATACACATGCGTTAATCGCGTTAAAATAATTAGTGGCGTTAATTTTTTTTTGCGTTAACGCGTTAACTTGACAGCCCTACTTTTTACACATTGTACTTTTAGTTTAGAATATACTTTTGAATCTGGAAAGGATGTTTTTTTTTACCAGTTAGAAGTTGCTTCATAGTGTAATATTTCCATTTAAGACTTTGAATGTACTTTTTCCATCTCTTGTTACCTAATAATTTGTTCCTATTGCAACCAATCAAAGTGCACCCAAAGTGAAAAACCTTTCAGTCATAACCGGCCATCCACAATATCTCCATATGTACTTCTAGGAAGCATAGTACATGGTAAACTCCATTACCAAAATCCAGCTAACCTAAAAAAGGACATATTTTCATGACCTTTTGACCATCAATAAAACAGAGATACATGTCTGAAAATGCCAAAAGCACCGTCTGAACGATGTTGCTAAGGCCTTCTCCTCCAGTTTGGGGTTGTGTTTTTATTGCTGTTCTTTGGCATCCTTTAAAAGAGAGGCTCTTAAAAGCACGACTGAGCTAAGTTTCCACCAGCGTCAGCATTTACGCAGATCAGCCCCCTTTGTATTGTTTTCTCGGGTAGAAAGAGAGGGATGGAGATGTAGAGAGAAAAAGGGAATGAAGGGAGAAGGGGGGAGAAGTGTGGAAGAAATATACTCGCTAGCTAAGTGGAAAAGTGGATTAGGATTCACAACAGAAACGCTTGGGTTGGTTTTATTGCGGCTTTGCTGGCCTTTGCGTGTGTGGGAGTGTGTGTAGCGTACACGCGTGTGAACATGTGAGCTGCACCACTAAGGATGTGTGAATTTGCTGTTATAGGGGGAGTTTTTTGCAGGAGAGAACGTGTGACAGACAGGGAGAGGGTGGCTGTCTAAAAGCGTTCGGCCATTGGAGGTGTGTGTGTGAATGTGTGTGTGTGTGTGTGTGTGTGTGTGAGAGAAAGAGTGAGAAGAAAAAAGGTGGGAAAGGGGGGGCTGTGTTTGCTTTTTCTACATCGAGTCTTCCTTTTATAAATGGCTTTAACAGATTTGATAGGGATCAATGTGTCACAGAGCCATTACACACACTATCACTCAACATATGCGCATGCTTAAATAATAAACACAGTCTAAAAACAGTTCCCTTTATCTCGAGAAAAAGTCATAAATCACAAGCAACCTAAAAAGAAATACAGTATTTTTAACATAAACAAGGACACTGCGTCTAATCTCATTGGACTCGTTGTTCCACTTCTGTGTCACACTTACTTACCATTACACAAGTATGAATATGGAAAAAAATAAAAGCTATATAAAAGCTATTCCTTTGGGAGTCTGCTCCAGAACAAAGACAATGATACTAGCAATTTCCTCTCTGACATTCACGCAATTTTTGAAACATTTTAACAGTTTTTATGGGCACAGGGGTCATGAAACTCACCGTCAATTACCGTTTAAAGTGTCGATTCAAGTAATGAAATACAAATAAAAAGGCAGTGAAGTGATATACACCTGACTGCATCAATATGTCTCTAAAATAATCTCACATGGCGTGCTTGTTCTGTTCTCTGCATCCATTTTCTTTTTTATTCCCGCCCTCTCTTTATACCGCTCTCTATTTCTTAGTCCCGTGTTCCCTATTACAATCCAGTATCCCAGTGACCTCCACAGAGTCTCCGCAGGCCACATGACCTAGAGAGGGGGTGTCAAAGGACCTTTTTATATCATTACACACACACACACTCACACACACACATAAACCCTCTAGTGGCTGCAGTAATTGCTATGACATGGAAGGTCATTTCCAGAGATGATACGGAATAAGGCCAGCTTGCTTGGGACTATTTCGCCCTAATCTGACCGCGTACTGTGTGTGAGACAAAGACAGTTAGTGAATAAACTAATCATCTGTTTATATAAATTACTTTTACATGTGATCTGTTGATTAAAGAATACCGTCAGTCTCTTTCTCAAAGACTAGAAGACAACAAAGGATGTATTGGACAACCTAACTCCTTTCCTAGTCTTCACTGAAGCCATTTTAGACAACTTCTGATTTAAACCTCTGCTATACTTCAGAATGTATTATTTATCACATTGGAAAATAATCTCCAATTTATTTAACAATTTATACACTTTTTTTTCAAATTAATTATTAAATGTATTACTTTATTTATTACTTACTTTTACTTTATGTAATTTATTTCAGAAACACTTTTTGTTATATTCCATGGAATGCTCTTAACATCCCGATAGCAATGAATATCTTAAATGCTTTGACAATAAATACATAAAAAAAATGTCATCTGTGGAAGCCGTAGTACTGTAAAAAGCACGACCAGTTATTTTAGCTGGCCCGGCTAAAATAACTGGATGGCCTACCTGCCTGTCAGCCTTCCATCGGGGCACAAACTTATCTCGTGCCCTCATTGGTCATGTGCGCGTTCGTGTGTGTTGGAGGAGGGGCTCTGTAAGGAAGTCTGAAGGAAGAGGCATATTTTTTCCGGTTGTGTATTTTCAAATTCTAGCGCACTCGAGCTGGTTTCTCCAAAATTACATACCCCACCTTTAAATAGCATACTGACAGCTCGCAAGACCCAAATATAAATGTTAAACACTGTGTGCCAACAAGCGGGGCCATGTTGACAAATATTGAAGGCTACAAAGAAATAAAAGTACCACCATAATTATTTAAAATATTTTATCTCTGGCATCACTTCTGCAACTGAGGTAAATAAATATATTAAACAAGTGAAAAGTCTACATACCAAAAGCGTCCCTGAGGCTTCGTACACATCAAGGCCACCCATTTTGGTTATACTGAACAGAGAAACCGACAAAATAGTATCCATATTTGTATGTTTTTTTGTCATATGGATGCACCATATTAGATTAGTTGAACCCTCACAAGACTTTAATTTTTTTATAAAAACATTACAACGTTAACGTCTACTGATATTCAGTTCAATTGATGCTTATTGGTAGTGAAACACAATCTAAAATGTTGATATATAATGCCCTATGCCTTTTAAAAATACAGTTTTTGCTGTGCACATAGAAAGAAATGAATATGTCCTTGTGCATCTTGTCTGAGTGCAGGTTATGTTGCGTTGGTGGGCTAAGTTCAATTGACAGGTGCTTTGTTTGTGTGTGTGTCTACGCTTCACCGTGCCTCACTTTCAGACGAGCCTTGTTTGTTTGTGGCAGATCGATGCAGCTTACCGACTCACTCCGAGTCCGATGAAAGGAGAGGTTGCTCGTCGGAAAAAAATCCGCCATTTGCCTCTCGACTCCTCTGTTGATCCACTTTGTCGCGGGTCATCGTGCACAATGTCACATCAATTGACTGCACTGATAGGAAGAGACAGACAAAGACAGAAAATACTTTCCTCTATCAGACTGTATTCTTCTGACTCTTTTAATCTCGCTGCACTTAGCTGGCTCACAGGTGAATAGTTTAAAAAAACATGGCTAGAAACTAGTGCGATTTTCCACTCCTAATAGAGAGGAATTTAATGTCATGTATTTATAGGAGCACAAGTTTGTTTAACAGGCCCCTGGAGACCAAGTGCCAACCACAATGGGTGAACGCTGAAACCAGTGCAAAGTCGCCTTCAGCAGCACTTTTACTAATGACCACCATATGTTATTCAGTCTGAATTTCAGCACTTTAGTGAAAAGGAGAAAGATAACATGAGAATATTAGAAGAATATAAAGAAAAAATATTTAGATATGATTGATATATATATAACTCTTTTTGATACATATATCTTTACAATTTGATTTGTATATATTTACTGTTTGTGTTTCATATTTCTTCATGACATTAAAGGTGGGGTAGGTAAGTTTGAGAAACCGGCTCGAGATACACTTTTTGTTATATTCCATGGAATGCTCTTAACATCCCGATAGCAATGAATATATGTATGTATTTTCAAATTCTAGCGCACTCGAGCTGGTTTCTCCAAAATTACCTACCCCACCTTTAAACTAACAATTTCCCTAAGTTGATCTAATGTAATTGAATCTGTTTTAAAAAGTACTCCTCCAATAAGGATATTTCAAGATTTAACAAGGTATTTCAGACAGGTGTCTCAGCCTATCACAGCCTGATGTGGTGGTTGCTGTTTGCATCTTCAACACAATCTTTTAATCTTTCCTCTAATTTAGATATGTGTGGATTAGGGGTTGAATGGCCAGAATCTGGTTTTGCTCAAAGGTTTTATCTTTAAAGGGCCACTCCACCTTTTTAACACTCAAAGGTGCTGCAGGTTTATTTGTTGCCAATAATCTTCGAGTAGGCTTCTTTGGTTTAAAGACGATATATTCACTTAGATTTGAGACTTAGAATATGTTAGTAAGAAACTTTCTTTTAAACTGGAGAATAAAAGGACAAAACACAATTTGTAGTTTGAAAAATAGACAATCAGTTTCTTGCAATTACACAAATGTAATGTTCTTTTTAAATATGTCTAAAACTGAAACTGATTGTTGATTGTTATTTAGAAACAATTACAAATGCACTTACTTTGTTTCTATATGAACATATAATTGATTTGCAAACGTACTATGATTACGGCCATTTTAACATAGATATAATTATAATATATGTTTTACTTTGCAGGGTTAGGGTTAACCCTAATAATAATAATGAATAATTGCCATGTTCAAAGAAAAACATGTGGGCAAAATACACAAATCAGTTTGTTTTCTTAAAAGCATATTTAACTGAAATGCCATTCTTTTAATTTTTTTAATTTAGAGTTTTTCAGACAGATTGAAACACTGATCTTTCTTCATGCAGCATATTGTATGCAGTACAGAGTTATTGACATTCTCCTCTTTACTTTTAATTCTTATTAATTTTTATATTTCTTATTGCGTTGTTATTTGCCAATTTTAAATTGTTCATATTTTGTATACTAATGGTTTCAAACCAAATATTCTCTCAATTTGCCTCAGTACGCTCCGCTGTTGTTTTTTGCTCAGTTCATTGTATTTCACTTTTCTCTATGTTCAAAAGAACAATACTGTTAGTTTTATTATATTCATACAGCCCATTCTTCCCGTTCTTATTTGCTTTATTCCTTTTTTTTCAAGGGGATTAGTGATTTAATGATTCCCGCAAGGAGTATTAAAGTCTGATCATATTTTAACTTCTCTTTTGAGATCAGCGGGAAGAACTCAATTCCAAACTTTAATATGGTTTTCTGACGCCGCTTTATAGACTCTTTGTCCTCTATCAGCCTGGCGTGCACACTCACAGCGAGCTCCTCCTACAGCAGGAAGTGAGACCAAGCTCGCTTCTCTAGGGATTTTCACTGCTTCTTTGTCTAGGATGGGACTTTTTAAAAGTATTAATCCATTTAAAGAAAGTTACTTAGAAATGCAATGAGACATGACTGCACTAATTCCATCTTTTAAATAAGTACAAAAAGTAAGTTTGAGTATTTCCTCCACCTTGAGTGACTTGCATGAATAAGGTTTGTGACTATTTCATATCAGCTTTTGAAATTGAAAAGTGTTTATGCTCTCTTCTCTCCTGTTTTAATGTATGTGCAGGCACTGTGTGCAGCGGTGGTGATGCCTGATGTGCTGCAGACCATGGAGCTGGTGTTCAGTGGGGCGGATGTCCTGTGTGCCACGGGGGATCCGACCTGCTCCACCCCATATCTCCTGGCCCAACGCACTGGACTGAAGCTACACATGGAGTTCCTGCACCAAAACAAACACTCTGGTAAGAAACTGTAGGTACGGTTTGGGCCACTATTTACCACTTTATATCAGTATAACAGTGGGTCTCTTTTCATTTGTAGCTTAAAACACCTGCTTTATGAAAACTGTTGCCACCAGATCAACTGTAGTTGGCTAGCTAATATATGATAACACAGTAAGTTGGTTGAAAACCTCCAAGATTCAAAGGCTTTATTTTCTGATCCAAAAGAGCTACAGCGTAGTTGTCAGTACTCGAGACACAGCAGTCCTCCATGGCGCCATCTTTCAGCATCTCGCTGGCTTTACCGCCGTTCCAGCTGATTTTAAATGTGCTTTCTGTAAAAAATACTATACTTCATGGCTTCATAAATGCAGGGTTGGACACCTGTCAACTTTTTCAAGGTTTTGAAACCCATCTAGGTCACACATTTGTGTAGATCTGGGTACAATTTTAGGTGATTCTGGCCTGTAGTAAATGTTCCAAACTGGGCAAGACTTCTTTAGGACTGGATGGACAGCAGCTTTTCCTGTAGTGCAGGGATGCAGGGACAGTATGTAAGTCCAGAGAGCTGACAGTGTGTATACCTAGCTCCGGTAAGCTCTTCGGCACTGTTACGCCCAGGCCTTTGTTTTATAAAAGGTGGTCAGAAATACCTTTCCGGTCCACTGTATGTCATAGTGCTCTAGTGAGGGAACAACACATTGTAGTTATCCTCCTCAGGCCAATGCTCGACGAATCAAGCAGAGCCTGAGAGTTACGGCTACGATAGGAAACTTCCTGTCCAGGATTCAACCCAGTTCCAGATGCTAGAGTACACCAAGTAGCGATTAAACAAAATAACTCCTATATTCTCCCAGACAGACCTGAAAAAGGTGCTGACTCATAAACCTGTGGAAAAAAAGCCTTTAAACCCGGTGTGCGAGTTGGACTTTTACAACCCTCGGCGCCACATAAACTCAGCCTATTGTCTTTATACTTTAACAAGCCAATCATGTTCAAAGCTCAAGCCCACCATTGTGCCGTCACATTTATAAAAGCAGTGGGAGATCTTCACTCTCCCATGAATAGGAAATGAAGGCACACAAATGTAAAGCTGGTGAGTTTTAAGGGAAAAAAGTAATCGCTCCCTTCCTTTTCCCCTTGCTACTTTCCCCCTTTGTATTACCCACCTCGGGTTCCCACCATCGGAGGCTCGGCACAGATGTCGAGACGGGTGTGTTTTGTTTGTGCAGTTGCTCACCGGGCTGATGATAGGAATGTGTTAGATTAAAGGAGCGAGGGGGAGGCGGTAGCTGGGGCCGAGGGGAGATTTCTTAGGGACTGTATTTTACATAATGTATGCGCCACGTCTGTGCACACTCGCCAGCCACCGAGCCTGTTAGGGACTCCTAATTGCTAGCAAGGGTCACCTGGTCGCCTTTGGTGATGGCCATTACTTGGAGACACACATGCAGATACATACACACATTCCCCCGTCTGGTATTGTCCATCTGAAATGTGAAGCATACAGTAAAGGATGTTTCTATATGCTCGTTATATGGAAAAAAGTTGTGGGGGTTATCATTAACAAACAGAAATATGGAGCTCTTCCTATAGAGATGGATGCCCAACTAAATTCACCAACTACTGCAGGCGTAAGGACACAGGTCAGGGAGGTTAGCCATAACTCAAAAACCACTCTGACAGATTTACACTGCTTGGCTGAGATGGAGATCTTGCCTCAGGGTCAACAGTCAGTCAAGTTGGGACTGTATGGCCGAGTGACCACAAGGAAGATACTCCTACAAGTGACACATGATATTCACCCAGGGTCAGACCCACCATTAAATCTCGTATCTTGTTTACCTTTAAGATCCCACCTCCTAACATGTGCAAAACAGAAAACATACAGCCACTGTCGCCAGATTTTAGATCTTTGTTGGAGTATTCCTAGCATTCACTTTTACATTTGACACTTCTGCACACATGTACTTTATCCGTGTAGCTGAAATCAAAATAAATGTTGAGTTTGAAAGGTGGGTGTGATTAGAGAAAAGCCTTTTCCCCCCCAACGTTAACCAATATGAAGAAATGTTATTTAAATTAATCAAAGTCTAATGGAGGTTATCTCAAGCTAAATGTCCATAACTTGGTTCAATCATTATCATTTTCCTCAGTGGGAAATATTTAGCAATCCCCTGAACAATCTGCAGCTTTGTTTCACTTCACATGACCTACTTTCGTGTGTGACATGATGAAGTATCATGTTTGTTCTTTCAATAATACTCTACAGTTATGAACATCCATTATTCATTAGCAGGCTTGAAAAGATGATTGTAAAAAAAATATGAAAAATATTTAAAGTGGACCTATCATGCTATATTATAATAATATAGTGTAGGACCATACCTATATAAGGCATATTTATAATTTTATTTTTTCAAAATACCAAACAGATCATGCATTTTAGCCATGCCTCATTTTGCTCAATTTGACAATTTCTAGCTCTGTTTTAGCAAGGGCAGATTCAGTGAGAACAGCACCATCTACTGGCCTGGCATATGTACTACAGCGTCTCCAGCGCTTTCGAACGGCAATGGCCGTGGCTGTCTCCTCCTGATTGGTGGAGTTGGCCCAATAGCCGTAGCGCCACTGTCCTGACGTCAGGACAGTGTTCAAATCTGGATCAGTTTTGATCAGATCCGTTGCAGCCCCTTTTTTAGAGATTTGGGTATGGAGGAAAATAGAGAGGGTTGTGTTTTCTGACACTTGGTGAGTTCCCTGGAACACCGGGGACACATATTCATGTATAAAAGACGTACAAAAGTGCATTTTGCATGATAGGTCCCCTTTAAAGAACATTTATTTTATTTTATATTATGCATTTTTTTGTGAATAAATAGATTATAATGGTGTGCTGAAAGATTAAGGCTCCACACAAAACACTGTCCGAATTCCCCATTTGACTTTTTCCTACTGCCGGACACATTGTCGCATCACACAAAGCTAAGTGTTCCATTGTCTTTGTGCCTGCAGCCCCTTGAGTTGCAGTAAAAAGAAAACTTGCGACAAATTTTGATTAAACAAAAAATTGAACTTTTCCCCGTTGTTTTATCTTGTAGAAAGTGGGACCAATTCAATACCCATATGACACCATCCCTTCTGTGTAGCGTGCTGTTGACAGAGGGAAGATAGAGATGAGAATAAAAGGAGCCACATAGGAGCCAATATTGAGGACAAAACAGAGTGCAGAGTTTGTTTATGGAGTTTAAGAGACCTCAGCCTTGGGTTACATTTCCACACACACAGGAGGACACAAGGACAAAGAAGTATTTCATTTGTCTGCTGCTGTCATGGCATTATGCGCACCTGTTGTGACTGTTTGCTTAGATTTTCTTTTGTTTTTACCTTATCAAGCAGACATCCACAACAAGCATGCACTTCAGGCCTTCATCTAACCCCCGCATGGTGCTGTGAACCAGAAAGAAATGACGGCAAACATGCTTCTTCACCAAATTCACTAAACCCCCGCTGTGAGACAGGGATAAGCCGGCAATAAACAATCGTCAGACACGCTGAACAATTCTCACTCTTAACAACAGAAGTCTAAATTGGAACATCTCTTAGTGTGCAGAAAACCTTACAGCTGCGTCCCCTTCACAGTGTGAACCAATTTTGTAGAGAATTTAAAATGGGAAAACCCTGCATTTCCCCTGGATATAGTGTGTCAAAGCAAAGCCTGCGTCTCCCAGAACCCCCTTCCCTCCACAGCTTTTGTATCTTCGGCATCAGGTCATTTTCTGACGGCATCGCCACTTCATTAGCTCCTTCTCCACGGCCTACATGTGAGTGCCTCCATGTTGGTCTCGGCGGCCCTCATCGTCCCGCCTACACCTGCTCGCCCAAAAACACCCTGGGATACCACAGGAGCATGTTCATTTACATATCCCCATCCCAGATTTCACAAAAAAGCCAACAGCAGCTCCCCAAGGCAGAGTGTCTTCGCCTTTTGGAAACCCCTAAGGGCAGTTTCAATGATGGATGTATCTCTTATAGCCAAAGGCTTCCACTCAGGTGGTTTCTTGTGTATCTTCAGGTTCCTTTATCATTTTTCATGTCAAGTGAGCTCCCATATGCTACTCCCAAGAGGCTACATAAGCCACATAGATACACATTAAAATAGTTGTAGCATCAAGTTTGATTAAAACCATTCACTGAATATGAAAGTTGAAAACACACTGCCAACATCGAATATTTTTACAATCATTTATTTTGGCACAACTCATGTCTAACTGAGCTGTCACCAGTTGCTAACTTGTCACTTTGCAGTTTGAACATAGAGATGGATATGAAAACAGACACCTAATTCTGTGCATAATGTTCTTTGATCTGCGCTGATGCCACTTCTTGAATGCTAATTTCTAGTTTCTAGCCAAACAAATCCATAAATGGAGACTATTAGGTTTGAAAGTCCGCTAATTAATCAGTGTCTATGCACTAAATTGGAAGTAATATTGGACGTTAGCATCAGCTGATGGTCTAAGAATGTTAATATAATTGATTTGAATAATAATCATAACAATACACTTGAAAAGGTTGTATTTAAGGGCCTGTTGGAAGGATAAAAGGGTTTTTGACCATCTTATATGGTAAATACCAAAGTAGGCTTCATAAATTCCAAAATGTGTCAATTCTCAACATCTTGCTGGCTAATTTATTAGCTACAGACTATAAACTGATGGTTTCGCCAGCATTGCTGTCCATCCAGGTCTGTAGCCTAAATGGATTACTCAGGAGACCATTTTGGCAAACGAGCAGTTTATTAACCAACAAAAGAAGTCTCGGCCCTTGGATGTGTCACTCTGTGTTGGAGCCACTGGTCCCTGTCTGACCGGAAAGACAAGTTGGTAATTGATTCTTAAACGCTGCAGGTGGGTAACATTAACAACTGAACTCCATCTGCCACTTGGCTCTGCTACCAATGCTCTGCCATGCTGGATCAGTTTACACAAAATACCCTTCCAAGTCCTTTTTTGATAAATCGTCATACACTGGTAAACTTCACAAAATGTTAGTTGATGACTAAACATATTAGTTTATAGTTTTGTATTCACATAAGCACGGATGTTTATTAAGCACATCCATACTAAGGTGAATAAATGAATGTGGGGTCTGCAATTTTAGCTAACAGCAGCCCTCACTGTCGTTGGAAAAGACCAGGCTGATGAGAGCGCTAAGACGGAACCAAAACATAACATTTGCGAGCCCCAAAATGAAACTGAAAGGGGCTGAAACGCTCATATACTGGAAGCGAACTGCAGGGTGTGGTCATAACTGTTTGCCACTACAAGTGACCCATTTCACTTTATACTGTCATTTGCCCCATTTTTCATATAAAACATGAAATACTGCAGCTTTAAAGCAACTACATGCTACAAACAAAAGCATATTCCATAATGTGTACTATGCTAAACTCATAAACATACAAAAAATAGTGGCTTTAAGGTTTCAATTTGGTGCCTGCTCCAAACAACTTGTGTGTTTTGCAGCAAGACAGTGAACCCCTGCCAGCTATTTGACTGTAAATCTCCGGGTAAAGCATCAGCTAATGCCTAAACTGTAAACAAAGCAATGCAAACATGTAAATTGTGTTTTATGGCGGCTCTTCATCCCACCCAGGAGGCCTCTGTACTGCAAAACCCCAAGCTAAGCAGCAGTGCCTTTCACTGTGTCGACATCATTCCGCTTCTCCTTAAATGACACACGGTGGATTTGGAGGCAAAGAAGTTTTATTGTTGCCACCCTAGCATCCCTGACGCCTCAAATCTCGCGGCACATTAAAAATGTATCCAGCAGGCTTTCTGTGTGGATAATAAAAACAGGAACAACAACACACGTTCAAAGACAAACACTAAATCACAGGCCCTGTTTCTTCTTGGGTCTCCATTCCACCCCGCTGTTAGCAACATAGCTACGGCTGTGCCTGTTTCTTCAGTGATTGGTGACGTTGTTGTTTTTATACGAAGCATAAAATGGGCTGTTGGAGAGTCAAAGGGTCACAAGCAGTACTCAGTGTTTGTGAAGTGTGTGTGTGAATGCGGCTTCTTGATAAACACCCCAATTAATAAATGAGGTTCATCGGCACTCCAATATACATTTCCTATTAATACTAATATTCTTACTTTCCTAGTTGTTTTAATATACATTTTATTGCACATTCCTTCTTTTTAACTTCTTATGTTTGACTATTTATTTACATTTTCTAGAAATTTGAATTGAACATCTAATGTTAATTATATTTGATTTTGTATTGGACGTTTTGCTCTTTAACTTATGCCTGTATAGATATCTTTAAATTGTTCTTATGTTTATATATCATTTTTTGACTCTTTCTTTTAAGATGGAGAAAGTATTTTGATTATTCTATACTAACATCATGTACATGTTTTCTCACTCTCGTCCTCTAGCCTCTTTTATATTTCGCTGACTCCAAGTGTTATCTCTGCTTGCATTGCATATGTTCGACATTGGTGTTATCGTTTATTATATACGGCTTCACTGCCTGTGTGTGTGTATATGCGAGTGTCTCTGATTACCCCACTGTCCACTGCTTGTCGGAGACCACTTTGTGACCGTTGCCGTGGGCGACCAGATGGCTAATTGAGCACTCTGTCATGTCACATCCCTTCACTGGGGACTGAGCCAATCGGCACAGGCCAGACTTCTCAACTGCCGCCCCCACAGACATCACAGTCCCATCTTAACGGAGTCCAGCTTCAGGGCCCCAGAGGGACTGTTTAAAGGCTCACAGACAGCGCCTTGTTACCACTGATACAGCATCAAGCCACTGGCTTATTTACATTCTCTCAACCTGAGAGCTTGAAAACTATGTGTGTGTATGCGTGTTAGACTCTCTTCCCTGCAGCTTGCTGATTAAATTCTGTCAGAGTCCATGTATTTACGATGCTGCTATTGGCACACACATTGTCCGTGTTCGATTCAAAGCTAGATTAGAGGTCGCTACTTAAAGTCACCCATGCTTTATGTCGCCCTGTTTCTGATTGGCGCTGTAGCGTTGGCATTCAAATAACAATAATTGTTTTACAAGTAGCTACAATGCATGAAAACTTTGAATAACAATTATTATTAGAATTAACACTTGAAATAAGAATGAGAAATATCTTGGGTAAAGAAAATAAATAGCAACAAAATAATTTAAATCATACTTTCCTTACTAAAAAATAAATCAGGTCTGAATTAAAACCAATCACTACTACTGACTTACAAATCTTGGCAAAAAAAAGACTTATGGTTACATTCAATGATTTTCTTTACACACATCTTTAGCATGTAACAAGATCAATACATAATAAGGATTAATGCCAGAATATCTTTTTCTTTTTATGTCGAAAATGGCAGTGGATTTATAGAATATGCAATTATATATCAGGGAATCGCTAAAAATGACTTTTTATGGCTTCTCCATTGCATTAAAGTTCTGAATGGAAAAACTTGTCCATGCTTTTATCTTCAGTAGACTCGACTACTGTAATGGTGTCTTCACAGGTCTCACTAACAAATCTATTAGAAAGCTGCAGCTAATTCAGAACGCCGCCCCTCAAGTCCTCACTAACACTAAGAAAGTGGATCACATCACTCCTGTTCTGAAGTCCTTACACTGGCTTCCTGTGTGTCAAATAATTGATTTCAAAATACTGCTGCTGGTTTATAAAGCATTGAATGGTTTAGGCCCAAAATACATTTCTGACCTACTGCTAAATTATGAACCATCCAGATCTCTCAGGTCTTCAGGGACTGGTCAGCTTTCTGTCCCCAGAGTCAGAACTAAACATGGAGAAGCAGCATTCAGTTATTATGCTCCAAATATCTGGAACAAACTCCCAGAAACCTGCAGGTCCGCTGCAACTCTGACTACTTTTAAATCCAGGCTGAAGACTTTTCGTTTTGCCGCTGCTTTTAATTGAACTTTTCATATCTTACACTGCACTGTAACTTTTATTATCTTTGCTTTTGAATGCCATTTTCTTAATGTCTTTCATTTTTGTAAAGCACTTTGAATTGCCTTGTGTTGAAATGTGCTATATAAATAAACTTGCCTTGCCTTGAATAATTCAGGTGATATTAGGCTGTAAAAAACATTCAATGCTATAATGTACTTTATTTTACTGCAATTCAAAGACTATTAATGTGCATTTTGACACGTTTAATTAGTTTGACACAATCCACATATAGAACTTATACAAATGGCTGTCTGATCAGGCATCAGCTAAATGGTGGAAATGTTGCTTCAATTAAAAATAGTTTCAATTAAAGTTATTTTACCTTCCTTAATGAGAGAGCTGGAGGTAGGGAAGATAAAATCTGTAAGATGTTGCCAAGGCTCGGGCAGAAAATTCAACCTCAGAAATGAAGCTAATTGAATTAAATTGTTGAATTTGACAACGATAAGGTTGAATGTGGGGAGTGTTAAAGCTAGCAAGAAAAGGATGAAGAGGGAGTTGAGAAGAAAAGGAGGCAGGAAGGCATCTAATTTAATTGGACAAAGAATAAAAGAAGATGGAACATAAAACTATTTTTCTAAAGATACAGTACATGGAGGCTTAAGAACATCTTACCTTTGCATTTAGATGACCAAGTGATGAGTCATGACTGAATAAACAGTATAATCATGTTTTATGCACTTTTCTTTCAGGAAAATGGATAAAATCTTGGTGAAAACGTGAAAATATTCCAATTAATTTTTTTTCCAACAACACTAACGTTTTCTACGTAACATTAAGCTGTAACAACGTACATGCTCTATCCCGCAAATTGCCATGTGGGATTGCATTCTGCATTGCTAGATTTCCTACCATAGCTTAATATTCCCAGTGGAGTTTGATAATGCTATGATATGAAAACAATATTGTGTTTCCCTTATGAATAATTCTGAGAAATGTCATGTTACAAATGAGTTTTTCAATGTGAGATATGTGTTTATATGTCAATATTAGAAGGAAGCTCATATTAACATTGCGATAATATGTCCTACCAACCAGACCTAATATAGCCTACCTGTTTTTGTGTTTTTATAGATGTATTCCCCTTTACTTGAGTCTTTTATCATAATAAATTAATAATAACCCTGGTTTCAGCTTTGTGATGATGAATTTTTCAAATCACCCAATGGGATTTTTGAATAATGAATTTAAATTCAGAGGTTTGAAGATTTCGTGAACCATTAAGAACCACTTAACCCTTCTCTGGAATTGTCAAATTATATACGGTTTTATTGGAGGCTATTCTATGATTTTGGGGGTCAAGTATGGCCAGAATGATATTTAAAACTCATACTGGAGTATTACAGCTGCAGGTGAAAGAGAAATGTGCAAAAATGTGATTTCAGAAGCATCAGAATGTTGCACCGCCACCATTCAACAAATGAGGGAAACCATTCCCTTTCTCATCTACTATGTTTCGCCCTTCATTGTAGATTTCCCCGTCCTTGAGCAGTGGTCCGAGAGCGCCTCCCTTTCCGAAGCTTCCCTCTTCATGGATGGCTTCCTCTACATCTCCACCGGCGCTTCCAAGACGACGTTGGACCGACGTGGAAGAGATGGTGAGCTATTAAAAAGAAAAAAAAGAGTAAAACTTTTTATTTGCAAACCTCCGGCAAGGCCAATCAATCCATCAATCCATTTGTAAGCAGTTTAAACTGCGTGTTTGTCAGAGGTCTACTCCAGTTAAGCGCTGAGCGATCAATCAGTGTCAGTCTGTCAGCTGTCAAACTGCCAATCGTTTAATCCGAACACTAAACAGTCCAGTCAAAACGATCAATGGATGTGTCTTTCACATTCGTTCCGCATCCGTCCTCTGGGAATACTTGTCAGACGGAAAGATGTTCTTAGACGACCCTGCAGTGAACACTCTACGGAAGTTCAAGGTAAATTAGGGTCAGGTTGAAACATTTGGATACAAATGAATAAAATAATTAAGTCTGTTCAAACCCACCTGAGAGAGACTAGCTCTCAAACTTCTGAATCTCTTCATTTTGTCTTCCAAGGCAGTTTAAAACTTTTAATCAGGCTCCATTTCACACCCAAACTCCTCAGCTGCTGCTGCACCTCCTGCTCCGCTATGGTCCCACTTCTCCAAACAGCTGGAGCGTTGCTAGGGCCCATGGGTAATTAGGAGAGGGAGCAGGCTTTGGATGCCCCCCTTGGGGATGGAGGTTATTGGGAAGGTGGAGGATGGGGGGGGGAAATGGAGGACAAATGTAGGGAATGAAGGTTTCCGGGTGGGGGTGGCAGATTGCAGCTAGCTGCCAGTGGATGAGCGTAATCGCCTACGTCCTGGGCAAGACATCCATCTCCATTTCCCATCCATCCCCACATGCTCCACTCTCATTGGTGGATGTACATGTTACTAATGAACAGGGCTGAGGTCTGGGAAATTGCCCCTTAGAGGAGATGGGGGGGAAAATTCCTTCCAATATCTATTGAAATTCTCATTATTTGGAGAGATGGAATTCATTTACATTACATTTGTTGAAGGATAATTCCAATGTACTGCAATGTGGCTCTTGATGTCATAGTTGTAGGACATCAATTCTGTTGGTTATGACAATATTGTACTCATAAATGCTGAGATCTGGGAATATGGTTACCTCGCTCCAGTGATGTCTTATTGGCCAAATGATAAAACTGGTTACGAATAAGACTGTTTTAAACTGTCTACCCGTTTAAATTGGCTTACCTTTTGAAAAGAGACACTCTTACACAAGTCAGTCCTCTATTTTAAAGATTTCTGAACCTTTTATAAATCAAAATTGACAGTTGGGCAATTTATAATGATCAAATATACATTTACAAGCTGGCCTTCAACTGACTACCCACACACTTTTTACCAGAAAACATTTGCTAAATCTTAGAAAGACTTTTATATAAATGTTGTATTATCGAATTCTGCAATTTAAAGTTGCAATAATAAAACAGTCACTTAGGGGTTGCAAGCTCTAACCCCATTACTGACACATAATCATTTACTGTTATTTTACCTTTATTTTGTCTCCAAGATGTGGACATATCAGGTTGTTTTTCTAAATTCACCACCAGCTAAATACTAACTTCTTGTTTTGTGAAGGCTGTTGCTGGCTTATGTAGTGTTCACCTTTGGATGTCAGATCAGGACACAGACTTGCTTTGGTTTTGTAGAACTATAATGAGTGCCTCAGGCGTCAGATACACATAGTTATTTTCTTTCTTTATTTATCCTTCTGCCTAGACGAAAAATTCACTTGTGTGGGTATGTGTGGTCTAAAAATGAAAATAAATACTCTTTGCTAACGTGGTCAAACCAGCAATACAAGTCCAAGTCTGTATTGAGGGAATGTAGTATATAACAGTGGTTACAATAACATATACAGTGAAGTGAAATAATCTCATACAGCAATTTACATGTATCTTAATTATTATTGAAGGATCTTTAGCCGTAGCTGATAGCTGTTAGCGTGGGTAAAAACAAACAGGCATTGAGGAAGGGACATTCTAAACATTCTAGCATAACCACATAATGATCAACGTATCAGTTTTACGAACACAACAGGTAAGCTTTACTTTGTCTAAGTCCTTTCATAGTGTAGTGCCAGACTAAGTAGAGTGTCGGATGCATGGCAGGAGTTGCTATGGTGATAAATTGGCTTGTTAACTAGCCCCCTGCCAGAGCCTTTTGTACATTCTGTTCTGTGCTGAACAGCGGACAATAGAATCGTCATCAGGGCTTTTTTTGTGTGCGGAAAACAGCTTCCTATGTCTGGAAATAACTTTGATGATAACAGTTAGAGCTAACTAAAACACAGTGGCGTTGTGAGCTGAAAAACCCAAAGAATGAGCAAAAATATGTAGCGTTGAGAGGGGGTGCAGAGTTGGGTCATTATTATCTTCATTATTACATTACAAGTAGTTATTGTATCCATATTTGATATTTTTAAACAAGCACTAGTCTTTTCCATGTTATGTTTAAAGTATTAATATAAAAAGAACACTTCGGGCATTTTGTATTAAAATGAAAATAACATTGGTTGGACAGAGTGTGTTTTGCTGTTCCGACAACATGACAAGCTGCTTGAGATGGACTAACGCTACATGTCGCCATTTTGTCCTGGTCCATTTTAGCCACTGTTGTGCATTTTGTACCACTTACAGACACAGTGTATCCAAAGTGGTCTCCCTCCAGATAAGTGCTGGTAATATCTCGTCCGATAAACACCCCGTTATGTCATCTATTATGAAAAGCCGTACGAAGTTTGGCTTTTGTGCTTTAATGGCGCTTTAACTGCAACTGCTGAAAGATTCAGAGCGGTTGAGTTTAAAACTCAATGCGTTCAAACTTCTTCAGTCACGAAGAAGCCTTGTCAGGACTTTGTGAGCACGGAGCGATGAGGTATTTTTGAATCTACTCCAAGATGCCTTTCGCTCCCAGGCTAATGGTTAGCTGGTCTATAGATACACCCCTATTCTTAATAATTCATAGGTGGTGCTCTGGGCTTAATAAAAGCACTCTGCCACAGCATCTTAAACTTTTTGTCTGGAGACAACTCCAATTGGCTTTCATGCTTCCAGTAATACGAGCTAAATCGAGAGAACGACATTTATTAATTTGGCATACAATTTGGTAATGGCCTTGACTGAGGTGGCATGGGGGATAATTGTGCCAGTCCACCATAATGAAATAAAACACTGAGATGCCTCTGGGAATATAGATTAGGATTAGAGAAACAATGTTGTGTTATTTGTGCCGGAATCAAGGTTGAACTGGTTTATTCTCCAGCGTGGCACCACTTTAATAGCTGTTTGCTGTTCGCTTGAGCTCCGCTCCATATTAGGTTTACGCAGTTGATTGTAGCGTAAATGAAGTCTCCCCCTTAACGGGTACGAAAGTGACTCATGCTACTTTCACATTAAAGAGTGTGTACATGCTTTGTGTGTTTGTACGTGTGTGTGTATGTGCGCTCGTGAGAGCCTTGGGATGAAAACAAGAGCCAGTCGGCAGTTACTGTCTGAAATGGTGAGTGGCAGCGGGGAAATGGCAGCCCTAATTTCTGATTAGTTTGGTCTTCTCCTCATCAGCTGCACTCTGTTTTTTGCCTGCAACAGTAACTCACAACTGCCAGAGAGGGAACAGCGAGGAGGTGGTGTGGAGAGGAGAGAATTAAGTAGCATTATGTTAACAGTTTTATTAAGGACACAAATCTGAGCCCATATGAACATTCAATTACTTGCATCTACAAAGCCGGAGTCCAGTTTTGGATAGTAAACCAAATATTAATTTAGCTAAAAATGTGCTGTCAAAGGATATTTAATTATCAGAATTTTAAAGCAGTCACATTTATGTTATTTTGTTTTATATTTTATGAGGAGCTCACAAAGCCTGTTTAAACAATTTGTCTTAATCCAATATGCTTTTGGAGTGCTCTTCTTAATGGGCCTCTGCTTGCCTAAATGAGCTAGTAGTGCTGTTGCTCAGGCCAGAAATACATGGCAGATAGTGTTTTTTTTTTCTTTATCTAATGCCATATCTGTCCATTTCTCCCTGTAATGAAGTGGGCTGTAATTCTGGCACAGACATATCGTTCAGATCCCTTCAGTTTCTCAATTTCCATTTTCCCTAGACAAGCTGTCAAGCAGATGTCTTCATTGCAGATATTTTAGTCTGATGGCAAGATAGGCAGAAGATTGGCGGTAGGGGGATAGGTGGGAGAGCGAGCGAGCTAGGGAGGGAAGAGGGTGATTCTGTGGAAAGGGAGCTTTTTCGATGCATACTGAAAACGGGTATCTGTGCAATGTCAATAAAAAAGTTTAAGGACACATTGGGTAAGTCTGTAGAAGTAAAGTTAATAATACACCTGGGAACACAATCAGACTCAAAACTTTTGAGTAAATATGTTATTCTGTAACTTGGGCCATTCAGTCAATGAACAATAAGACAGTTTAATTGCCACATTGATGACTTGATTAGTCTAATCAACCTGCTCATCTCGCATACGTGGAGCATTTAGCACATTTTACAAATTGCCTTAGTCAGAGATGAGGGAAAAAAAGCAGAAAAAGGAGAAGAAGGTTCCACACTTCCACGGGAAAATGCAATGCAGGGAAGCTAATTGGCCCAATTTAGCTGGTGGAGGCATATACCACGGTTGGCTTCCGCTAGTGTTGTCTCTGGCGGCATCTCTGGTTGCGGACTCCCGCGGAGAACGGCTGGGCCGCGGGGCCATTGCTGTGTGTGTGGAACAGCTGGCAATGGACGCAGCTGCTTGATTGTAAATCAAGCACTATTGTTCCCCACATTGCACGGAGGCTTGTGTAGAAGCTAGTGGTGTCCCACCCGCTAAGGAAATGCTGCACCACAAACAAAGAAGGATGCGTGCGCTTCGGTGATGTGCAGGTCTTTGATAAAGCCAGTTTCCTGTAGGAATATCCTGAAGGCATTCAAAGGCATTCAATGCTCTGTTAAGAAGTTACTTGTGCCACACATCCCAACAAAGCTGAATAATAGTTGCATTCAACTGAGTGAAACTCATTGCAGATATTCCACATTTACAAAGAAGTCGTGATGAAACTGACAGCGACCCCAGTGGTACAGGTTCTATCTTGTTCCTCCTTCCTGCCTGCATGGAGATATTCTTTAACCTTCGGGCCTCCATTGGAAATGTCTAAATCCTGTCATCATAGCCTTTTCTGTCTTCTACCAAATCCTTCATATTAAATCACAATCCGAACACACAAGAGATAACTGTATCTGAAATTACATTTGTCAAACATTTGTACACCTTATGGCCTCCCTTTAATCCCTCTCTTTTCACTGCCTTCTGTGTCCTCGTCCTTATGTGGGCATCTGTTCTTGTGGGTGTGCTGGCCATTATTAGGATAACTATTCAAAAAACTAGTTGTTCGAGTAGTGAGCTCATTCACGTGTCCACGTTTTCTGGACCCAGGGTCCCGTAGCAATTTGCTTTTCGGATTCACAATGGGATTTCTCTCCTTGGAGTTGAGGGAAAATTAAGAAAAGAAATGTGTGCAGATTTTGTCCGACTTAGTTCAAGGAGACATGATACGGATGCCACATGTGCCAACATTAAATTAGATCTATTAATATTTCTGATTCTTAGGACAATCGAGAAAAAGCCATGTCTTCTGTAATTGCTTGTCACTGGATGTCTTCTGCTTGTAAGTAGTTGACTGAATATATATACATATATATATATAATTTATATTCATAATTTAAGAAAGAAGTAAAGTCATCGAGTAATTCACAGGAAACGCAAAATATGAACACATTTAACTCAACACCACAAATGTGACATGCTAGACGAAAAGTCAGCGGTTCAAAAAAGGAAACAAATAGAGGAATTTCACTAGAGAATGGAAAAGAGAAGAGTCGGGGGACCATAACAGTCATAAGGGTTTTTCCTCTGGAGAACATGAATGTCAGAACAACTGGGCAATTTGACGGATAGCGAGATATTTTGGTTTGAACCAACAGACTGAACAACTATGCCATCAATAAAGCTGTTTCTTTTCCTTTACCACCCCTAAAATAATCTTGTGACCCTTCATATTTATCTTGTGGGTCCAGGTTACGGCTCACAGGTTAATTACCCCTGGTTTGTACCTACCAGTAAATTAACCAATGCATAATCTCTACAGCCACAGGACCATTTTCAAACAACACTTCTAGAAAATCAATGGCTTTACAGTCATCTAACAGCCTATGAAAGCAATTGACTTCAGTTAGGAAATCGAGTGCCTCTTAAGAACACGATTGTGTGAGGGTTTCAGATTGTACAAATAAAATGACTCAGTAAATACCCCATTAGCAGAGGTACAGAGGGAACAAAGGCAAGATTTCCAGACAATTATTGTACGAAATGTTCTGGAGTAACACACGTAGGAAAATGATGGACGTGACATTTTCTACGAAACCTATGCAAACCAGGGACACATTTGCGAACGGAAGTGAAGCAATTCACATTATTTTCCATCACCAAGAAAAACTGTGGGTTCTGTCAGATAGATTGGGTTGATAATAATGTTAAATACCAGAATCTTTTTCTTTCTCTTTCATCACGCACAGACACACACATGCAAAACTGTTACACGCACGGTTGATTTCAGATAAAGACAATTCTTCAGCTGGTGGAATAATTTGTCTTCGACACGAAGTAAGGTCAGAACAACAGTATTTCTCTAAATGCCACAGTAAACAACAAAATATTAGTTATTCAGTCAGTTTTAAAGCTGTTTGTGTCCAGATTGTTTATCCGAGACGGAACAAGACAGAGATAGTCAGAAAGAACCATACAGAGAGACAGTGCAGGGGTGAATAGAGCAAAACTGACATTCTCCTTTCCTATGCTTATCACATCCTTTTTTTTTTCATTGGAACTATATCTGTTCCTTCAGAAACATCACACACATTTGGCAGAGAAATGCACAATTAACATATTCATGAGATGAATACAGTGGAAACTTTGGAGTTGCAAGCGACAGGGGGTACAAGTGTGGTGTATGGGTGTGTGTGTGTGTGTGTGTGTGTGTGTGTGTGTGTGTGTTGTTTGCGGAACACAAAAGCAGATGGCACGTTGACTTTGAAAATCCAAAATTAGGTATGTTTTCATGAACTTCATGCTCATTGGCTATGTAAATTGCACAGTCAGACAGTCATGAAAGACAATGTTGTGTGTTTCCCAGCCTTTTCCACTGGGATCGTGTCTGCTGATTGAAATCTGCTCGATATTTAGAGTGTCTTAACTCACGTACAGTATACAGCTTCACTAAGTTGTCCTCTAATCAAAAGCATATGGAAGAGACATAACTAAGTCTCCTCTCTTCAACAATGATATGTTTGTATTCTTCTCTCCATGTCCATACGTCTTTGGTTGATTTGGAAATGAAGGCCACAGTCTGCCAGTTATGTTGGTTACTTCCTTTTTTTTCCAGCGTTGTTTCGGTGTGATTTAGAGCTGCTTGGTTTGGTTTTGGGATATTTGTGTTTTAGAGTTATTCTCACTCTTTAGAAGAAGAAAAGTGGAGGCCTTTGACAGTGTCACATCACAATACATTCATCCATGTGTGAAAGCCGAATGCATAGTGTCTTATCTCTAAACGTTTAAACAATTTCGCAGTAGCGCCGTTCTGTCTTATTAAGAGTCATTAGCTGTGTTTAATAGGGCTGGAGTGGTGCTTATTGTTCACCAACCAATCATTTGCATTGCAGGCTATAATTAATATATTTTTCTGACTACAAACAATAGACAATTTGCTAAATGTATCAGCATGCAAATGGATGGCTCTACACTACTAATCCAACATATCTTGGAGAATGCATAAGGAAATATGCATCATATCAGTGATCCAATATTACATACAGTATCTTTTCCAACTATCTCTGATTTCTATGTAATCTGGCACCTTTTATTTGGATGTCCAAACAGTGTTGATGATATATGTGACTTGCTCTATCGAAATCAGTCGCATTGACCCGAAGACACATTTTGAGTTGTATACACTGTTGGAAAGAGGAGATTCCTAGCTTTCTAATGATATCAGGATTGTTTTTGTACTCCAAATATTAAGCAAAATATGTCACATTATATAATGACTGTCACCGAGTCATAATTTTTAAAGGCCTTTAAAGTTTCCTCTTCTCTGGAATCCATCAATCTGATTGATTATTAGCGGCTAATAAATGATCAAAGTACTACGGAGGGAAGATATTTTCGTTTGGATTACTGGTCTGGGGGAAGCTCGCGAGTGTGTGTGTGTGTGTGTGTGTGTATATGTGCGTGTGTGTGTGTGTGTATATGTGTGTGTGTGTGTTTGTGTATTTTTGCATTTTTGTGTATTGTGTTTGTTTCCCGGGGAAAACACTCAAGAGAAACACCGGCTGTTGTTATGCCTGCTGTGACGTCAAGTTACTCCGTTCTCCGCTTTTAATTATGCCGTTACAAGCTTTCAAAGTTGTATTTATCATCTGAATTTGCCAAAACAAGTTTAATATTCTGAAAGCCAAGACTTTGTTGAATTGAAATCAGATGAAAACAAACTGTAGCGGACCCTGCCGTGTTATCTATGGTTACTACAGTATACGCCTTACATTCATAATTTCAGCCGGAGGGAGGGGAAGCAGCGCTGCGGAAGAGCAGAGTGCGAGTGAGAGGTGCCTGTCATCTTCCCTTTACAAGCTTCACAAATGTATTTATCGTGTGATTTTGGAAATAAAAGTTTCATATTCTGAAAGCCATATTATACAAATCCACGTTTATTTTGAAATGAGCCGTTGCGACTTCCGACTGATTTCGATAGAGCGGGTCACATATGTAGTCCATGGAAGAAACATATTGCCCAGAATTGTAATGGAGAAAGCTGTGTTCTCCATCTTGCAGAACTATGCAAACATAACCTACTTATACCAGGATGCATTGGAAATGAGCTATTTACACCTAGCAAACATATAGTGATGCTAAAAGGATTTTTACTCCACACCGGCAGGAACTAAGACGGCAACAACCCTTTCCTATTTCCCACATTGGCAGCGCATCACAGCCTTATTTCTTACTTTTTTACCTTTCACAATAAAAGCCCGTCTTAGATTATCTCTGGAAGGTCTCCAGCATACCTCTAAGTGAGCAGTTAAACGTTCAAGCAATAATGCCCAAGCTCTATCTTACATGTATCTGAAAGTTTTTCTCATGACATGTTTGTGTGTATTTTTAGACATGGCGCGTCGTTGGTGTACATTGGAAGGCGGTTTCTTGAGTTACTACGAGAGCGAGCGAAACCCGTCGGCCATCGGCAGGGTGGACGCGTCGGAGGTGGTGAGCCTGGCTATCAGCAACACAGAGACAATGACTGGAGCCGGGTAAGAACACACACTATGTACATACAGTATCACTGCTGTCGAATAAAAACTTTGTACCTCTAAAATCTTCTGGAAACCTTTAAGCAAGATTAATTGTTCTATTTTCATACACATATTTGTTTGTTTAAATGATTCAATGGTTGGATTTAGACGTATTGTAACATAACATGTAATATTGATCTAAATCCTGTGCATTAATTGGTAATTTACATAAAATTCAAAGATTACATAAATCCACACACAAACACATACCAGTACAGTCAAATCCATTTTATTTGCCACTATATCATAATTTAATAATTCATTGTTCTACCTGCTTTAAGCACACACGCCACCCATACAAAAACAAGTTTTTAAATGATTTATTTTTCTTTTATTTGCTTGTATTACATTTACTGCACTTGTGTTTGATATATTAACATAAACACCAAGCCATGTAAACACACACTGCCGCATACACACTTCCTCTGCCTCGTCATATGCCTCATTAGCATAATCTTACATTTGAGCATTATTCAATTTAACAGAACCTATCAAGGCTTTATGACGGCTATATTTCCTGTTTACTTTGGCAGGGATGCGGGCGAACGGCGGCGCTTTAACTGCCCTCCCTCCGTTCACTTTGTACCGTTACACCTCCCCCATCGCTTCTCTCTTATGATTCAGTTAGAAAAGTTGCTCTGACAACCAACTTTTCTTTTATTTCGTCTGGAAACACACTGAGAAAAAACAGATGTCTCCATCCTCTCTTCTCATATATATTGTGTGTGTGTGTGTGTGTGTGTGTGTGTGTGTGTGTGTGTGTGTGTGTGTGTGTGTGTGTGTGTGTGTGTGTGTGTTGTGTGGTGTGTGTGTGTGTGTGTGTGTGTGTGTGTGTGTGGTGTGTGTGTGTGTGTGTGTGTGTGTGTGTGTGTGTGTGTGTGTGTGTGTGTGTTGTGTGTGTGTGTGTGTGTGTGTGTGTGTGTGTGTGTGTGTGTGTGTGTGTGTGTGTGTGTGTGTGTGTGTGTGTGTGTGTGTGTGTGTGTGTGTGTGAGCACAAGCCAGGCCCTTAATGACGGCAGCAGAACAATGCTTTTATTTGTATTAATGTTATTTACACAGCTATTAGAAACACATCTGGCCAGCTAAAACTATGACCTTTAATAAGCTGGTCTTATCATCACCGCCATGATAGGTTACTATAATAATACTGTGTGCTTTAAAGCAGGGGGAACCGCGAGACCATTTGGTACGGCCCTCGAGGTAATTTATAAAGACAGGGGTGCAGTGCTGACCAGAACGCGGCTCCGGCACTTAAAAAATTGCAGTACCCATAAGGAGCCGTACACATGTCGCAGTTTTTGCGTGGCTGTGTCTTTAGTTGAAAGCCCAGTGGCGATCTGTTCATCTGTCACACTGATCATACAGTCAATAACTTTGTTGTTATTAGCATCTGGTTAGCTAGCTAGGCTAACGATTATAAGAAGCTTTTTCTATAACCAGTGAGGTAAAGGCACATCTTTATATGATCATTATAGTTATAAAAAAACAAGAGAATAAAGTAAACAGGTATAAAATACGATATGACAGTTAAAAAAAAGTTGTAATTAATAAACAAGAATACAGTTTGAAACTTCAACTTTAAAAAAAAAAACTTCCCGGGGGAGCATTAGGAAACTAAATACATTTGCACACACCTTGTGTCCATATCTTTCTGTTTTGGTGGTCATGCCACACCGTGCACGTGCATGCATGCGCGAGTCATGGTAAGATATCTGGATTAAGAGGTTGCTTTTTCTTTGCACAGCATGAAAGAAAGGCAAAATGAATGGGCTGTGATTTTAGTATTTTTAAGCAGAGGTCAATAATTTGTACGGCCCTCTGAGGATGTTGAAAAAATTGAAATGGCCCTTGAAAGGAAAAAGGTTCCCCACCCCTGCTTTAAAGCGACACTGCGCCATTTTTAGCTTACATGCCAGTTACAGGTCATGGCGTCGCCCCCAGAAATGCTATTACTTCTCCGTCGCCAGGCGCTCATAATGGCTGTGCGTTTCACTAGATTAAACTCTGCCTCACTCCCTCTCACTTCTGCAACTTCCAGCGTTCCCAGCATGCCGAGCGGGGACGCCTCACCTCTTGACTGTCTGCCGCTCATGAATATTAACGTATGCAGATGACACACTCCTTACCGGCAGCCTATCGCCGCGCCGCAGGAGTCCGTAGGTGTCGCTTTCATTAAGCACAGCGTTTGGGTAATTTCACCGTGGCAGAGGACACCGGGAATTACACGTACTGTACTTCTGCTAAAGTCCTATTAATATTACAAACCCACTAAGGAATTAATGCAAAGGCAGTATGTTGGCTGGTGATAAGTTGAGGTTTTAAACAAGAATATTTCCAAGTTAATTCTGACCTTCGACAAACCTTTTTTTCTCTTTTCCGTTTTGCACCATTTCACACTCTGTCTTTCTCTATCACACACCATGAGAACAAGCTGAATTTTAAATAGACTTTTAGAGGGGCTCAGGTGCTACCTCTGCCAGGGAGATGGGTTAGATATATGAGGGTTGGGGAATTAAGACTTTCTCAGAGCACACAAAAGCCTTAAGGAGAAAATAAAAGGCTACAGAAATACATATGGATAACGCTATGCCTGTTCAAACCACAGGTGTATATTGTGCATCAAATTCCTCCACAAGGAAAAGTTTCAAACTCTGTCAACTTAACTCAGCCTCAGAAAGTACTTTTGCTAAAATCAGAACATTATCTTTTCCAGTGAATTTACCTAAACCTATATTTACTTTCAGCTCAGTTTAATGAAAGCAATTGACTTGAAAGTCTGTATATAAACCATGGCTTAAGGCTAGTCTTAAGTTTCATTTTATTTATAGGTCTTTCATCAAATGATTGCCCTTTTATTGAATACATGAAAATTGTAGACAGGTATACATTAAGGCTGAAAATACGGTTATTCTGCTTATCACCTGCTTCTTGTGTGCCTATAGCATATTGAGAGTAAAGTTAGAAAGAAGAAGGAAACAAGTATTTAAAAGATATATAGCACCTCATATAAGAGACACAAATGGTTTACAACTCTACACACATACAGTATAAGAGCGTGTCCTGTCTGATGATAGTTCTATTTCTCTCTCATCTCAAGTTCCATGAATGCTTTTGTTTCAACACCTTTCGCTCTTTCTCTGTATATCTTGCTATTCTCCCCTGCCACTCCCTCCCTCTGGGACTCCCATGATGCAGCGTTCATCTTCTCATCCCTGCGTCTCCTCCTCCCGTCTTCACCGTACCATTTGCCCAGCACATCGCCGCACCCCTCCGCCACTCCATGCTTTGCTCTCCCACTGGGACTCCCTTTAACAAGCGCCTGCACACCTGCCGGCGAAAAAAAGAGTGTTCGGGGGGTGGGGGAGTAGGAGGTAGAAGAGGGGGAGGGTGGGGAGGGGGTCACACGAGGGCACACAAACACCCGTGTCTAGCCTGTTTCTCCTGACACGTCTGAAAGGAGAGCGACTGAGCGCTGCCGTGACCCCCGTGACACGCCACCTTAAACACCCACCGCCGTAGCATTTAGAGCCTCCCTCGCTGCAGCGCACCAATGGCAACGAGGCCACTGCTTGGCAGCCATTAAGATACTGATACTCAAATTGTGTACCTCCACACACACACACGCACACGCACACGCACACGCACACGCACACGCACACACACATACACACACAGAGGCAGAGACGACAGGAGCAGAAAGACCAACAAAGATTAAGCGCTGCCTTTTTGCTTCCAACAGCATCACTTTAGCCTGCAAGTGTTTGTGGATGAAAACGTGTTTGCATGTGCGCAAGGAAGGCATTTTTTTTTTAGGATTATATAGTCAGTGTGTATAAACTAATACAAATGTTTTTGATGACCCAGGGGGGTGAAGGTTCCTCACTGACTGACTGACACACATTTTGCGAGAGCATATTCAGCTTCAAGTCAAAATACACTTCATTTTACCTTTTTAATATTTTAATCAGAAGATGCTTTCTCTTCAACTGTCAAAAAAAGATTAAGTTTAATTAGTAATTTTCTTTATTTGTAGAAATTCTAGAATAGACTACAATAAAACATTCATTTATAAACAGAACAAATATTATTTGTCATCTTTTGTTGAGCAAAAATATATTTTATTACATTTTTTATAATTGTATATATAACTTTCAGTTAAAACGTTCCTCCTATCCATCTTTTTTAATTTAAATATATGTATAGATGAGATCAGTTGTTTCCGTCATTTTCAATTTACACAACTTTACCGTGAATGCGGAACTTCCAAAAATCTTTTGTTGACAGGTGTGTAGGAAGAAACGTTTCATTAAATGCAACTTATACAACTGAAATCATTAGTTTTGAAATAGTGATAAACCAAGGCAAACATTAAGGGCCTGAGCTTATTACAGTACGCCTACATAAATTCAGTCAACAGTGTCTAGAAATATGTTTATAATAATTGTAATAATTGACGGTTGTTGATGCCTTTGTCTTTTATTTAAACAGTATCATATACTTGTAATGCTGTGCACGTAAACAGGCACTTACAAGCATATATTTAGTTTGATGGAAACGCATCACACAGACAATAAGCTGGTCTGTTTTTATTTGTTAATAAACAGATTTAGGTATTCTTTTCCCTCTTTATGAGTGGTTTCGAGGACACTTTTGAATTCCGGATATCTAACCGCATGTCTCCGGCAGGGCTGTGTTTACCGTGGATCTGTACCTGCAGACGGAGCGGGTACTGATTGTCGGCGCGGAAACACAGGAAACACAGCATGACTGGATCCAGGCGCTAACAAAGGTGACACACTTTGCATACAGCACACACACACAAACACACACCTCCTTTTAAAGTTTGTTTTCCTCTTAAAGTTAAAAAGAATAAAACTGTGCGAATGTGCTGCAGAAGAACATTACACATCCATTTCACTCTTACTTTGCATTATTGTCCTCAGTCAGTCCCTGTGCTTCTTTCAATAAGACAAGTGGTCTTACTACCCCCCCCCCCACATGCGGACAGGATGTCATAACACCCTACATAAATATGTCCCCTATTCCTTTTTATCTCTGTAAAACCAGGCAACACAGTCATAGATAGTGGGAGGTATTGCCGCATTAGTCCATATGTCTCTCCATCTGTGTAAAGGCCTTTCTCACCTCCGTATTTCAATTTGAATCACACAACAACGGCCAGACTGAGCAGGAGATATGGAAAAATAATTCAACCAGGGAGCAGAAACTGAGCATAGGTTTATTTTGACAAGCCTGCATATGTTCTGTTTTTTTTCAGTTTCGAGGTGATACGCCTCAGTGAAAAGATCCAGAAAAGGTTCCTAATTTGTTCTCTGTTTGTGACTCGCAGTGCTTCGTCCCGTCTAAAGTGGAAGGGCTGGTGCAGAGAGAGGGCGAGCTGATTGGCAGACTGCACTACAAAGAGGGCCACGACCTGTACCACTGGAGGGTGGGCTGGTTCGTCCTGGAAGGCTCTGCGCTGCACTTCAGCTCGGGAGAAGAAGAAGAAAAGGAGGAAATGCTTCAACTCAAACAGCTACAGGAGCTCAGTAAGCTTATAGCATTTTCATTTGACTATTTCTCATAACAAGTACTTTTATTTTGTAATGCTTTAAATACATTGAGCAGACAAAAGGTAACAGTAGATAAGTTGACTAGTAGAGTAACATATAGCACAAGTTAATAAATAAGAACAAATAAGCACACCTCCATGTTAAAAATACAAAATAATTAATGATAATTTTTCATAATTTTTTTTTTTTTTCATATTTCGTATTAGAGTAATTAAAAAGTTATTTTAATATTGTAATACTTAGATTAGGTTATTGACTACATTTTATTATACGATTGTATTCATTCCACATCATACTCCCAACCCTGCAGTAGTGTATATAAGAAAATGTTGTATTAGAATGAGGTCCTTAAAGGTCAATTTAACAACATTTGTCGCCACACATCGGCAAAAATAGGTTTCCGATCTCCCTGACCTGTCACAGATTGCAGTATGAAAACATGACTACACTTGTGTTCACCACAATAAATATACGGAATAATACCAGTATGATGGTCGCCCACTCACATTAATTTTCGCTAATATCTCCACTGGCAAACAGCAGCTATTTAAAGCATAGTCAGTGTAGGGAAGCTGCCAGTCACGGGGGGGGGGGGAAGGCTCAAAAGTTCACACATACTTTGGCAGATTGATCGATGCGCCGGCGTGATGTGCGAACAGAAGGAGGGGAGAATCAATGTATCCTTTTAATCCATTTACGGCTCGATGTGGATCAAATCGTGCAAAGTGCCGCCCCGTATCCTCACCTTGGGCGGGATAAAGAACTGCAGCGGTGCTCATTTTGATTCCTGCTTTCTTCAACCATATTTGTCACAGCCGAAGCGCCAGAAGGGACTGTGTTTTGTCGGGGGGGGGGGGGGGGGGGGGGATGGTAAGATGGTAAGGTTCTGAAGCATTGAAAGGATCCCTTTAGGAATCACTGTCTGTGACATGGGATTAACTGTTATTTGCTCCGCACTGACACCACCACATGAAAGGTACCCCTGTGTAGCAGTGAGGGATTTAATAAATACACTTTTCAATTAAAATCACTACATGATTCCTAGCATGCAGCAGGAAAGATGCAGTCTGTTTGCCGGTTTATGGTACTTCAGGCTGATAGTTATGATGATTAACTTCATTCATTTGAATTATCCTCATCCGTTGGTTTTCACAAAACATTTTAATTGTTAGGGATCCTTTACATCGTGTTTGTTTAAAAGAACATATCAGCCAATGTATTGTTAGCTGTCATCAGTATCGCTATCAGCCTCAAATAACTAATACCATTCGGACTTTGGTTTTCACAAAATGTACATTTACAAAACCAACGTTTTTATCGCACCCAATCAACCATTGGATCCCTAAACTGCTTCCAACCCAGCTGTGTTTATTGGAGATTTCCATCAATGCAGACGAACCACTGATGGTAACCAATCCCAAGGGAACGGGGCTTGTTATATTATGAGGTCATCAAACAGGACCTTTCAGAAGAAAGAAAACACTTAATGCTCCTACTGGCAAAATGCACCGGCCCTCTAAATCCCTCTGATTTACCATGGGAAAACATCCAAGAAATCCTCTACCAAGATGCCCACTACAAATCATGGCGAGAACAAGGTCGCAGACTTAGTTCCTTATCACACAAACATATTACGTAATGAAAAAACGTCCCGCAGCGCTGTAAGATGGATACAAGAGGGTTGCTTTGTGTTTGTTCAAACAACCATGACAAGTGTTTTGCATTTACCTGATAACACTGTTAATAAACCTCTCTCCAGTCAATATCAATCTCTGAAGTTCTCCGCTTGTTTCTCTCTTGTTGTTTGGCTGAGATTGAAATGCGGTGCCCTTCAATGTCTGCCAAAGAGAACAAAAAGCAAATTATTTGTTCAGAGAGACTTTTGGGGATTAATTGTTTTTGCTGTTTCACTGAACATACAAATTACTTGAAGATAAAAATAAAAAAGGCATTGATTTTAAAGAGACCGATTTCATTACCGATTCCTGTTATTTTTCTATTCCTCCCCGATTAATTGTTGGGTGGGGAAAAAAAGCGTATATTCAGGTGTGTTGAGTAATCAAGCAGTTAGTATCCCTTTATCATAGAACACGTATACAATACTATCCATAGATGTTCCTTGTATCTATTATTGGAGCACAACCACTGCAAACTTGAGTAAGATGAAAGTGCCAGATGTTGTTGCTTGGAGATTTGTGAGTGAACTGCACGGCTCATATCTTTTTTTATGTTTTGTGTGTGCTTGTTGCCTTGATCCAAGCAGCTGCACGAACTCACATAAGCGATTATAGTAGATCTTTCATGTCCCTTAGCCCAGTTTTTCCTGTATATTTGCACTAGAATGATACAAAAAAAACGATATACAGATGAAGAATGGCAGCAATTCTGTTTTATCTTTTTCTTTCATACTGCAATCTTATTTAGTTGCAAACTGACCGATTTTATGGAAAGCTTGTAATTTGACACGGTTTCAACCGTTAGCTACACAAATACTATACCCATGATTCCCATTGAAACAAGGAAATGCTGTTAAAGGGGCACACTTATGCTAATTTCCAGGTCTACTGTGACATGTCTCCATGCTTTAATGTTCAAAAAGCTCTTTATTGTTATCATACTGCCTGTGCTGCAGCACCTCTTTTCACCCTCTGTCTGAAACCAGAGCCCAGTCTGCTCTGATTGGTTAGCTGGCCGGCTGTGTTGTGATTGGTCAACCGCTTAGAAGTTCCTGCCCCTTAGCCTCTAACCTACAATGTGTTGGAGCGCTAGCCAATAGAAGCGCTAGGGTTACGTAGTTATGTTGCGGAAGTAAACCAAGGAGTCCAATGGAGGTGTTTCAGGCAGGGGGAGTGTGTGGGAGAGAAACTCCCTCTGGAGTGAACTTTGGGATTTAAGCCTTTGCAAAAGATTGACATGCACAAACACCTATATAACACACTAAAGGAAAGAGAAACCCAAACAGCATTAGAGGGCCTCACTTAGGGCTGTGCAATTAATCGTATTTTAATCGCAATTACGATTTTGGCCTGCCACAATTACGAAAACAATCGAAAAAAACAATTATTTTGCTTTGCATTATTGTGACAGTGCACTAGATTTAACAGTGGTTCTCAACTGGTGGGTCGCGACCCAAAAGTGGGTCGCGGACCCGTTTCGAGTGGGTCGCGGATGTGTGAGTGAAGAAAAAAAAGTTGAAAAACAAAATTTGAATTTTTTTTTTTTTTTTTTTTGGGGAAAAACTCAAACTTTTATTTTGAAGGCCCGATTTTCTTCTCAGAGTGTACCAGAATGCGTAGTTTATGTTAGTATTTCTAAAAATCTCCTGGGGGAGAATCCCCCCAGACCCCTCTGCTGGGGTTGGGTTTCAGCATGTGTGCCTTTTTATATAGTTCAGCTTTGATTCCATCATCTCATTAAACCTTTTTTAAAAGCATACTTTAGTTCTGTGAAGGGATATAAGGGATATATGCACTGTACTTCACTTTTATTAATATTGTATGCTCAAAAGCGTATATATTACAGCACGATATTTTGTTGAATAGATTTGAGTGCTTCAAAATGTTGGGTCGCGATGTATTGACCAAGTAAAAAGTGGGTCCCGAGGCCTGACCAGTTGAGAAGCACTGCACTAGAACATATTTGATCTAATTTATTTTGGTCTCATTTATTTGTATTTATCATATTTATATATGTTTAGTAGCTTGTGGAAGTGCGCTCCAAAATATTTGTTGATCTTGTTTATTGGTATTTATTATTTTGATATTATTTATTTAAATGTATCATTTATTTTATTTATTTTTGTATTGGTTTTTCAGTTGAATTATACATTCAGGGTAATCAACAGTTAAAAAGATACTGTTCAAATTATTATTTGTATTTGTTTTAAAGTTCAATAAATGGATTTTTTCAAAGTCAATGAATAATCGTATTTAATAATCGTGATATCAATTATTGACCCAAATAATCGTGATTATGATTTTTGCCATAATCGCACAGCCCTAGCCTCACTGCAGTGGGATAAAATCCCCAGCTATATTGTTCCCTTGTTTTTTTCCCACTCTACAGTAAGTCTGCACATTTGAAAGAAAGAATAAAAGCCAGATATATCAAGACAAATGCACTCATATGGGCAGGGACTGACTTAAAAAGTAAATGCCTACTTAAGAGACCTTTCAGTAAAGAGGTAATGAATGCATTTCCTGGTGAAAGCTTCCAGGCGCTTGTGCTTTTGATAGAGATTGAACAACTGCAAATGTCAAACCTAAACGTGTTACTTTGCAGTCGCTCTTTGTGAATGTGCATATTTTTTGAGGCGGCATTTTCCACAACTTGTTGCCCTTTTCCCCACAGCTGTCTCCACACATACGGAGGGGGAGGAAAAGATCCAAGTCCTGCTGATGGTGGAGGGAAGAAGGTATGCAAAGCTTTGACGAACAAATGGAGTGCTAATTGGAACTGGTGATACACGGACAGGATGCATAATGCAAGTCTGTACACTTTGATTTTGTAGCCTTGTTAGTCCGAATGCACTTTACCTACTGAAGCCTTATCTAATTTAATTTAAAGTCTCGCTACAGTGCCTATTGTAGGTACAGAGGAGGTGAGACATCACGTAACACAAGCCAACCGTTTCCTTTTTAGAGTAATCCAACACATTTACTGCGTTAATTGCTTTTTGTTTGTGTGTTTTTGGATGAAACCTCTTGGGAAACCCGTGCTTGTTTATCAATGCGTCTACTGTAGAAGCACTTTCTTTTGGTTGTTTAATAAAGGACTTTGCTCCATTTTAGATTTAAATAAAATAAAAGATGAATGTGCAAGAAGAAATACAATAAAATGGAATAAAGATATTTTTTATAAACATGAGAAGTTTAAGTAAAGGGGTTAGGGTTAGGGTTAGAAAAAAAAAATTATAAGCATATGCTGTTAAAGTACATTTCCATAATAAATAAAATTACATTTTATAAAATATGTATGTAAACATAAGACGTTAAAGTAAAAATGTCCAATAAAAGCTGAAATAAATTAAATAGAATAACAATATTTGTATTTGTATATACCTGAGAAGTTACAGTAAAATGTGAAAGTCTTCCTACAATACATAATTAATAATACGTGATACATATATTACAATATATACAGCGGTATACTAGTTACAAATGCTGAACACCACAGTTTATAACATGGTATAACTTATTTCTCCCTCTCTTTTTTTAACAGAACAGTTTACATCCATGGCTTCAACAGGATGGACTTTGCTCTGTGGCTCTCGGCCATCACTCTGGCTGCCGGCACAGATGGAAAGGCGCTGAGCGACCAACAGCTGACCAAAAACAGCGTACCCATTATTGTCGACAGTTGCATTGCTTTTGTCACCCAATATGGCGAGTGGCATTATACTCACAGAGAGAAAAGTTTTTAAAAAGATCTTTTTTTGTGACTTTTATTATGTTTTCTCCTTGGAGGCTGATTCATCCAGTGTGCTGTGTCGTGATGAGAATTTCCTGCTTTCTAATATTGTGACATCTCTCTTTTAAGCATATTTTTTCTCTTTGGAAATGTAGAAAATATAGTCCAACTTCTCACTACACAAAATCTATTCCATGGATAAATGTAAAAGCGCACTTATATTGTTGCATTATACAGTAAGTGCTATGAATGTAATGAGGCATTGGCATAAAAGTCAACTCCGTCTGAAATTGTAAAGTGGTACAGAAGGTTAACATACCGCGCAGCGCCAGTTTCTTTCTGCCTGCAATTTAGATTCAAATGTGCTTATGCAACGTTATTAAATTCCACTACTTAGCATCTGCTAGTCTGGTTATTGCCTTATAATTGCATTTATTTATACAGAAAGACAGTATGTTCTGCCATTTGCAGAAGACAGTGATTATATGGTGAAGAAAAACGTAACGAGCCAATCGTCCATTTATTCTCCCTTTTTTTGTCACTTTGTAACCAGGTTTGTGCCAGGAGGGGGTCTACCAGATGCCGGGGGACCCTGACCGCGTGGCCCTGCTCCTGGAGGAGTTCACCCGGGACGCCCGTAATGTGAAGCTGAGGGAGAAGGAGCACCAGCTGGAGGATGTGACGGACACCCTGAAGAGCTTCTTATCCCAGGCTGAGGACGCACTGCTGACCAAAGAGCTGTATCCATACTGGGTGTCAGCGCTGGGTATGAGGGCCGTTTCGAGGGGTGGGGACACACGTTTGAAGGAGTCGCATGAAGAGCAGAAATCCATTTGACCAATCAGAATCGTGGATTCACCTGCGCCGTGTAATATTTGTATATACTTGACATGCTTTTACAGTAGTTCTCTTCTGTGTCTGTTTTGTAGATGAGAAGGTGGAGAAGCAGAGAGTAAAGAAGTACTCCACTTTCATTGAGAGTTTGCCAAAGATAAACAGGTCAACCCTTGAGGCCTTGCTACAACATCTGTACAGGTACACACACACACACGCGCGCACACACACACACACACACACACACACACGCGCACACGCACACACACACACACACACACACACACACACACACACACACACACACACACGCACGCATACACTCAGACGAGCTTCAAACTGCATGAATATAAATATATCAATAATTAGATAGTATATAGAATAAAGTACAAACCAAGTCAATAAATAAAAAAATTAAATAGATCTTGCACAAAACATGAATAAACCCATCTTGTGCTATGTTGTATGAATGTGATCCTGTATGTAGCATTGTGGCAACTGGACACTTACTAGTTCATGTTAAAAGGACACAAAGAGAGAACTTAGCTACTTTTGCTAAATCATCCATTATGGCATTAAAATAGTAACACAAATGTTAAAGTAGCTCTTGTCTTCTCCATGTGTTTGATTGCACTGGAGGCAGGTAAGCGGGTGTATCTCTACAGATGCCTTCCTGCATCACAGCAAACTGTAACAAGTGCAGGGACTCAAAGGTCGTGCACTGTGAGCAGCCCCTGGGTTGCTGTTAGTCCCCTGCTGATTAGCCTGTTGTCCCTCCTGCTCCGCTAACGACCCGCTCTCCCCTCTGCTGTGTGTTTGCCTTCTGACCAATCAACTCTCATACTTTATAGTCAGATCTCTGATTTAGTCTTGGAGGCTGCCGGTATGGCCTTCACATTACAAGCTGTAAAGGAAAATGTAATGTGAATCTCCCAGTGCGACATGAGTATACAATGAAGTACCAACAAAGGCTTAAGAGGTTTGTTGATATATTGTCTGAAGAAAGTTTGAAAGAAAGTTTTACAGATATGAAAATACAGATATCCAATTAGAAGGATTCACTATGGAGAGGTTCTGCAATGCCAGGGTGGTTCACTGCGGGGTCACAACATTCAGAGTGAAGAGTTTATACACATGTGGTAAGAAGAGAGTACATTTGATATATTTCTATAACCGAAAATACTTTGTGTCATTATAGTTATTTGTAACATTTATTGACATTTTCCAGATTGACAGGCTCATTATTAAACAAGGTTCAAGGTTCTTTATTTAGTAATACGAACATAGCTACAGTGTAGTTATGCCGATGAAATTCTTAGGTCACAGGCTTCTCCAACAGTGCAACACAATAACACAGATAAACAGAAAAATATAGTGCAAGTAAATAGTAATATAGTAAATACAAAAGAAAAATAGTTTAAAAAAGAAAAATAGTTTGAAATAGTGCAATAAGAGTCTATATGCAAGTTATTGGAATGATATATTAGATAAATAGATACATAATTACTAAGTAGCAGATGAATGTTATGGATGTTGTTTCAACAGTTCAGGTGTTTATCAGTCTTATTGCCTGTGGTATGAAACTGTCCCTGGGTCTGGTGGTTTTAGTCCGGATGCTGCGGTAACGCCTGCCAGACGGCAGCAGACGGAACAGTTTGTGGCTGGGGTCTTTTATAATCCTGAGGGCTTTCTTCCTGAGCCGCTGGGAGTAAAGGTCCTCCATGGATGGCAGCTCCGTCCTGGTGATGTTCTGTGCAGTTTTCACCACCCTCTGTAAAGCCTTACGATTGAGAGCGGTGCAGCTGCCATGCCAGGCCGTGATGCAGCCAGTCAGGATTCTCTCTATGGTGCACCTGTAGAAGGTCAGGATACTCTCTATGGTGCACCTGTAGAAGGTCAGGATGCTCTCTATGGTGCACCTGTAGAAGGTCAGGATACTCTCTATGGTGCACCTGTAGAAGGTCAGGATACTCTCTATGGTGCACCTGTAGAAGGTCAGGATACTCTCTATGGTGCACCTGTAGAAGGTCAGGATACTCTCTATGGTGCACCTGTAGAAGGTCAGGATCCTCTCTATGGTGCACCTGTAGAAGGTCAGGATGCTCTCTATGGTGCACCTGTAGAAGGTCAGGATACTCTCTATGGTGCACCTGTAGAAGGTCAGGATACTCTCTATGGTGCACCTGTAGAAGTTGCAGAGTATCCTGGAGTCCATGTTGAACCTCCTCAGCCTGCGGAGGAAGAAGAGCTGCTGTCAAGCTTTTTTGGTGATGGTTGTGGTGTGAAGAGTCCATGTCAGGTCCTCAGTGATGTGGACCCCGAGGAACCTGAAGCTGCTGACTCTCTCCACCGTAGTCCCATTGATGGCGATGGGGGCGTGTCCCTCTCCCTGCTGCTTCCTGTAATCCACAATCAGCTCCTTGGTTTTGCTGACGTTGAGATGGAGGTTGTTACCCTGGCACCAAGATGTCAGGTTTTCTGGTTGCCGTCGGTGATCTGGCCGATGACGGTTGTATGTCGTCAGCAAACTTCACGATGGTGTTGGAGCTGTGTGTGGCCACGCAGTCGTGAGTGAACAGGGAGTAGAAGAGAGGGCTGAGCACGCAGCCTTGAGGGGTTCCGGTGTTGAGGATCAGGGTGGAGGATGTGATGTTTCCCACCCGCACTGCCTGGGGTCTGCCCGCCAGGAAGTTCAGGATCCAGTCACAGAGGGCGCTGTTGAGCCCGAGGTCTCTGACCTTGATGACCAGCTTGGAGGGCACAATGGTGTTGAAAGCTGAACTGTAATCAATGAACAGCATTCTCACATATGTGTTCCTCTGGTCCAGGTGTGAGAGGGCAGTGTGGATGGTGAGGGCTATGGCGTCGTCTGTGGACCTGTTTGCTCTGTAGGCAAACTGCAGGGGGTCCAGAGAGTCAGGGAGGGAGGAGGTGATTAATGATCACACACAGGCAATTAGCGAGTTAAAGCCCATGGCATAAATATAACCTTTTTTATTGGTTTCTAATGTATTCAAACTGTATTTGTAGGATGTTATTTACTTCTTATGTTGATTATTTTTCCTTTCACATTTAGATATTTTGACTTTATTTACAGAAACAACCAAAAAGATGCTAAAGCATAACACACTGTATATTCTGTCTTGCAGCTGCCCTACACCTCAATCCTTTTTCTCCAGCTCTAGTTGCATTTCCATACAAACACTGCACTCCCTTTATGTCTCATTCAATGATGCTCACATTACACCTTGCTCCCTCAGAAACCTGCGGTGCATAGCAGTGATTCAGCTGCATTATGTTAATGATGTAGATCAGCGGTTTTCAAAGTGTGAGGCGCGCCTCCCCTGGGGGGCGCCAGAGAGCTTCAGGGGAGGCGCAGCGTGAGAAAAAAATAAAGAGAAACAATGAAATCTAGCTCGTTAACTTCAGCTAACTTTATGCGAGCGGCAACATGGATCGATTTTTAGTGAAGTTACCTAAAGTGAGAGAGGAGACAGCGTCTGGCCACCCCAGTTGGCAGCTTTGTTTTGAAATAAAAGTTGTGGCTCATCGGACATTTATCAGAGAAAATCCCTGATGTCCGAGTGCAAGTGAATGCAGCACAAGACGCGAGCCTTGTAACCCTGGCGCGAGCGAGGAAATGTGATTGGCGGCGATTTCATTTGAACGGGCGGCAGAAAACGAGAAGCATTCGGACCCAAGTACACGGAAGGAATAAGGTATTTGCGGTCTACAATGACAGAGAAGAGACTGTCAAGTTTGGCTGTGCTCAGCATTGAATCAAAACGCACTAAAGCTTTGGATGTTAATACGTTTGTGAGGCGTTTTGCTGAACAAGATGGTAATCGCCGCATTCAGCTGTAATAGGCATGCCAACTTGATGCTCTGCTCACGGATGACTCGAGCATTAAAAACTGTTAAGATGATGACCTTACGTGTGTACATATATTTTTTTCTTTGTGGGGGTCTGCCCTGAGAAAGTCAAATAAGATGGTGTGTAAAACTACACTGCCCAGACAAAAATAAGTAACCACTTTGATTTAACTAGGCCAGTAGGTAAGGGCATTCCACTGGATAATAATACCCCTGCATTATAGCAACAACAATAATAATAATAATAATAGCAATAATAATTGGGAGGGGGGGGCGCGGCTGTTCTTATGTTCTCTGAGGGGAGGCTCACCTTCCCACACTTTGAAAACCCCTGATGTAGATAGTTTGCAGAAGGCTTAATTGTCCCTTTGCTGAAGTTGGCCTAACATTTCTCTAAATTCTCTGTGTGTGGGCACAGGAGATTTAGAGAGTTATCAGCCAGAGATAGTTTATGTTGAGGTGTGTGTGTGATTGTGTGAAGGCACATTTGGGTTATTCTCACCACGTTTCTCTGTGTTTTTCAGGATTCAGCAATGTTCCAACCTCAACCACATGCCGAGCGAAAAACTGGCTTCTGTCTTCTCCTCCCGCTTGTTCCAAACACGGGGACAAACCCCTCAGGAAATTAGCGTTGTGCATGACCTCATCAGCAACTACATTACACTCTTCAATGTAAGTCAAACATATTTATTTTTTTGTCATTTGATAGCATTGATAGTGTTAATGAAATCATAAGGAGACAATGAGGGTGACAATTCATACTTTTCTAATTTGGTACCCAGATTAGGTTACTGATTTCGTTCTTTCACAGTTATCTAGTATTCTATTGGAATACATTTTTAAAGTCAGCCGCCCAACCCTGGCAATGAGTTTGTTGCATATGTCAGGAGTTAATTTAATGGCAGAAATATAACAAAAAAGAACATGCTTTGGCTGAGACTGTTTTTGGTAGGGTTTTTTTAGGTTATATTTCAACCGTAATTAAATATATTTTAATCATATCTACTGTAATGTAATGCTTGCTGTAGATTTTGCTCCTAATTTATAGTGATGATAATCTTCAAAATCTGCTCTTATACTGTATATAATCCTTTGACAGGTGAAAACCATTCTTTTATTTTGATATTGCATATTGAAATGTATCTTACTTTAACAATCTGGGGAACAGAACTGTTGCTGCCAAATCTCCGTAGTTGGCTTGACTTTGCTGATGGGTGGGGGGGGATCAATGTTACCCTTGGAGAGCTGCCTGGCTTATGGGATATGCAGCACAGAGCGACTGCTAATTCCCAACAGAACGCTTGGATCCCTCTTGTTCTGACGTTTCAGGAGGAGCATTCATTCCAAATCGGTTCGGGACGCCATCATTTGCATGACAAATAGCCATTAAACCCAACCAATCACGAGCCCAGATAGCAGTGAATAAACTCACCGCGACATAAAACGACATCTCGCTAATTAAAGCTCCAGTTATGTGCTGGATGTCTTCGACGGGGCCTATTATCAGGCTTAAACACACACACGCTAGGAGTTTTTTTTCCCTCCAAATCTTCTTTTCCACTCGTGGAACTCCAACAAAGCAAGTTGTTCTCTGAAAATGATAATAGTGTGAAGAAGAAAAAAAAGTTGGAATGTAAAATATCATTTCCCACACGGAGCTTTGTGGAAGAAAAGTATTCACTTGGCGCTGAGCTGTGTCAAACACTCACAGCCAACTTCCTTTTCTAAAAATTAGTTTTAGAAGTGTTAGCTGAACGACCCAATTCTACATTTTCTTGTGATGCCTTTTTACTGGATTAATCCAGTCCTCTATTTATTCGATTTAAGGAATAAATCCTACCTTCGAAACATGTTTTTCTTCAGTTTGAATTCAGGTCTGTGTGTGTCCAACAGGTCAATGAAGAGCGGGTGCAACAGATGGAGAGAGAGAACAGTTTCATCACACGCTGGAACGACAAGAAGGACACCACAGTAAGTCGACCCGCTGAGTCCAAATGGAAATCACCCACGGGTGTTCCGTTTGTGTGTGAATGTTCATTGATTTGCCTGCATGCATCGTGGCCTCTCAAATCTGGGATGCATTTGAACGAGGTTCCTGTTTTTCTGGGGATAAGGGGAGCGTGCTAGGAAAAGGGGCTTTGTTCCTGTTAACCTTTACGAACCTGAGAAAAACATTTGGTTTAGATAACTGGGGGAAAAAAATAAATCTCATGCTGCTGTTGTTGTTTATTCCCGCTCCTTTCTGCTTTCCCCCGCCCTCCACCTCTCAGAGCACGTCTGCTGCTGTGGGTCAGGAGGGTTACTCAGTGGAAAGCAAATCGCTATTATAAAACTGTCAGAGGTGAAAATAGGGAAAACATTTTGGTTATGGAACACACATTTGTGGGTCTTAAGCTTTTAATATAAGAACAATATGGTAGAAAAATACAAAAGTTACACGTTTTTTGATTAAGAATAAGCAGTCAGTGTAATTACAAGTCAGCATGAGGATGATTTTCTCTGGTGGGATAATGGATGTGCTTATTTTAGGGATAATTTAACATTTTGGCATCATTTAAAGGGCCCTATTATGCTAATTCCTGGTTTATGTTTGTTTTGTGTGCCTCTATTGTGACATGTCTCCATGCTTTAAAGGTGGGGTAGGTAAGTTTGAGAAACCGGCTCGAGATACACTTTTTGTTATATTCCATGGAATGCTCTTAACATCCCGATAGCAATGAATATCTGAAGTGCTTTGACAAAAAATCCATAAAAAAATGTCATCTGTGGAAGCCGTAGTACTGTAAAAAGCACGACCAATCATTTTAGCCGGCCCGGCTAAAATAACTGGATGGCCTACCTGCCTGTCAGCCTTCCATCTGTGCACAAACTTATCTCGTGCCCTCATTGGTCATGTGCGCGTTCGTGTGTGTTGGAGGAGGGGCTCTGTAAGGAAGTGGCAGATTTTTTCCGGTTGTCTATTTTCAAATTTTAGCGATCTCGAGCTGGTTTCTCCAAAATTACCTACCCTACCTTTTCAAACGCCTCTGTCTGAAACCAGAGCCCAGTCTGCTCTGAATGGTTGCTGACCCACTGTTCTAATTGGTCAGCCGTTTAGAGATGTCCCGCCCCTTAGCCTATCACGTACAATGTGTTGAAGTGCGAGTGTAACATAGTTATGTCACTTTGTTATGGGAGTAAACAAAGGAGTCCAATGGAGGCGTTTCAGGCAGGGCGGTGTGTTTGAGAGAGAATAAATATTTAAATATAAATGTATTTATTTGAGATGTTAGCCTTTGCAGACCATTTACTTGCACAAAAACCTATATAACTCACTACAGGAAAGGTAAAACCTCAAAAAGAATAGCAGGGTCTCTTTATGATCTTAGATCAATCATCACCTTTTACATTAGGTACTCTTTCCTAATTTGTACTATTATTAATATCAATCCATTTCACTCACTGGCGTCATGTAGAGGTCTCTGGCTTACGATGATGTTGTCAGGGTCTTGGAGCACAGAAGCTCCAGAGCAATTAAACCCAGTTAACTCAATATCAATAAGTTCATCCAGTCCATGCAGAGCTGACTCATGCAACTCTTAAACTGAAAAAAACATGAAACATAAAAGAACAAAAGTTTGCAAAAATGTAATTTCCCTCGCACAGATTTATAAACGCTGCACTTACAGGAGTTATATGTCCATGCAGTTTATTTATAGTGGTATATGGCACAGGTTTATATACTTCTCTGGGTCTTCATTTAGTAGACTATCAGAATGTTGTGGTTAGTCAGGAGTTGTTAGAAATAGAGCAAAAATAAATGTTCTTTTTAATAACAGCCAATCACAATAAGTATTGGATGTTTGTGAAAACATGTCAAAACATAAACTGTCATCCTAACATGTTTTCTGGAGATGAATCAACTGAAAATATTGAGGTTTGAAAAACGGTTTGGAGCCTTTTCCATTACTGTGTTAAATAAAGAAGAAATTGTTGTTTATTGTGCGTTTTGTCTCTTTTTGGCAGATGAGTTAAACGTGCAATACTAGTTTAGGGAGGAATAGAGGGAATCTGTAAAAATAAAACGCAAAAGTGAACCAGGAAGAGCGATGACACCAATGGATGAAGTGTAGGAGGTTCTGACCTCAGCTGTTTCCTTTCCGCAAGTGGAGAGTACAGCTATACTGAGGGAGTAAGTAAATCAGTGATATAATGAGGTTCAAGGCAATGTCATGCCTTGTAAGGTAGAAGTGGCACTTGGAAATCAATACTTGCATTTACAGCCACGGCGAGTGCAGCAAGTGGATGACTTTGGTAGAGATTAAGAATACCTTAATTCCAGAACATTACTGTTGTTCCTGCACGTTGCTTTTTGTATCACTTTGTAGACATCTTTCTTTCCTTTATTCCTAAAGTGGTCTTTCTTTTGTTTGAGAAGAGGAGGTAAAAGTGTGCTTAGGAGACCAAGATGGCGCCGTATCTGTGTGTGACATTTTCACAACGACAGCTTTTACTCTATAGGTTAGAGCAACTAAAACATACTTACATTATGGTTAATTCATTCTTTAATAGCAATATGTGTTTCTTTACCTTACACAAACAGCCTCTTTCTGATTGACCATTTCTTAGAATATAATTGAAGATGTAAAAACAATCAGTTTGTTTTATAATGAACCAAAAGAGTATCTACAGTGACATAAACAACTTTCTTCCTTTTTAGACCTTTAAGGTTTAAAGAGTAATTTATTCTCTAAATCAGGGCTCTCCAACATGTCGATCGCAAGCTACCGGTAGCTCGCGGGCAGCTTTTCAGTAGCTCGCCGCTCGATTATCGATTATAGCGTAGTAAGGTTGCTTCTTGATTTTTCGGCCGCGGCTGGACAATACAATATTTTTATTTTAGATTTTTTTCTGTCACACGAATATCAAATTGGTCGGTGACGCAGAGATCAAGGAACAGACGTGACAGCGGCACAGCGACACCACACACGGAGCAGTCTGCTTTCTCATCTCCACCAACACCAGTCCAGAACCAACAGCAGAATGACCCGCTCTGAATTCACTGCGGCTCAGAGACACACAGGGAGGGATTTGTGTTTTTTGAAAAACACTCGTTATCGTCATGTCAGGTTTTTGGTGGATTTAATCAAGTCTTGGATTGCAGAGTATGAATGTCCTCTTGTTATTTTCAGTTGATAAATGCTTGTGTAAAGTTTTTGAAGGCAGGAGGAAAGCTTCCGCGATCATCGTCTCCTCTCCGTTCCTCCAAACCCCGCCCCCTCCCTGAAAATAATGAGTGACAGGCTGATAGTGTCCCGATAGAAACTTTATTATTCACTTAATCACTGATTGAGATATGATGAAGCTAACTTAGTCTCATACATTCATGGGATTTATGTAACTGTAAGACAGAGAATGTAAGTGTGCACCCACATGCACTATTTTTGTTTTTATAATGCTGTTGTAAATACTCCTGTTGTCTGCTGTGTTCAGACTTAAGTCATGTGTGTGATGCCACATTCAGGACATTCAGTGTCTTTTTTTTAACAGAAGACCGTAGCTAGAAGCTGCAGCTAGACTGCAGAAGCATTAGTTTTTTGTTTTTGAGGATGGAACAATTTCACACACAGATATAGGGAGGCTAGACCTATACAATTGATTTATTATGGTTTATAATCGAATGCCAAGATGAAGAAGAAGAAGAAAAAGATGGCTGAACTGTTTAGTGTCAATCCTGTGGAGATGGAGGTTATAAATCTCCAAAATCATGTTCAGCTTAAAGGTGGGGTAGGTAAGTTTGACAAACCGGTTCGAGATACACTTTTTGTTATATTCCATGGAATGCTCTTAACATCCCGATAGCAATGAATATCTTAAGTGCTTTGACAAAAATGTCATAAAAAAAATTCATCTGTGGAAGCTGTAGCACTGTAAAAAGTACGACCAATCATTTTAGCCGGCCCGGCTAAAATAACTGGATGGCCTACCTGCCTGTCAGCCTTCCATCTGTGCACAAACTTATCTCGTGCCCTCATTGGTCATGTGCGCGTTCGTGTGTGTTGGAGGAGGGGCTCTGTAAGGAAGTGGCAGATTTTTTCCGGCTGTGTATTTTCAAATTCTTGCGCACTCAAGCTGGTTTCTCCAAAATTACCTACCCCACCTTTAAGTCTCAGCAAAACTCACAACATTTCTGGAGCCTTGTAGACCCAGAAAACTATAAGAACATCACCAAGCAGCACTGAACATGTCTGCTTTATTTGGCTCTACAGACCTTTGTGAAGCAGCTTTTTCTGACATGAATGTCATGAAATCTAAATACAGAACAAGACTGACTGATGGACATTTAAATGACTCTATTAGAGTGAACCTAAGTGGGTACACTCCAGCATACACCTGTATGGTGGACTCCATGCAGTGCCATTCATCTCACTGACTGTAAAAAAGAGTGAATGCACTTATTTTACACATGTGCCATAAGATGCTTGTCAGGTGGTGATTAAGGACAGTTATGTGAATTCTCAGTGATGTACTTACTATGTGGGCCATAATTATATGTGACACATTTTCGTTTTCTTGGACCTTGATGTGAAGTTAAGATTTGTGATAAGCTTTAGGTATTGCAATTTCACACGTGTACAAAAGTATAGCTTAATTCAACTGATGAGGGCTATGTGAATAAATGTAAGCGATGTGATGCAAGTAGCTCTTGGCCACTTTCATTTTTTCAAAGTAGCTCTCAGATGAAGAAAGGTTGGAGACCCCTGGGTTAGAATGACTGTAATTTCTGTGCTCTTTCCGGAGCACAGAAGTCAGAAGTGGCTTCCTCCCCCCAACCATTTGATAGTTCTCAAGCCAATAATGCATCTCAGTTCACCTGCACTTTAATGACAAAGGAAGAGTAACTGTAATTTTCAGAAAGCCAAGGGAAAAGAAACCTTTTTCATCCTCACTTAGTTGTTCATTTTTCAGGAGATGGATAACCACTTCCCTTGGCCAGAAATCCGGATTTGGTCCTATTCGACTGACCCTGTCTTTTTTTAACATTAGATTTTTGCTTTCTCCCTTTCTGTTTTCTCTCACCAAAGGTCTGTTTTTAAATGGATGCAGGAGAAAGATTAGCCTATAGCTCCATCATCTTGAAAAAAGTGTCATAGTTTTATTGGAAGTTTGACCTACTGAATGTCAGACAGAAAGGCCACTTTAAAGTCATCCTTTTAATTTCACATAGGTTAGTATCTATTGACCTGCGGGGGAAAGAATCCATGCTACCACAGGAAGAGCGGTAGGCCATAATGTGAGTTAAACAAAATAATCAATACCTCTCTTATGGATTTGCATTAATTAGGCTATGGAGCAAGGCTGTGACTGGCTTACCATAAGGTATAGTATAAAACTCCAAACATAAAAACCTCTAACGTTGTGGATACAGAGTGATTAAAATAAAAACAAGAGAGAGCTTTATGATTAGGCTTAAAAGGTTTTTTTTTTTACGCTAGCTGTTTTCCCATGCTTACAGTGTTTATGCTAGGCTAGGCTAACAGCCTGCTAGCTCTAGCTTCATACTTAACCAGCACGCATAGAAGCAGTATGGATGGGAAATAAATGTATTTACTGTTTAACTTAACCATAAGCCATAAAGCATTGATAAATGAAGGTACACAGAGTTGATGAATACATTAAAGTGTCATATTTAATTAATAAAAAAGCTAACATTGAATTAAACCACCTTCTTTTCTGCCATGTGACAAGCCTTGTGCACATACACAATTGAAAAAATACTTTTACAGTGAACCCATATCTCTCTCCTTGCATCTCTTCTTTTTAAAAAGTTGTTATCCTTTCCCATAATAACCCCTGAACATGTTCCTAGGTGCATCTTCAAAACAATTTTTAAACTGACAGCCCACGTAACGTTAACACCTCAGGAGAGCACATCAGTTTTAGCGTAGGTGAAACATGCACCCTGCGCTTCCACCTTTACAAGTTTGTCTCACACATGTTCTCTTTATTTAGCCGGGTTTTGCATTCCATTAACGCTACCTGGATTTCGTTTGCCTCCAGCTCTAAAAGCCACCTGTTTTATTTTCTATAACATTTTCTCTCCCTTTTTTCCATTTAGATTCACGCCACACAGGAGTCAAATTGAAAAGAAAGCCAATTAATCCAACTGCATTGTTTTTCGTAATTCTGATCACTCCATTTTCTTTCTCTCTTCCCAGTTCTCTCCTGCTGGGGACTTGATCTTCGAGGTGTACCTGGAAAAGAGAGAGCCAGAAAACTGCTGTTTAATCAAGGTGTGTGTGTGTGTGTACTTTCAGATGGCATGTGGGCATGTGCTGCTTTTCCCACAGGTCCTTAAGTGGTAAGGTGAAATAAGAAAGAAGGGAGGGGAGATGAAGTGTGGGATGAAGGCAGGCGGATGAAGGATGATGTTGGGTAGAATGAGAGGTGGAGAGGTTGATAGAATAGGGCTGAGACATTCCTGGTTTAACCTGATGGGATTACCGCCCTCGAAATAAATCAGAAGCAGACCAATCAAAGAAACGTCTGATTTAATTGTGTGAGTAATTGCATTTTACAAGGCGGGCGGGCCGCTCTAAGTTACGGACTCCTTTTTCACGGGTCTGCAGCAGCGGCAGAATATGGATGGGGTTAAAGAGGAGCACCAAAGTTTGACTTCAATACTCCACCTTCTCTCCGTGGAGTTAAGTAGCACATTTGCTTTGTACAGCCATATTCACCTGATAACTTGACAATGAATTTAATCAGCGTACATGGCTGCGAGTCAGATTTCTGTATTTAATATTGAGCAGCTTTTCTAAGGGAGACATTTTCCAAAGGCAGTGATATTGATCCAGGAAGCTGGATGTTGTTTGCCTAGTTATGTATTTATCTATTTGTTGTGTTATGTGGTAGGTTTCTCCCAGCATGCGGCCTACGGAGATGGCAGAATCTGCGTTGAGTATGAGGAACATCACCTTTAGTGCCGATGACTTCTGGACCACCTTTGAAGTCATTGAACATGGAGAGTTAGGTACGCACAAAGAGACCTCATGATATGAATTTAAATCACAAACAATCCTGAAAACATATTTGCATTTCAGACAGTGATGTGTGATTATCTAACATCAGGGTAAACATAAGGTGTTCAAAAGAGTACAAAGAAACGTTGTCTCTCAAGTGGGACACAAGGTATTTATTTACTAGCAAACACAGGGTCAGGTAACAAGTTTAATAAGAAAGGGTTGCAAAATAAGGGAATGAATAAGGGTTCTTGTCTGTTGTAAACAAAAGAAACAGTTTCGTACTTTAAGCAACTTCAATTTGAATGATTCATACAAGTAAATGTAGTTGTGATAGAGCAGGGGTCTCCAACACGTCGATCGCGAACTACCGGTAGCTCGCAAGCCCTCAATACGTAGCTCGCCAAGCAAATCCAAAATGTAAAAAATACACACAAAAAAAAGGAAATGCAATTAAAAGAATCTACCCTATGCATAAACGAAACCTCAATCATAGCGAACTCTATCTACTTACTACAACTCTATATCTATCTAACACCCCTCCTCCCCCCACCCCCACAATGAATATCGACCAATCACGTTCTTCCTGGATTTGCGGAACCAGCGTTGCAGTCGGGAAGAAAAGCAATTTGGAGCGGCACCTCACCGCACACTTCATAAGGAGTTTGACCGTGATTTTCCTTCTGGCAGAATCTCCACAACACATCAGCCCCATTGAACAGCCTAGTCGTGAAAAGAAAGAATGCTAGGTAACATAAGATAAGAATAAACAAGTTTAAATGATTTGTTATTGGTTGTGATCATATTCTAAAGATGTTTGGATTATTGAAAAGTATACAGCTCCCTTTCATCTGAGTGTTGAGAGCTGTATCCATACATTCATGTTGTGCTCAAAGTGCACCAGATTGATGTATTTCACTTCAACATTAAACAAAAAACCCCGGATCCCCCTAGAGGATGTGAGGTCCACCCCCCAAATAAAGCAGGTTAAAATAATTAAATTGCATACATTTTCTTTTAGAAAACACTGAAAACGGGTCCCACAGACCCAAACAGCACACAAAGGTTAAAGGTAAGCATTAGGGCTGTCAGTCGATTAAAATAGTTAATCGCGATTAATCGCAAATTAATCACACATTTTGTATCTGTTCTAAATGTACCTTAGAGGAATATTTTTCAAGTTTGTAATACTCTTATCAACATATGAGTGGACAAATATGCTTTATGCAAATGTTTGTTTATTATCATTGGAACAAGTAAGGGATAATGTGCAGTTTTTCGGCCAAATCGAACGGACTTGTTTGTGCAGATGTGAGCGTCCTTAACAACGGTCAATAAATCCTTGACAGCGGTCTGTCTGTTCTGGATTAACAACGTGTCACGTGTTCCGAATTGACCAATCAGAATCGAGTATTCAACTAAACCATGTAATAATGACAAATATTCTCCTGAATATTTTCAGTACAACAACCTGGAACCTCTCTCTCTCTCTTACGGTACGTCTCCACAGCAGCGTTAAAAAAATCTTGGAGGTGGGCGTATCTGAAGCTTGAGGATTTTTTGCGAGCAACCAATCACATGAATCTCCCGCCCGCGACATACGAAGCAAAAAAGCCCGAAGTAAACTGGATATAAACTCCCCAAAACAGGCGAAAACCTACCACTGTCTCTGCCACCTCCCTCCATGCCTGGCTCCTCCGGTTTATATCCCGGTAGGTCTGGTCATAAAGCACCAGGTGATTCCCTGCCGCTAATTTCTCCTCCATTTTTTGGAATATGAGGAAATGACCTGCGGTATGTCTCTCCCAGCATACACGCCGTTTGATTGGCTAGAGCTTGAACTGTCAGATTTGCGTACACAGGATTTGATTGGCTGACGCTTCCACCTCAGCCTCAAAAGTTGAACATTGTTCAACTTTGAATCCTCAAAATCCTGAAAATCTCCGCTCGCCTGCCCACAATCCATTTCGGCGAAAAGTGAGGGAAAGTGACGTCACCCCATTCAAAGTGAATGGGCAGAAGCGTTTCAAGATTTTTTTAACGTTGCTGTGTAGACGTTCCGTTACACTCTCTCCCAACCCTGTGTACTTCTTTGCACAGAGCCAGTTGCTCAAACAGACAAGCCTGTTTACAGTTGTCGGCGAAATGCCGCTCCTCTGTCTTCATAACAGTCAAAGCATGAGACTGAAGTTCCCACTGTGGGTCAAAATAATGCGCTGTGATGTGCAGTCGAAACGTTGGATGCGATCTGAATTATCTAACGCAGCCCCTCGTCCTCCACAATGTTAACCTGTAGCCACCCATTTAGCTATCGCTGTTGTTGTCCAGGCGTCTCCCCGGCAAACTTTCAAGCGCAAGCGAGCGGCAGGAGCGGGACTGTCAGCATCAGCTGTGTGCGTGGCTTGCTGTTTAAAACACCTTTTTTTGTATCCATATCTCTCGCTAGAATCTGCCAACTAACAACAACAACAACAACAACGTCAAGCCTTTGGGCTCTGAAACTACGGGGCGGGCCGAGGACAAATACACATGCGTTAATCGCACGTTAAAATAATTTGTGGCGTTAAAAAATGTAAACACACAGATTAACGCGTTAACTTGACAGCCCTAGTGAGCATATCATAATGTTAAAATGTGCTAAATACATACACTGCAAAAAACGGAGGAGTAAAAGTAGCTCACAACTTGGTTGGAGAGCCCTGTGTTAGAGCAACTAAAACATTATGGTTCATTCATTCTTTAATAGCAACATGTGTTTCTTTACCATACACAAAAAGCCTCTTTCTGATTGACCATTTCTTAGAATATAATTGAAGATGTAAAAACAATCAGTTTGTTTTATAATGAACCAAAAGAGTATCTACAGTGACATAAACAACATTCTTCCTTTTTAGACCTTTAAGGTTTAAAAAGTAATTTATTCTCTAAATGAAGTGCTAGACACACAAAGGCATCACCAATGTGATTATCCCTCTTCGCAGTGATGTCTGTGAAAATGCCTTTTCCAAAGACCCTGTTATTCCCTAGGCTTTGTCATCAGATAGTACATGTACGTACCTGTTGCATGATTATGTTGAATCAAGCTGTTTCCCATTGTCCATTTAAAGGACTTTGACGTCAAATCCTGATTAGCGATGGATGCGTCACATCACCACGTAAATGGCTATTCTCATTAAGGGCAAATACAAAGATCACACCTCTTCTTATTCAAGGACCTTATGATGAGAGGATTATCTTTATTATCTCTCTAATGAGCCAGACCAGTGTGTGCGAACATGTACGCACACTTAGAAATTAGCCAAGCACCGTCAGTTTGATGATATGCACATTAACTCATCATTCTTACCGTCATATGTCGTAAATTACCTTCATCTGTCTCGCATCATCAACCCGGGGAGCTGACCCACCTCATCTTACATTAATATGCACTGTAAGCACCCGGCGCTTCACACACTCGTATCTGATCATTGAACAGGAAGCGGGCGAGTGAAGAGAAGTCAAAGTTGAGCTTTGTCGCGAAAGTTGCTTAGTTTGCGGCCCCCGTGCACTTTTCATCAGTTCACAGAGAGTTTACACTCTTATGTTTGTTTTTCTGCTCACAAAGTTACAGAGGACACACCGTCCTTTTTCAAAAAACAAAAAAAGGTGCGTTGAATACTGAATATATTTGCTGACGGTTCAGCATATTTTCCATGCTGAGACAATACGTCTGTGGAAGAGTAAACAGTTTTTTGAAAGTGGTATAGCGTGACAGGTTTTGCTCATAAAACCATGAAGAAAGGAGGGAAAGCGCGTTAATTAGCCATTTTGGAGGCAGATAAACACTTATCGAGGAGAATAGGCTGAAAACGGGAGCTAATATTTGTTGGGAAATGAGGAATAATTCCTTGGCCTGGGTCTGCAGAGATTCCAGAGGAAAGATAAGCCCCCTGTTATGAATAAGTTATGCCGTTGTGGCTCCTTTTACCTCTTTCGGTTATAAAAAGAAAGGGGAGTGTAGAGATGGTGGCAACAGAGCAGGGGTGGTGGTACACAAATTCATTTTTGTACCGATAGCTTGTACCCTGTTCAGCAATTAGGCAGCGATAATAGCTCTATTTTGCACATGAGTGTGTTTTTATAATCAGGTCCTGATATGCTGGAGATAATTTAAACTGCTCTGTGATGAAAATGGGAGGAACAACAACATCATTTTGTTATTTAGCGAACTAGAATCTGTCATGGTTTTTAAGATATGAGGCTTTGATTTAGTTTCTCGCAATTGTAATTCACAGTAAAAAGACAGCTTGGCTTTGTTGTTAAGCGTTGACTTTTTGGCCGTTGCTATTTCCTTGCAGATTTACCTGCTTATTATTCCCCTCCCTCTGAACCGTGTTGTTTTATTTCCAACAGAGCGACCGTTACACCACAGTGAGAAGATCCTCGAACAGGTGCTGGAGTGGAGTTCTTTAGATTTCCCTAGTTCTGCTTTTCTTGTTATAAAGAAATTCACAGGGTCCAGAAGAGTGGCAGACAAGAAAGGTACAGTACGTAACTAATAATACTATGATACGATATTTCTTCCTTTTATATTTGATTAATCAATTATCAAAAACAGCCAATGATTTTACTGACTCAATGTTTCAGCACCAGTTGATAGCATGTTGTCCCCTCTGAGCTGACAGTCAATATTCCTCTCCTCCATGTGCTCCACAGCGGATCAGAAGCAGTTTATAAAAGGAGACTTTCTGAAGTTCAACGATGGATCCTCCAAACTGCTGTCGGGGCACAAATTCCAGGACAAATATGTTGTACTACGTGCCGAGAATCTGCTGCTCTACAGAGATATCAAAGTGAGGACACTGTTATCTTCCGTTTAATCTACTGTAAACACTTGTGGGATCTGCATGCAAACACAAAGCATCGAAGGGTATCAAGAGGGAATTTAACGGCTTAGAAAACCGCTTTAGAAAACCAAAATGTGTTCGAGTATCGCCTACATAACTGCCACTAAATACTTCAAACTCCATCCAAACTATAAAGTGTTCCATCTCTGCGAATAATGTGGAAAATAAAGAATAATGATGGCAGCCCACTCTCTTTGGAAAAATGAAAGATTACATGTTTGCTTCAGTGAGGACCAGCAGGCCCGAGTTCCCCCGGAGGCCTTTTCTTCTCCGCACAGTTCTGCAGTGAAACCTGGGAGTCTTAAAGGAACGAGAAGCAGTGTTAATAATTGATGGAGGTGCAGTAATGCTGGGGGAGGGAAAACAACGAGGGGTGTCGAAGGGTCTCACTGAAAGCTTTTTCTAAATATCAAGTTGCCAAAGAACGCGGCTAATTTACCGTGTTAATGCTAAGGGAATTAGAAGTGATCCTGGAATTTAATTGATATTGTTTGGCCTCTACAATTATTACCACAGGTCTGTATTTAGCGCACATTATGTTGCATGAAAGCAGGAATGGGTGGTGGGTTGAGGATGTGTAGGTGTCAGAGGAAAACTTTGATTGTGTTCCCTTTGTTCTTCTGTTCTTTGTTCCTTGGAAGAAAGGTTTGCTGGTAATGATTCAAATTGATTGTCGTGTTGTGATGCTGCACGGATAGTGTTTTTCTTTGGGATTAGTTGGTTAGGTTGAGTTGAATATGTTTATTTTTGTTCCCTCTTTAATTGTCTTTGTTTCTGCAGGGCACTAAAGCAGAGAAAGTAATCCAACTCAACTCTCTGAAGTGTTACCTGGGCCTGAAGAAAAAGCTCAAACCTCCAACCAGGTAAACTGCACGCACACGAAGAATCTGAATGCATATAATGAGGGACCGATTCAAATATACGTGGTAGATTTACTGAGACTACCAAATTCTTAGATGTAACTAAAGTTTTGAGTTGCATTTTCTTCAATGCACTGCTATGCTAATACGCATAAGGATGTTATGTAGTTCTTATACTTATATTTCATGTTATGTGCTATCATCTATGGTTATAGTTTTTTGTGCAAAGCAAATTCCTCAAGAGGCAAATGTGTCATTCATCCATTAATACTTTCGTTTTACCACAAAAAGGAAAACTCCATGCAAGAAAAAGGTGCTTAATAATATGAACGTTTCATCAAATTAAAAAAAGGTCTCCTTAAATAATAAAACATTTTCCGTAAAATAGGTACATGGAAGGAGAAGCAATCTTACCTCGAGGCCACTTTCTTTGTTGCTTTCGAAGTGCAAATTAGGCGGACTTCCCTTTTTATTTTAAATTCCAAGGCCAGCATCAAGCTTTTAGATCTCACATATATTACACTTACATTTTGTGAAGGATGGGTTTTAAAGTAAAATACATGTTGGTGTTTGTGCTTTGACAAGATTACCGCTGTAAATGGATCAAAACAAGCTGAAATGTAATCAGTATATGATTGGCTGCTGTGAGCAAAACCTAGGATTGCATCTCGTGTTATACCGAGAAAAATATAAATCCACCTCTTGTTAAGTGCAATTTATGAGCATTTGTTCTTTTGCTGCAATATCCTCTGTTTCCATCAGTAACATAGATTTCATTGTCATATGGATATTACTGAAATGAGGATGATGTGGATATTCTCTCCCTCTCTGTGAGCAGGCCATAAAACAAAAGTGCTGCAAATGTTATACTTGCTTCTCCGAGACATTAAATCACAGCCACAACTGCGTCTGCCACAGCGGTCAATCCACATTTATGAGTTAGTTTTTATGGTCATTGGTATAAAGTTCCCTTCACTCCTCGCATAACTATTTGGCAGAGCTGGAAGAAGCCCTCAGATTGTTTCACTCATGGTAAAAGTAGCAACACTAGCTGGTAACAGTAATCTGTTACAAGTAAAGTCCTCCATTCAAATTCTAGTAAAATAACAAACATATTGGCATCAAAATATACAATTAAATTAATAGCAAAAGTACTTGTCATGTGTAATGGTCCATTTCAGAATAAAACATATGAAATGTCTGGTTATAGACTATTAATGCATTACTCTGTTTATTACAGCTTGCAAATTAAGAGCTAGTTGTAATTGCCTTGTATACTGCTGCTGGATATTTTTAAAGGGGCCCATTTATGCTCTTTGGGGTATTCCCTTTCCTGTGAGGATTATATATGTTTTTGTAAAAAAGAAAGCCTTTTGTTTAACATTAAAGCATGTCAACTTGTCACAGTAAAGGCAATAATGAGCCTGAAATTGAGCATAATAAGGCCCCTTTAAACTATTACTATACATCAATGTTTATTTCATATATTATCTTTTTTTCTTTAGCTAATAATCCAAATATATGAAGTAGCTGATTAATAAGTGTAATGGAGTAAACGTGCAATATTTGGCTTCTTCAATGTAGTAGAGTATAATTATAAAGTAGTATAAATTGAAAATAATCAGGTATAAGTACTTAAAGGTGGGGTAGGTAAGTTTAAGAAACCGGCTCGAGATCGCTAGAATTTGAAAATACACAACCGGAGAAAATATGCCACTTCCTTACAGAGCCCCTCCTCCAACACACACGAACGCGCACATGACCAATGAGGGCACGAGATAAGTTTGTGCACAGATGGAAGTTATTTTAGCCGGGCCAGCTAAAATGATTGGTCGTGCTTTTTACAGTACTACGGCTTCCAAAGATGACATTTTGTTATGGATTTTTTGTCAAAGCACTTAAGATATTCATTGCTATCGGGATGTTAAGAGCATTCCATGGAATATAACAAAAAGTGTATCTCGAGCCGGTTTCTCAAACTTACCTACCCCACCTTTAAGTAAATGTACTTTATTACATTCTACCACTGCTATTTGGTGCAGAACATGTTGATTTTTTGCAATATTTGTGTTGCTGCATATGAAATGTGTTCAACGTGATTCACTACAGCCAAAAGAACATTTGTAACCTCCCTTCTGTGATATCCAGAGCAACAAGTCATTATTTAGCATTACTGTCTCTTTCTGTGTGTAAACAATTTACTTCCCCAAAGATATATCATCCTTTCTCTTCCCTCAGAGTTAAGCATCACCTGACCCTCATCTTATTTTTCACTGTACTGGAATTGATTAAATGTAATTGCATTTTAACAAACACAAATGATCCCGCACATGTTTTATTTTAATGATCTTCTATTATTATAATTTACGACACATGCCTCTGCACTTCCTGTTGGTCAAACAAAGAGGTAGAGAAAAACAAAATCCAGAAGCCAAACACTATATTTCACATTACCCATTTCTAATTCCTCATCATTTTCCCCGTGTCGGAATTTGGAGTCTGGGGAAGCGTGAAAAATGTATTGTCTGCATTACGGCGTCCTTAAGGGGAGAAGGAATGGATAAGAGTGCTGGAGTGGGAGAAGAGGAGAGGTGGGGAAAGAGGGAGAGCGTGGTATTATAGATATACTGTTGAGTGGGAGAAGTGATACGCTGAATAAAGAAAAAAAGAGTGCTGAGGAGAGTCATAGCGAGAGGGTTAGCGCTGCAGTACCTCATTAGACAGAGGTCTATCTGTGCAGGGCTGGATCGGCCGCCTTAACTCACAGGAATGGTGCTCCAGGCTCTCTCTCTGCACCCTCTCTCGCTTTGTTCTTCCCCCACTCCTCTGCTCCTGCTCCCCACAGCTGTGAAGGGTTTTAGGGGAGGTGTATTCTCCAGGACGGTGGTCTTTTCACCTTATACTGCCTCTGCACAGGTTCATTCACACACATACATGCATTTATAAACCTTTAAGCGTACAAAAAGACTGACAGTGTGGGAAGATCTTTTTATCTCAACTCATCCTGCCTCGCAGCATCGTACGGTTAATTCAAACTTCACGTACAGCGAATGGATTCTGTATCTCTTGCATCTCTCCAAACAAATTGTACTTTATGGTTTATAATGAGCAGCATGGGTTTGGTATACTGTACGCTTTGACCCCGAGCATATTGAGGTCTGCTTTTGCATAAACATGTGGGTTGGAACGCCGCTGATTGATTTAATGAATTCCACTGTTTAGCACCTAGATTTCATAATGAACTATTTGCATTTTGATATAAAGGTTTTGACCTGCTGTTATCTTCAGCACTACTTTATTGACTACTTTAATTCCACTTTCCTCTCACAAAAACATGTTTATAACCACTGCCTTGAAATTATTTTCGTGCACAGGAAATAAGTTGCAGAAGCGAAATCTGACCCGTGTCTTTTTCGTTTAACAGCTGGGGCTTCACAGTCTACACAGATAAACAACAATGGTAAGTGTTGTGCAGAAGTTCTAATTCAATAATTGATGAGTTTAACTTTGAACCCTTCCGCTTAAAGGGGACCGATCATGCAAAATGCACTTTTGTACGTCTTTTATACATGAATATGTGTCCCCAGTGTGTCAGGGAACTCACCAAGTGTCAGAAAACACAACCCTCTCTCTTTTCCTCCATACCCAAATCTCTAAAAACGGGGCTGCAACGGATCTGATACAGATTTGAATTTCTCTGACGTCAGAAAAGGGGTGCTCCGCCTATATGGGCAACTCTCCACCTATCAGGTGGATGAGAGGTTGGGCCACGGCCATTGCCCAACCTCTCATTCGCATATAGGCTGTCGGAAAGCTAAATCTCCCCCAGTCACATCTGTGTTTTTGCCTGCTCTTACCAGGATGTCTAAGGGAGTTAAACGTTATGCTGTTGTTGGCTGCAATAATCGGGACAAGGGACTGCATGCAATGCCATCTCTGGAAAAAGACAAGAATCTGTGGCTAGACTTCATTTTCAAGGGACATGTGCCAGAAGACTCCGGCAGATTTCTGCTTGTGTGTTCTAAACATTTTACCACGGACATGTTTATGAACTAGATTTTTTTTCGCCGGTCAACATGTCCGTTAAAGTTTAAATCTTCCGGACAAAATTAGAAAAGTGCCGGTCAAAGGTCTTCTTTGTTATTTATTGAGCTTTAAAACAAATGAATAACGACTCTATATAATAATATAAGAATAATACACGGAGGACGGAGCCTCTCTTTTCCTCCCCCTCTTCTGAGAGCCCAGCAGCTGATCTCCCTCTCCTGCAGGGGGGCGTGGTCAGCTGCAGCTCATTTGCATTAAAGCTACGTCACAGAATCAGCCCTTGCAAAAACAGGGCTGGAAAAGAGCAAATAGAGCGAAATGAGGCATGGCTAAAATGCATGATCTGTTTGGTATTTTGAAAACAAAACTTCACAGACATGTTTTATATAGGTATGGCCCTACAATATATTTTTCAAATATAGCATGATAGGTCCCCTTTAAATTATCTCCGAAACACAAAGGATCAAGTGGCAGGAAGTTAAAAAGTTTCATTTATGGCACTTTGTTCTGCTCCAAGTGGTTTGATAGTGCTGTTCAAACGTACTAATGATCACATGGTGAGAGGGTATACTCACAGGAAGTGAATTTCACTTAGAGATCTATTTTATTAAAATAAAAATAAAAAGGAGAAAATCTTTGTAGCTTCCTAGTTTTATCTGCAGCTTTCCATAAAAAAGGTTGCAACTTTTATAACATTTCTATCAGTTTTTCTCAGGTTATTTACAATATACCTTTCTTGGATGTGGATATTTCTCACAAAATGGTTGTTGGAAGAAATCATTTTAAATACAAATTAATGGGTTATTTAGTTTTAGCCATGCTAGCTGGCTAAACTCTAGTGATATCTGAGCTAGTTGTTCATGCCACTACATTGGTCAAAACTAAAGTATCAGATGTTGCTTGACCTGCCACCCTCTCCTAATTTTACCATACAGTTTGTCCCACGGAAAATATAAAAATGTTGTGATCCCAATTGAATACATCATTAGTTTTGCTAGCTTAATTGCAACCTTTTTTTTAGATGTAATTAAGAGCATTGAAGACGAAGGTGCTAGAGTAAATGCGAAACAAAAAAAAAGACCTTTCTACATTTTCAGATGAATAATAGCATACAGACAGTATAGATCACTATGGTATATGAGCAGTTAAGGAGAAGCCATAATAGCTCCAAACAAACTAGAATAGATGACAAGTATCATTTAAACTATCATCCTAGATTGTTGCTTCGAGCACTAATCACCATATCCAGATGCAGATTGATGTCATTATTTTAACTAGTGGCAGCCAGCGCTCCTCATTATGTCTATTTAAAGTGATCAGTGAACTGTCCCTTAAGAAGAAGAAATGTCCAGCGCTGTGAATCACCGCGTGCAGTCACCTGGCTCAAATGGGTGTGAAAATAACGAGGTGGAAATGAGTCACTCACGTCTGGGTTTTCCCTCCTCAGGCATTTCTGCTGCGAGACGAGGGAGGCACAGGTCAACTGGGTGACGGACATCATCAGGATGAAGGTGAGGTGACGTGCTGCAGAGAACAAGAGTAAGGGGTGCACTCATGCCAACATTTGATGAAGCAATTTAATGAGCATTCAGGGTCTTAAGAAGTGCCGAAGAAGTGTGCTCTATATTTTCTTCTAACCCCTTTACTGCATACCAAAAATATCAGTGAATGTGACATGCACATTGCGGATACACCCTCCTTTCCCTTTCCTTATTTGGATGAAAAATACACAACATTACGAGCGGAATAAATCATCTTTTACAATCCATATCCCCGACGAAGGAGATATGATAAATCATAGTTTCCCCCCCAATCATCCCTTTCCATTGTGCCGTTAAGCAGATGAAATACATAAACAGGGAGAGAAGTGTAAAGTTTTCGAGGTCACTCAGCAATAACATAAATCATTTTATGTGGAAAAGCTGTGAGAATAAGGTCAAGGCAACTGTAACAATCTTATTGTGGTACTTAGCCCCCAGATACAGCTAAGTGTTGTTGCTGTCAGCTGCTGACACAGCACATATGACATAAATAATGCAAGGCAAAGCAAAAGTGGGGGGAAGCTACGAATGTGTCATATTTATTTTATTATTTTTCACTCATATTCATCACTTCTCAGAGAAATAACAGTTTCCCCCGTTCGACAAAAGACGTGATTTCCAAGTAAATGACTAACTTAAACATTGCATCCGTCCTTTACCGACATATCTCCAGATTTCACTGCATGCTCCGCACATTTAATCGATATTAGCCCTCTGCTCGGCTTCCTTTATGGGAACCTTTCTGCCGCACGATGTTGTTTATCACAGGTCTTTACAGGAAAGCCTTTGAGTGCCTTACCTAAGGTTAGCGAGTAAAAAGGGCAACTCTGTCAGGGAGAGATTGATCTAAAGGGGAAGCCAATTTTTGTCTGTTGTTTCTAAGTGTTTCAAGGTGTTTATTTCACCGGGATCAGTGACTTCTCTCCGCTCTTTGCAAAAGCTCTTAGCTCTGCAACAACTAAATCTATAGCAGACCTGAGCCGGCTAAAGATATTAGGATTCTCTTCCCCAAATCCGCTAAATATCAGGATTGTCAGTTTCCGACGCAGGGGCTTGTGGGAAGGACACGGTACTTGTGGGAAGGGCAGAGAGAAAGTGCGGATGGGAAAGTAGACAGTGCACTCTTGATTTCCTTTCTCTTACCTGTTAGCGAGCATTGTGCACCGACAGTTTCCATAGCAACTAGCGATGAAGGACCTCAATTTGAAGCAAGGTGGAATGGCTGGTGGTGGTGGTGGTGGTGGTGGATGGCGAAGAGGTCCAAGGACAGGTCCTGGCAGAGATGAAATACAGATTTGTTAAAGAGAGACAGTTCTTCAGGTCTGGCGGGTCAGTGTGATATAAAAAGCAGAAGTTGTTTAAGAGAAAGTTTAGCCAGAGATCAGAACACAGCTGCTCTTCTGCCAGCGAACAGAGGATCATCACCCTCTCTCATCTTTAAAAATGCTTGTGTAAGTCCGGCCAAAAGCAAAAGTTCACACAGCAACCAAAACATCCCGTACAGTCATAGCAACCATTTCTTCTTCCCTTATGTTACCTATTTCCGTAACAATTTATATTTCAAGTCAATTAAAAAGTACTGTACAGATAAAGTTTTAAGCACTTTCACATCTACATGATTCTTTATAATAATAATTACAACATGGCACATTTATTTTAATATGGAAGTGTGTTAATCCTATTTTTAAAGTCATTAAGGACTACACTGTTTTATAATTCCCAAAGCTGATATATAAAGTAATATTTTATAATTGATTAAACTCACTGTTTCAATGCATTATAATGTGATTATAAGTGTATCAGTAAATGTGATGCACATACTTCTTCATTAAATGTACAAAACACATACTGTATAGACTTGTAATATTGTAAGAGAAAATAAAAAGCAATGAATCAACATAGACTATTTTTGTTGTTCACATTGAATATCTTAAACAATTACTTTTTTTAATTAATTTTTTTAGCCTTGCTAGTAATTTTACCGTTTGCTGTCTGTCTCCAGTACGGTTCTGACCTGTGGTCAATGACTACGAGTAACTCTAAAGAAGCTGCAGATCCCAAATACTCCAGAGGGGGAGCTGTGACTGAAGCCCGCAATGTTCAAAAACACAACACCAGCAAACAGGTGGGAATCTATTAAAATATGAAAGAGTCTTAAATCACTCCTGTAGGCAGAGCAAACTTTTGTTGACTTGAATTAAATGAAGTTGTAATTCATCATCATCTGCCATGTTTGCCCTCAGCCGGCAGACAAGAGGTTCTCTCTTGTCGAGAGCACCCTAAAGCCGTTAAAGGACGCCAAGTCCAACACCGGACCCAGCTACCCGAAGCCCAACGACGCGTTCAAGGCCCCAGAAGTCCCGTACCGAAGAACTTCAGTGGATGCTGGCCAGGCGCATTGCCCTGCCCCCCCCTCCTCATCCAGACACCTGCAGCCCATGGCGCTGCCTCTCCCCTCCCAGAGTGGCTTCAAGTCCCTCGGCAGGAGACCTGTTGTAGGGGCGGAGAGCATGATGCCGCCTAATTTTCTAAATGAACTCAACTCGGTGCTGACTAGCAAGACCAGTCGCAGTGCCAAGAGCAATGACTGACACAGAAGAGAGGTAAGAAGAACATTACAGGGTGTTCAAGGAAATAGGTGGAGCCAAAGTATGGTGCTTAAGGTAGGGGGTGATGGCTCCAACTGGGATGTATTAAGGGATGTCGTTGCAGGTGCGAAAGACATTGGAGGTCATGCCGACCTCAGCTGGACACGACGCTGACCCAAGCACTACAAAGCGTGATGTATACGCCGCTCTTCTTAAACCAGAACATGTTGCAAAAATATGTTCGGCTGTCAAACCTTAGAAGTTTCCAGAACTCATACCAAAGTGCTTGCTTCATGCTTTTACTTTGAAATGCTGTTTTGACTACATCTGACAAGTATTATGTTTTTTTATAATCCTCATACAGTGATCTTTAGCTTAGCATGTTACTTATTTTTGGCTATTTTGTTTCTAGCACTTGCTGCAAAAGCTATATCAAGGAGTTGCACACTCAAACAAATGCTCTTACTTTGTACAGGAAGGCAAAGGAAATAATGCATTCAAATGTAAAAAGAGAGCTGATAGCAATGAGATGCAATAATAGCTGATATAGGAGGGCAATATCACACGTTATTATTTATTTGTAATTATTTTTTAAATATGTTTCATAACAGTTCAAAGTAACCCACAGCTTTTTGATTTGATTTTTTTACGTAGCATCGTTTCTTTTAAGCATTTTATTGTGTTGTGCACAATGTTAGCAAATGTGATTTAAATGTACACTATACATATGACAATAAACAATGCTTTCACTTGCTATATGACTCAAAATGTTTCACGCCAATGTCATAGTTTATGTACAATACCAAAATAATTCAAGCTTGACTTTTTCAGCTATAGTAACACACATCCATGTTAACTAGTTTTTGCATTTTAATTCGTAAAATAAACAACTCAAAGCACATCAAACATTGCTGCTCTTGAAGAGTTTCAGGATAACGTTTTGTATTTACTTTTCATACTGTATGACCAAATGTGTGTCACCTTATTCACAGGACATGGGATTTGTGGATTTGTGCCTCCCTGTTCACTGTATTTTTTTCTAAGCACAGTCAAATTCAATCATTTGAATATTACACTTAAAGGTGGGGTCGGTAAGTTTGAGAAACCGGCTCGAGATACGCTTTTTGTTATATTCCATGGAATGCTCTTAACATCCCGATAGCAATGAATATCTTAAGTGCTTTGACAAAGAATCCATAAAAAAAAGTCATCTGTGGAAGCCGTAGTACTGTAAAAAGCACGACCAATCATTTTAGCCGGCCCGGCTAAAATAACTGGATGGCCTACCTGCCTGTCAGCCTTCCATCTGTGCACAAACTTATCTCGTGCCCTCATTGGTCATGTGCGCGTTCGTGTGTGTTGGAGGAGGGGCTCTGTAAGGAAGTGGCAGATTTTCTCCGGTTGTGTATTTTCAAATTCTAGCGATCTCGAGCCGGTTTCTCAAACTTACCTACCCCACCTTTAACAGATATTGCCCCTGAAATAACCAAACATTTAAAAAAAAATGTGTCACGTCCATCAAAAGCAGGCCTTGGGAGGTAAGTAAAATTTGCTTTCAATACACAACATTAAGACTTAGTGGACAGGCATGCAGTCTTCATTATTGGCTTTCACTTATACACAAAAATATTGATCACTAGAGGAGAAATACTGTGCTAAGGTCTCTCTCCGGAAAAGTGCAAATAAAACATTTCTGTCTTTGCCAAAAAGCTCTGACTCAAAAATACCCTCGCTGAGTTTCCACAGAGTTGCAGATGGTGGGAACAATAGAGAAGGTGGAGGTGTGAGTGTCGAACAGAAAGAGTCACACACAGGAAATAGTTTTTTTGCGTAATTGCCAGTTTTATATTTCTCCACAGCAATGAAACCACAAATATACCCGAATCCATCAGATAATTACAGTTAGGTAAAAATAAAATACCGCATGCAGTAAAGCCATCAAAATAATATGAGGATGAAAGCATCAGTGTTAAAATATGATTACCGTCATTGCTTCCAGGTTTATTATCCATCATGATTGGATTTTTTTTTTTCTGTTCACTTGCTAAGAGGTCTTTATTTGTGTTTTATTTCTATTTTAATATTGCATCTGTTCTCCGCAGGTTTATAGGATGCAGTAATAGTGGCTCTTTTTCACCAGGTAACTCAGCTTATTATCTATAAGTATGTTAGATTTCATTCGAGTTTCCTTCTGTTTACTCTCTTGTGTTATTTTACATATCTGCAATATTTAGGAGACGCAGTCCTCTAAGCACGTTGAGGAACTTAAGCCCCGTTGTGAAAAAAAAACCCATCTTTGACTTGTTTATACATAATTATATCATTATTTTATTCATAGATTTCATCAAATTCTGCATTTTCTCGGGTGAAATGTTAAAATAAACTCGCCGTTTCAAGCCACTGAAAAAAATTGTTGAATAATGTATCGCCGTCGGAAAATGCACACGCAGGCAATTGTCACACAGGTTCCTCCATGAAAAATTCATATTAACATTTTATTTTCATTATGCCGCATACACCAGCTGCTTGTCCTTTGTTTCATGTCCTTATATTCTAATCATAGAGCTGCCACATTTGTGCATTCGTGGTCTGGCCATTTCTTATTATGGCTTTGTTGTTACTGTGCAATTATGTTGTCTCCCCTCGCCCATATTAATTATATTTCCATGTTCATTGCATTAGTGGAAATGAATATGTTCCTATGTAATTGGCCTGTTGAGTCATTTTCATAACATGTACCCTTGCTTTCACCAGCAGCAGACGTATTTTAACAATTTGCGATTTTATGCTATATGTGCCTCTGACTTTGAGATAATAATTTATAATTCTGCTAAAAGCTACCATTTCTTGTCCCCTGTATTTGTATATATGCACTGACGTACCCTCTTTAGGTCCTTTGTCCGTTCCTCAGACTGTCATCGGTATGTATATTTGCCTCTGTTGTCCTCTGTGTCTGGATAACCAGCGTTTTTTCCATCCCTCTGAGGCCTTTTAGTTCACGAAGGTCACCATATGGCGCATGAGAGGTCTGCAAAGTCATTATATGCGGCGACATTGACCATCTCACCCTGTTGAGGTAACAGCTTGCCTGGCTGCAGTGGTGGAAAATACATTTCACAAGCATTGCACATAAGTCCAGTTATGAGGTAAGTGTACTTGACTACGTTTTTCATTTCAGGCTTTTATTCTTTTCCAATATCAATGTTTTGGCAGGTAAAGTTACAAGTTAGATTTCCGACTAACATTATATATATATACAAAACATATCAAATCAGCTTGTAATATAGAGTACTTTGTGCCCTTTTAAAAGAAAAGAAAATCAAAATATAGTCAAAATAAATGAAAAATTGACATCAGTAACATGTGCTTCCCGAAACGTTTACTTTAGATATATATAGTTCATATTACTTGAAATGGAATATTTAACAAAGATGTAGCGGTACTTTTACTCATTAGCCACTTATTGAGGTACATGTGTCCAATCCTTTGCAATACAGTACATTTGACTTGTATGCAGATTATGTATAATATATGTTTAGCTTGATTTGCAGTATATTGTACAGGTGTACCTTTAGGTGGCCTCTGAGGTTATGATCACCATAAAAAAGTTATGATGTATTGTTAGATTGAATTAACTGATAATACATAAAGGGACACCTGCAATAATCAAATGTGATCGCATAATGTAATAACATTAATGGCCACTTTGAAGGATTCATTCATTATACTTTTCAGACTTAAAGCACCATACCAGTTTACCATGTCAGTTTATTTTCGATACAATCCAGACAGCTATTGGCATCCATTCATTTCTGTACAATATGGAGATGAAGTACCTCAAGTCTTCATCCATCTTCATCAAAAGTTACATTATAATTATGAGGTAATTCCCTGTGGACTTTTTCAATCAATGCGTTTAAACTGCAGTGCCAATTTACAAGGCAGCAATCATTTAACTTTGACCAAATTCAGAACAAACTCACTGTGATGGAACAAACAACTCTAAGTTTTTGGAGGCCGCTAATTGATGAACTCATGCCTGGAGCAGTACAACACTTGCATCCAAAAATGCATGTTTTTGTAATTTCCAAATTTACAGGAATAATCGTTTTTGTTCATGTACTTAAGTATCATTTTGCTGCTAGAACTCACTTGTATTTTACACATTGTGGCAATTCTATTTTTACTCTAGGTTAGTGAACAATCTGAAGGTTTCTTCCATGGTCTCTGAGTCACACAGCACATGCATGTGAGTACAGTAGCAGAGTACCTGAGCTGCAGTGTTTCACAGACAGTGAAGACAGCGAGGGAGAAAGAGCCGAGGGGAGGGGGATTAGAGAGAAAAGGAGCGGGCTGATATGCTCGAGAAAAAGAGAGAAAATGACAAGATATTTCAAAAGAACAGACATGAGCCCTCTGATTCGACGTGAGATGCTTCTCAATTAAAAAAACATGGCATGTTAGAATTAATTTGATGCCGTTTTGAAATGCTGAGGTTATTGATCAGGCCTTGTGGAAGCGTCCACTGAGGCTTCGTCCACTGCCTTTGGTGTTTGCTAGTATCGCCTCTGTCTGTGAATAACAAAAACATCAAGGGCAGAAATAAAAGAGAATATGACTGACAGGTCTCAACATGGCTTTAATGTCACTTTCGACATCTGTATTGTAGTCAAGCCGCCTTTCGAAACAGTCGAGCAATTAAAATATATATCCTTTGCAGCCATATGCTTGGGTATTTTCAGAGGGAGAGAGGAAAATTGCTAACACACCATATTGACTTAAAACACAACAGATGTCTGAGGGAAATATGAATCTTCTTTGCTTTATCCCAGACCATGTAAATCAGAAAGACGGTACTGTTAACTCTGACATACTGCAGCTGTATAACATGCACGTCCAGCCATGGCCCCGGTGATTTACATTTCCAGAAAGGGTAAGCCTTATATTAATGGAGCTGTCCATTTTAGCTGCTATAAATAGCTCACTGCATGAGGTTGTCCCACTGGCGGCCGTCTTTTTACGCTGATCCACACATTCTGCCCTCTAATCTCAATTCTATTAATGTCTCGGGTGATATTTACGGCACATGGACCCTTTTAGCCTGACACGGCTGTAAAGTATATGTTCAAACCAGCCAAGCTTTATCTAATTAAAAGCCTCTGCAATTGCAATTCAACTGGGATTGAGTCTTTAAAACCTCAATCAGTTTTCCCCCCTGGTTATGGGAGAGAGCGAGTCACCACAGGGCTAATAAAGAAGGGAATGTTAAACATTCCAATTAAACATTTGCGGGAGATAAGGCTGTAGATCATTTTCATATTTTTACAATATTGGAATTATGGGGCTGTTGCCAGAAGGAGGATGACCCCTTGGTGATAATACTGTATTTGTTTGGATGGTAACCCAACTCTACCGTAACCTTATCATATTCCTGTCCCCATATAGTTATGCTTATGACTCTCAAACAGTCACCCTGAGCGAAAGAGAAGCAGGAAGTGGTTGGAATTTAGATAAATGCATCCCTTGCTTTCCACACCCTTTATTTAGCTAGTAGCAGCTAATGTAGCCTTGAAAAGCGCCTCCTCATACATAAGAGGTTTACTCCTCAACACCTGATGATGTGCTGAATCAGCACATTTTAAGATTTTACATTTCTTTAGAAGACTTTTTTTGTTCTTGATTTTCATGGCAATGTTTTTGTCCTTTGAAGACAACAACACAACCGAACACAACGTCTTTCCATGGACATTTAGC